TTTTCGGCATCAACAGCTGTTATTGATGAATCTACATCTCGATTTCTTGTGTAATGTATTAAACTGAAACATGTTCTTGTATTTGTTTGTAAGTGTCCTTTTTTTTGTTTTCTACTGTTTGATTGATATGTATCAAGTCTGGTAAGACTTTTGCCATTCTATTGCTTATGAGCTTTGTTATTGTTTTATTGTCATAATTTATTAAACTTATGGGTCTGTAATCAGCAGGGGACACTCCAGATCTTCCTGGTTTTAATATAACTGAAATAACTGTTTGATACATGGAACTAGGAAGTACTGAATTGAATGACGTGTTTTGTCATTTGTGTAAATAGGGGCACTACTTTGTCCCAAAATGTTGAATAGAATTCTATGGGAAAGCCATCCATTCCTGGTGCTTTTCTACGCGCGAATGTTTTAACAGTATCTAATATTTATTTTTGGGTGATCTCTGTTTTTAGTGATTATTTTTTGTCTGCTTGTCATTTCTTCAAAGTTGTTGAGTCTAGGAAGGCTATAGGATCCGTCCAACTGTTGTTAAATTTATATAGATTTACATAGAAGCTTTTTATTACATTGTTGTTTCTAATTAACACATTTGTATATGGAGGACCAAAGCTGCTGTAATTAGAATTAAATGAATAAATAAATCCACACATAAATAGATAAATACATAAATAGATAAATAATTATTGAAATAATTATTCGCACTTTCTTTCATTTTATTCATTCATATTATTTCTTCCTCCAATATGATAATGCGGGGTTGTCAAGCAAACCTATATGGGTGGTATCTAACACACCATTGGTTGATCAATGCCACGGCGCGACGATCGATTGCATTTGCCTTGGCTGAGTTCAGTATGACAGAATGTGTTCAAAGTTTAGAGGCCATGTTTCACATTTGCACCCCTCAATGTTCCTAAAATACTTTGGTGTTTTAGGTGTGAAGTTTATGGGAATGTTGCAGCAGTATATAGGAGGGAGAGTCCTAGATGTGAGAAGTGTGCAGGATACGAAGGAATGTGTAGTTTCGGTGGAGAAAGTTATTTGTGTTAGTTGTGGGGGTACTCATGGGGCTGGAGATCGGAGGTGTCCGGTGAGAGAAAGGCAGGTTGAGGTTGCTAGGATCAGAGTAGTACATAAAGTGTCATATGCTGAAGCAGTAAAGAGAGTGGTAGAGGAAGATGGGTACAGGGTGGTGGTGGAGGAAGACGGGAAGAGGGATCCTGAGAGGATTCCTGTGAGTAGGCAGACACTAATCAAATCAAATCAAATTGGTCACATACACATATTTAGCAGATGTTATTGCGGGTGTAGTGAAATGCTTTTGTTCCTAGCGCCAACAGTGCAGTAGTATCTAACAATTCACAACAATACACACAAATCTAAAAGTAAAAGAATGGAATTAAGAAATATATAAATACAGTGGGGGGGGAAAGTATTTAGTCAGCCACCAATTGTGCAAGTTCTCCCACTTAAAAAGATGAGAGAGGCCTGTAATTTTCATCATAGGTACACGTCAACTATGACAGACAAAATGAGGGAAAAAAATCCAGAAAATCACATTGTAGGATTTTTAACGAATTTATTTGCAAATTATGGTGGAAAATAAGTATTTGGTCAATAACAAAAGTTTCTCAATACTTTGTTATATATCCTTTGTTGGCAATGACACAGGTCAAACGTTTTCTGTAAGTCTTCACAAGGTTTTCACACACTGTTGCTGGTATTTTGGCCCATTCCTCCATGCAGATCTCCTCTAGAGCAGTGATGTTTTGGGGCTGTCGCTGGGCAACACGGACTTTCAACTCCCTCCAAAGATTTTCTATGGGGTTGAGATCTGGAGACTGGCTAGGCCACTCCAGGACCTTGAAATGCTTCTTACGAAGCCACTCCTTCGTTGCCCGGGCGGTGTGTTTGGGATCATTGTCATGCTGAAAGACCCAGCCACGTTTCATCTTCAATGCCCTTGCTGATGGAAGGAGGTTTTCACTCAAAATCTCACGATACATGGCCCCATTCATTCTTTCCTTTACACGGATCAGTCGTCCTGGTCCCTTTGCAGAAAAACAGCCCCAAAGCATGATGTTTCCACCCCCATGCTTCACAGTAAGTATGGTGTTCTTTGGATGCAACTCAGCATTCTTTGTCCTCCAAACACGACGAGTTGAGTTTTTACCAAAAAGTTCTATTTTGGTTTCATTGTATATGACATTCTCCCAATCCTCTTCTGGATCATCCAAATGCACTCTAGCAAACTTCAGACAGGCCTGGACATGTACTGGCTTAAGCAGGGGGAAACGTCTGGCACTGCAGGATTTGAGTCCCTGGCGGCGTAGTGTGTTACTGATGGTAGGCTTTGTTACTTTGGTCCCAGCTCTCTGCAGGTCATTCACTAGGTCCCCCCGTGTGGTCCTGGGATTTTTGCTCACCGTTCTTGTGATCATTTTGACCCCACGGGGTGAGATCTTGCGTAGAGCCCCAGATCGAGGGATATTATCAGTGGTCTTGTATGTCTTCCATTTCCTAATAATTGCTCCCACAGTTGATTTCTTCAAACCAAGCTGCTTACCTATTGCAGATTCAGTCTTCCCAGCCTGGTGCAGGTCTACAATTTTGTTTCTGGTGTCCTTTGACAGCTCTTTGGTCTTGGCCATAGTGGAGTTTGGAGTGTGACTGTTTGAGGTTGTGGACAGGTGTCTTTTATACTGATAACAAGTTCAAACAGGTGCCATTAATACAGGTAACGAGTGGAGGACAGAGGAGCCTCTTAAAGAAGAAGTTACAGGTCTGTGAGAGCCAGAAATCTTGCTTGTTTGTAGGTGACCAAATACTTATTTTCCACCATAATTTGCAAATAAATTCATTAAAAATCCTACAATGTGATTTTCTGGATTTGTTTTCCTCAATTTGTCTGTCATAGTTGACGTGTACCTATGATGAAAATTACAGGCCTCTCTCATCTTTTTAAGTGGGAGAACTTGCACAATTGGTGGCTGACTAAATACTTTTTCCCCCACTGTATATTATTGATTGATTTACTATGACTTTTCAGATCACCCAGTAGTGCTATCTGCAGGGTAAGCTCCAGGTAAATATTGCAATCCTTTAGCCATTCCTGGACCTGTGTCCAAAAACAAGCTACAAATGGACAATACCAAAACAAATGATCTAATGAAATGTAACTCTTGCAGGAAAACCACATCTGCTGACAATCTCTTTAAGAGTTCAAGAACCATGTGCTTTTTTCCCATCATGGAGCCTGTGCACATTCCATGTAAATAATTTGATTTTGTTGGTCTTTACTACAAAGTTAACCTTGTTTGTTCCGTCTACATTGACGAACCAGATAAAACATAAAACATATGAGGGTGGTGGGCATTCCATGGAATGGGAGAGTCATAGTATGAATACATAGTTATTGTATACATTTAAGTGATAATGCCCAAGAAGCCAGTGTTTGGAGGATATATAGAGGAGCTAGCCAACAACACAGCTACAGTAACATAATCACTTCAAACTGAAGCTGGAAAGAATGCAAATTAGCTGCGTTTCATTTTACCTTTTTTCAATTTACCTTTTTTTGTATATATCCATAAAAATGATGCCAGCTTATCATTGATTTCGACTGGCTAAGAAACGCTGTCTGTCTGTCTCGTCCCGACTCCAGACACTTTCATTACTATGGGACAGCAGAAGATCTAATTTGAATATTGAAACAATGTTGCAAATGTCGTAGAGACAGATGGCAAGGTTTATACAAATCTTCGTTGTTGAAAACAAAATGTTAGTCTAAAAGAAATGTGAGATACTGTCTAGATGCTTTTTATAGTGGAGATCAAGTTTATAAATTGCCTGGCTGGACTGATGAGATAGTGGATTGCGCAGTCAGATGGAATAGTGTAAATAGGCATTTTAATGTCATAGATTTAGCCAGTGGCAACTTGTGGAATAGACACCGGCTGGAATGCGGTTTTAACCAATCTGCATTCAGGATTAGACCCACCCGTTGTATATAGAGCATGTGAGCTGAGCAGACATTGAACAAAAAATACAGATAAAAACATAAAGCAAAGTACTTCTTTGTACTTTGAGGCACTATGGCTTTTTATGGCTTTTATTAAGCTCCAACTTACAGCTTTTAAAAGTATCTGGTTGCAAAATAAATTAGTGTAGTTCAGCCCAGTGTAATACAACATATAAAATAAATATTTCAAATACATGTAAGTCCCTCGCACTTAGTAGAGAGAAAATCAATCAAATAGGACTTTTCTTCCGAGTCAGTGCTGATGAAAAACCTAGGCCTCACGTTGAACGTCTACAATATCACGTCTCAAAAAAATCCTGACATGAACCCTGGGGACAATGTGAAAGCACAGGTGAACAATACTCACAAACCTTATTTGTATACAGTCAGACACAAAGACCCATGCTTGAAAGTTTTAGCAAGCCTACACACAGCCAAATGTTCACTGTGACAGGGACAATAATATGATTAATGCAAGACTGACTTTGATTACATTAGATTACATTGCAGTGCAGAAAACACGGTGACGGATAGAATGGAAGTATTACTTCTTCTCAGAATCAGAGCATGAGAAGTGGCATTTAGAGCTCCATAGTAGAGGTGTCATAATACCCGTAAAACCTAGCGGTCAAACATGGAAATGGTTCCAATCGTTTTTTCACCATTCATTTTTCCCATTGTGGATTTTAGAAACCCATCAATTAAGGACTGTGTTTTGTGTAGGCTTGCCCTGGCGTGAAGTTTTGATAACCATGTAAATCTCTCTCGGACAAGGTGACTTTTAATCAATATATTCGGCTCTATTTACTCTCAGATTCGAAAATGCTAATTAGCGTCAAAGTAGACATCATGCAAAACTACAAATCACTGTGGGACACTATTATGCTGGCATTTGCTCACATGATTAAAACAAAGATTCCACACACTGTCGCTAGATGGCAGCAAATCGTTTTTCTAGCCACGCCCACATTGTGACATTGCACATTTCCGCATTTGAAAGTACACAGCGAAGTACTTTCTGCTGCAGTAGGACTGTTGATCTGCGTAGTTGAGAAATTGTAATGGCGAGACTGCTATTAAGATACAACTTTAGGGGCTTCTTTGCCACCCAATTCAGGATGGTATCCGAACAGGTAAATGTAAATGACGCACTGACAGTTGTGTTGTTTTGTATAGCTTGCTGGTTAATTTTGTTGCAGCTCCCATAGCTAATAAGTAGCCTAATAAAACTGATAGCAATTTCCTCGAAATAATCCTTGTACTGTTTGTTTTATATTGATAGATTTTATATTGCCAATGTTTGACCATGTTTCCGTTTTATTGTTTTGGTTAACTTGTAGACAAGCCAAGACCGCAATCTTGAACTGTAGTAAGTAACTCAGTATGTGGCAGTGTTGTATATGTTTTGTCAGGAAATCAGAAAGGGGATTTTGAATTTGTCTACGACCGTAGGACCACCATGAAGGCGTAGTCCAACCATGGATGATGTCTAATAAATGCTATGCTATGCCCGTGGGAGTCCCGAGTTCAGATTCCGCCTGTGATTTGTGAGATAAATAAAAAAAATATCTCTCCCCTCTCTAGCTGGGTGAGCTGGGCAAAGGAGCAGGAAAGGGAGGGGGTGGAGGAGGCTCGGTGAGGGAGGCAGGTGGTGCCTTTGGAAAGAAGCAGGCTGCAGAGGAGGAGCGTTATTTTCGGTAAGTGGATCCTTTTTGTAACCTGGATGACCAGACATATTACTACTATGCTTATGAACCAGGCTATCCATTTTGGAGGAAGGTATGCAAAACTCTTGCCTTTTGACCCCAGTGGACAATGTATGATCATAGTAAAGAAGAATCCCTTTCTCGCGTATGGCTCATGTTAAGCCCACATGAACGCAAGAGTAAATTGTTTCCGTTGCAAAACGTTTAGCAACATAATGGGCGTAATGAATGCACCCCTGGTTTCACTTTTGCCTCATTGAGAAATCAACCAACCTTTTCTCTCCCTCTCGCTCCTCAGTCAGAAGGAGAAGGAGCAGTTGTCTGCCCTACGGAAGCACCATGAAGAGGAGATTGACCACAGCAAGAACGAGATTGAGCGTTTGCAGCGTGAGATTGACCGTCACAAGGGCAAAATCAAGAAGCTGAAACATGATGACTGAGCTCAGTCTTCAGTCCCAGTCACACTGCTTACATTATGCCAAATATCACTCATTGCCTGATTTGGTGTCTGTATGCAGTTGTATATGAAAAAAAATATATGTATGCACTCACTAATAATAATAATAATAATAAGCCATTTAGCAGACGCTTTTATCCAAAGCAACTTAGTTATGTGTGCATACATTTTTACGTATGGGTGGGCCCGGGGATCGAACCCACTACCCTGGCGTTACAAGCGCCATGCTCTACCAATTGAGCTACAGAGGACTACCACTAACTGTAAGTCGCTCTGGATAAGAGCGTCTGCTAAATGACTAAAATGTAAATGTATAGAAGTTACATTCAAAACATTAATAAAGCATTAAAGTTGTATTCCAACTAGGAGAGGTTTTTGTGATTCCTTTCAATACCACTGTAGAATGTTTATCTTGAAATCAGGTACATTTATTTATTATGACAGATGAGCGTTTAATTTCAGGTGTGCAATATTTTTCAACGCGTGAGCTTTGAACTGCACACATTTAGCTGTGACAGGCAGCCCAATCAAATCAAAACCAGTTCTAACACTGATTACAATAATCACATCTCTTCCTCATCCATTTCAAATAAATCTGATGTTTTCACACAGTCCGGTCAGTACGTTTATGCTGTAATTCAATCACAGCATTGTGCAGTATCGAAATCCAAATATATGCTCATTATGAATTTGTAACATGGGACTTTTTATTGGTTGAAAGTAATGTCAATACCGGATTAACCACTTCGATTGGTTACGATTGTGAGGGGCTACATAGTTAGGTGGGGGCGTACTTCTTCGTCGCGGAGTGGTGCTGGCGTTTTGCGAGCGACTGGACCGTCTCGAAAACTGTCTCGTGGGTAGACTCAAACATACTATTCATATTTACCATATTGGATAACTATTTTGGTTAATAGTTGCAAAATATATTTTACGATACTGTTATTTACCTGGAAAAGATAGGTAAGCGTTTGCGAATTATTCATCTTCCACCTCTTGGCGGGTGATTTTGTTTGAATTCTGAAAGGTGTCCAGCAAGCTAACAAGGCCTTTAGCCAACCCTGCTAGCTAGCTAGCTATTTGCTTGGCTAAGTTCATGAACTTTGATACAGGCTTTTATGTTGTTGTTTTTTTATGTTGGTATATCTAACGTTAAACGTTTATTTTTCTGGTTGTAAATGTTCCAAATTGTGAATTCAGTCGAATTCATCTAGCTATGTAGCTAACTAGCTAGCTATTGGAAGGGGGCGGGGCGGGACGGTACTAACCAAAAAAGACACACCACCCAGCCAAGCTAGCTTCAAAAACATTGTTTACTTGACTGGCTAGCTAGCTTAATCACTGTTTTTGTTTACTGGCTTTTGGCGTTCACTAGCTAACTTGCCCGCGATATAAATTTACTTTTCACTTGTCCCCAGGTATTTGATCTTTCAGACCTCATTGCCTGCATTAAAATGTATGGTTCTGCTTTTCGAATGCATTTATAATATCTTCGCCAATCTGAACTAGCTAGCTGAACTATTTAGAATACTTGCAGAGGTTTAGCTAGAAGTTCCTATTGCAGCATGATCAAATTTAAACCATGTATGTTAGAAAAGTGAACGTTTATGTTCCATACAAGTTGCTAGTGTCTTGATCTGTAAAAGGCAGCTGAAACAAATGTATGTTCTAATGTGGAACAATCTAACTGAAATCCTGTTTTTGTCTTGTCTATTTTCTCTCAGGAGAATGGCTGCCGCTGAGGTGAATGGTAGTTCTGCCCAGGTGAGGGAGGAAGAGGAGCCTATGGAAGTCACCGCTGAATGCGAGCACACCGAGAACTACCAGATACTCATCGATGCCGGACTGCCGGAGAAAGTGGCAGAGAGTCTTGACAATGTATTCTCAACCGGTGGGGAATCTGTCAAACAATGGCTGAGTCTAATGCATTTTCCAAAGAAGCATGATGTTGCTTGAGGTTCCATGAAGTGAAGATAGGCCGGGTTCTAATGGTAGGAATCTGTCTTGTACCCACAGGGTTGGTGGCATATGCTGACCTGGACGAGAGGGCCATCGATGCTCTACGGGAGTTCAATGAAGAGGGAGCGCTGTCTGTACTGTTGCAGTTCAAAGAAAGTGACCTGTCCCATGTGCAGGTGAGTTACAAGGGGAGCGGAATGAAAGAGAATGAATGCAAGTCATTTTGTATGATGAATCATTAGTCATAAGACATTTACATGGAGGGGTCTATACATTTTCCTCTGCTCATAACTCCAATACATGAATCAACTGTGCCTTGGTTTGCTTTCCAGAACAAAAGTGCTTTCCTTTGTGGAGTCATGAAGACGTACAGACAGAGGGAAAAGCAAGGAAGTAAAGTACAAGAATCCACCAAGGGGCCTGATGAGTCCAAGATCAAGGTAAAATGAAGCTGTTTGAAAGTTGATTCAGTTGCAGGGGTTAAAGTTCTCCGTCACTGCCATGGATTTCCATCATATGGATTCTGGAGAGGTCCTTAAATATAGAAAAATCAGTGTAGACCCACAGTAAAAATCTCTGGGGGCTGGTTTGGCAATGACAGCCTAATGAGCCAACAAAAGCATGTCTGTTCTACAACAACAAACATGCCTGATTGTTTGCCGATGTTCAGATAAAGGGAATTAAAGAGTTTTATAATGCGCACCTCCGTGGCGCTCAACTCACAGTGATGTGTAGCCTACTGTGGCTGTTGGCAAAGCAATTCAAAGCCTATACTTTATAGGGATGGGTTTCCCAAAACGGATGGACGATCTTAGTGCTACGATGCGTTTGTGAAACCCAGCTCTGTTCTACTATTTTTGCCATGTAATGTTATTAAAACAAAATCTGAGAACCCCATAGTAGAATAGTTTACCTATTTACCTAGTCTGCTTGTTGTTGTGTGTTCAATTTGAGATAAATATTCCTCTCGTGGCCCACAGGGAGGGTTAAACATGTATTCCTACAAGCAGTCGATGCACAATTAATTTAAATGCAATTGGGGAGAAAAAAACCTTTTGAAAGCCGTTTTGGCCTTTGTTAAAAAAAGAGGTGGATCCCATCTTTCCATTGCTACCACGTTTATTTCTCTACTCATACAATTGCACGTGGCATTGTAAAAAATAAAGGCAGTTACAACCAGAGTTTCAAGCATGGTTTAAGAGCTCTGCTGTGTCTAAAGGGGCAATGACATACTTTGTAATAGAAACCCCAAAAAAATTTTTTGAGTGAATAGTAATTGTAAATAATTATAATTTGAGGCCCTCTTGTTGACCATGGTGGGAATATGTAGCTGTTTTAAAGCTAATTTCTTGCAATTCTACACATGGACGCCGATGACGTTGGTTAAGGAAGCCCCCCGCACCGCTCTGATTTAGAGTGGTTGGGTTAAATGCGGAAGACACATTTCGGTTGAATCGATTCAGTTGTGCAACTGACTAGATATCCCCTTTCCCTATCTGAGTGACTCAAACATAACAAAATAAATGGGGGCCCTATGCCATGACAAAAATACTCCCGAATGCCACATTTTTTAAGTGTTTGATTCTACCTGAATGTCTAGCTTTTATTTGGGTGATTGTTACTTCTCAAAGATGATCTTAATACACTACATGACCAAAAGTCTGTGGACACCTGCTCGTCGAACATCTAATTCCAAAATCACGGGCATTAATATGGAGTTGGTCCCGCCTTTGCTGCTATAACAGCCTCCACTCCTCTGGGAAGGCTTTCCACTACATCATTTTACATTTACGTCATTTAGCAGACGCTCTTATCCAGAGCGACTTACATATTGTTGGAGCATTGCTGCAGGGACTTGTTTCCATTCAGCCATGAGCATTAGTGAGGTCGGGCACTGATGTTGGCCGATTAGGTCAGGCACACAGTCGGCATTCCAATTCATCCCAAAGATGAATTAGATGGGGTTGAGGTCAGGGCTCTGTGCAGGCCAGTCAAGTTCTTCCACACTGATCTCTACAAAGCATTTCTGTATGGACCTTACTTTGTGCACGGGGGCATTGTCATGCTGAAACAGGAAAGGGCGTTCCCCAAACTGTTGCCATAAAGTTGGAAGCCCAGAATCGTCTAGAATGTCATTGTATGCTGTAGCGTTAAGATTTCCCTTCACTGGAACTAAGGGGCCTAGCCCGAACCATGAAAAACAGCCCCAGACCATTATTCCTCCTCCTCCATTCCTCTACAGTTGGCACTATGCATTCGGGCAGGTAGCGTTCTCCTGGCATCCGCCAAACCCAGATTTGTCTGTCGGACTGCCAGATGGTGAAGCGTGATTCATCACTCCAGACAATGCGTTTCCACTGCTCCAGAGTCCAATGGCGGCACGCTTTACACCACTCCAGCTAACGCTTGGCATTGCGCATGGTGATCTTAGGCTTGTGTGCGGCTGCTCGGCCATGGAAACTCATTTCATTAAGCTCCAGATGAACAGTTCTTGTGCTGACGTTGCTTTCAGAGGCAGTTTGGAACTCTGTAGTGAGTGTTGCAGCTGAGGACAGACTATTTTTACGCGGCCTATAGAAAAGTTTGTGGTCATACGCACATCCTTAAAAACATAGGTGCTGGGCTAGTAAAGAATACTAGTAAAGAACAGAAAGGCCCGCACACTGTAAGCTCCCAATGCTCCGCTTTATTGACTACGTTTCGATTCTAAACGGATCTTCGTCAGGTCATAAAACGTAGTCAATAAAGCTGTGAATTGGGAGCTAGCTTAAAGAGTGTCTTGGCTTTTCTGTTCTTTACTAGCTTGTGTGGTCTACCACTTCGCGGCTGAGCCGTTGTTGCTCATAGACGTTTCCACTTCACAATAACATCACTTACATTTGACAGGGGAAGCTCTAGCAGGGCAGAAATTTGACAAACTGACTTTTTGGAAAGGTGGCATCCTATGACTGTGCCACGTGGAAAGTCACTGAGCTCTTCAGTAAGGCCATTCTGCTGCCAATGTTTGTCTATGGAGACTGCATTGCTGTGTGCTCGATTTTTATACACCTGTCAGCAACGGGCCAAAATAACTGAATCCACTCATTTGAAGGGGTGTCCACATACTTTTGTATATATAGGTCCTTTATCTTTTCTACATACATTATCTCTGGTTTTAGTCGTTTAACTTTACACTGAAAAAGGTTTTCCAGCCCACCGAAGATTTTTCTATGCAGAAAAAGCCCTGGGATGTTGTCCAATGGGGTAAATGCAGATTGACAAACCCCATACTTCAGCCTATGTATTTATAGCCACTATGCTGCATCAGTTGGGCTACAGTTGATAATGCTTATTGCTAATGGCACATCTTATAATATAGACCATACATAGGCTATATCAAGGATCATCAATTAGATTCAGCCACGGGACCTATTTTTTTTTTTTCTTTTCTTGAGCTGATGGTCAGAACATAATTACAAATAATTTGTAGACTGCAAATTGACCACAAGAAGCCCAAACAGATATATTTTCTAACTGTACTTACATTTGTATACGATCACATGCACTGAGTGTACAAAACATTAGGAACACCTTTCTAATATTGAGTTGCACCCCCTTTTGCCCTCAGAACAGCCTCAATTCGTTGGGCCATGGACTACAAGGTGTCGAAAGCGGTCCACATGGATGATGGCCCATGTTGATCAGGCCTGGAATTTTGTGATTTGAGGTGCCCAATCTACCAGGGCACTAAGGCCATCCGCTAGGGCACCAAAGCCATTAACCATAATAGGCTATTTTAAATTGATTTGAAAACTGAAAAACACTAGCTATTCTGTTAAGAAAAGCATAAGTGTATGTAAATGTACATACAACTGACGCACAAAATGTGTTTGATGCTGAAAATAAGAAGCATTTTAGATCTGCGTTTACCAAACGCAGCAAGATATTTCTTATGCGTTATCTTTTCTTTCCCGTATGAAAAACGAAAAATTATGCGTTAGGGCGTCCCCTATGTTTAACCTGCTAGTTATCTAAGTGGCTGAATTAATAAGGTCACGGGCTCCATTGAAGATCTCACCTCGTGGCGTTACAATAATCATGAGAACGGTGAGGAATCAGCCCAGAACTACACGGGAGGATCTTGTCAATGATCTCAAGGCAGCTGGGACCATAGTCACCAAGAAAACAATTGGTAACACACTACGCCATGAAGGACTGAAATCCTGCAGCGCCTGCAAGGTCCCCCTGCTCAAGAAAGCACATATACAGGCCCGTCTGAAGTTTGCCAATGAACATCTGAATGATTCAGAGGAGAACTGGGTGAAAGTGTTGTGGTCAGATGAGACCAAAATGGAGCTCTTTGGCATCAACTCAACTCGCTGTGTTTGGAGGAGGAGGAATGCTGCCTATGACCCCAAGAACACCATCCCCACTGTCAAACATGGAGGTGGAAACATTATGCTTTGTGGGTGTTTTTCTGCTAAGGGGACAGGACAACTTCACTGCATCAAAGGAACGATGGACGGCGCCATGTATCGTCAAATCTTGGGAGAGAACCTCCTTCCCTCAGCCAGGGCATTGAAAATTGGTCGTGGATGGGTATTCCAGCATGACAATTACCCAAAACACACGGCCAAGGCAACAAACGAGTGGCTCAAGAAGAAGCACATTAAGGTCCTGGAGTGGCCTAGCCAGTCTCCAAACCTTAATCCCATAGAAAATCTGTGGAGCTGAAGGTTGGAGTTGCCAAACGTCAGGCTCGAAACCTTAATGACTTGGAGAAGATCTGCAAGGAGGAGTGGGGCAAAATCCCTCCTGAGATGTGTGCAAACCTGGTGGCCAACTACAAGAACCGTCTGACCTCTGTGATTGCCAACAAGGGTTTTGCCACCAAGTACTAAGTCATGTTTTGCAGAGGGGTCAAATACTTATTTCACTCATTGAAATGCAAATCAATGTATAACATTTTTGACATGCGTTTTTCTGGATTTTGTTGTTGTTATTCTGTCTCACTGTTCAAATAAACCTACCATTAACATTATAGATTTATCATGTCTTTGTCAGTGGTACGTACAGCAGGGGATCAAATAATTACTTTTTTCCTCACTGTATATCTCTCTCTCTCTTTTTGGGAGACCCGACCCATGTGGGTTAAAGATCTGTAATTGTCATTGAAATGAAGCGGTAGATCTGTTCTATGTGCTCTTTCTTTTTCGCGTCTTTTACTTTCGGTTTTGGACACCAGCTTCAAACAGCTGAAAATACAATATTTTTGGTTATTGAAAATAAATTTCATAGAGGTTTAGATGATTCTCTACACTTGCTGGTTTTGTCACAAACTGAAATTAGGCAAACTGCATATTGCATCTTTTTTAGAGGATCTCTGTCTCACGATAGCACATTGGTAGTAATCGGTGACAAATATCAAAGCTAAACATGGATGGGTTTGGTTAACACCCTGCATGGGAGACCAAATGGGATAGCTGTACAGAGACTAACTCTCCCATATGAGCTGCCTCCCAGCCTATTCTTTCTGATAGTGGATATGATGTTGAAGATCTGTGTTTCAAAGCTGCAAATTCAACACTACAAGGTTTATCTATGTTGAAAATTGGTAACCATGGTGATATCATCCTGTGGTTTTAAATTTCACCCTCAAACATTTACATTTTAAAATTCTATGTACTTTCCACTTCACAATATGTTGACAAATTACGTTGAAACAACGTTGATTCAACCAGTTTGTGCCCATTGAAGTTTCCGTCATATTTTTTTTTTGCGGGGCTTTAATTTGTGTGTTCCCGCTCATGTGGTGTAGTTCTGTAGTGGTTATGCTGATGTCTATGTGTTCCCCAGGATCTGCTGGAGCAGACAGGATACACCCTGGACGTCACCACGGGACAGAGGAAATACGGCGGGCCCCCACCAGAGGAAGTGTTCCAAGGAGCACAGCCTGGGATTGGAACTGAGGTAAAGCTGCCGGAGATGCACTATTTTCAAGTAACGTTATTTGAAAGGGTCATCGTGGCAAAGCCTTTGACGGATATAGAGAAGATAAAGGAGTTTGAAAGACTGTGGTCCCAAGGAAGTCAACAGAGGTTTACAGCAACACTACAGTAGTCTTCCCCTGCTAAAGTATCAAAGGAGCTCATCCGATCACATTGTGGAACCCTCAATGATCTAGTCTCTGTTTTCTGCCTTCAGGTGTTTGTGGGAAAGATCCCCAGAGATCTGTATGAAGATGAGCTGGTGCCACTGTTTGAGAAGGCGGGCCCTATCTGGGACCTGAGGTTAATGATGGACCCCCTGTCGGGTCAGAACCGGGGCTACGCCTTCATCACCTTCTGCAGCAAGGATGCAGCAGCTGAGGCTGTGAAACTTGTAAGTCCCTGCAGTCAGTCAATAGTCTTCACCTTCAAAGAACCAAGGGGCTGGTTTCCCAGACACAGATGAAGCCTAGACCTGGACTAAACATCACTTTCAATAAAGAATCTCCATTAAGTGTGCTTTTTTTTGTCTAGGGCTAGGCTTAATCTGTCTGGGAAACCTGCCCAAGATGTGATACATATTTCATTTTGGACCAGTCGTAGGACCTTTTCCAGCTTCCATATCAACCCTGACTAGCAATCTTTCCTCTTGTTGTTTTCAGTGTGATAACTATGAAATCCGGTCTGGGAAGTACCTTGGAGTGTGCGTATCTGTAGCAAACAACCGCCTGTTTGTCGGATCAATCCCAAAGAACAAGACCAGAGAGAGCATATTGGAGGACTTCGGCAAAGTCACAGGTCAGTGAAAGTGTAGACACCCCAATTTGGTTTACATTGTTTTATGTTCTGTGGTTTATCATTGGTCAGATATCAGTCATGTGACGCAGGTCTCTCGTTCTTCCTCCAGAGGGGCTTCAGGAAGTGATCCTCTACCACCAGCCAGACGACAAGAAGAAGAACCGTGGCTTCTGTTTCCTGGAGTACGAGGACCACAAGTCTGCAGCCCAGGCCCGCCGCCGCCTCATGAGCGGCAAGGTGAAGGTGTGGGGGAACCCGGTCACTGTTGAGTGGGCCGACCCGGTCGCTGAGCCCGACCCGGATGTCATGGCTAAGGTGAGTCATGTCTCGCTCGCTCTCTCACAAGCATACTCACTCTAATTTTTCTTGTCTTAAAATAACCTCTTTCTGCATAAACTGGGATCAATATGGAGTTGAATTGTAATGTTTGTGTCATCAGGTGAAAGTCCTGTTTGTCAGGAAGCTGGCCACCCCGGTCACAGAAGAGCTACTGGAGAAGACCTTCTCTGCGTTTGGAAAGCTGGAGCGGGTGAAGAAGCTCAAAGACTACGCCTTTGTCCACTTTGAGGACAGGGACGCAGCTGTGAAGGTGGGTTACTCTTGGTAAAAACATACTCCTTGTTTTCTGTTTTTTAACCTTGCTTTGTATGTGTGATAATGTTTTTGCTGCTTTTCTCAGGCAATGGCAGAAATGAATGGGAAGGAGCTTGGGGGAGAGGAGATTGAGATAGTCCTGGCCAAGCCCCCAGACAAGAAGAGGAAAGAGCGGCAGGCTCAGCGCCAGACCACCAGAAACCCAGGGTGAGGCCACAGAAAGCAACTGTGCTTGACTAATATCAGTTATATCTAATTGAGTAGTAATTGAGTAGTCTCCCATCATGGGATTACATTGAAGCTGATATGTTGTTCCTGTATTCTGCAGGTATGATGACTATTATTATTACCCACCACCACGCATGCCTCCACCAGGTAGGGGCCGGGGCCGTGGTGGCCGAGGGGGCGGTGGCTACGCAGCCTACCCCCCAGACTACTACAGCTACGAGGACTACTACGATGACTACTACGGCTATGACTATCACGACTACCGCGGGGGTTACGAGGACCCCTACTACGGTTACGACGACGTGTACAGCATGAGGGGCCGTGGCAGCCGGCCAAGCAGGGGAGGTCCGCCCCCACCCAGGGCCCGCGGAGCACCACCCACACGGGGCCGAGGCGGCTATGCCCAGAGGGGGCCACCCATCGGAGGGCCCAGGGGTGGCAGAGGAGGGGGCCGGGGGGGACCCTTCCAGCCACAGAGGGGCCGCGGTACCCGAGGAGCCAGGGGGAACCGCGGGGGCAATGTGGGCGGGAAGAGGAAGGCGGACGTCTTCAACCAGCCTGACTCCAAGCGCCGGCAGACCAACCATCAGAACTGGGGGTCTCAGCCCATCGCCCAGCAGCCCCTGCAGCAAGGGGCCGACTATTCTGGTAACTATGGTTACAGTAATGACACCCTGGAGTTTTCACAGGATTCTTATGGGCAGCAGTGGAAGTAGACGCATCAAAAACGGTATTTGGCAAAATAAAATAAAAAGACAGAGTAAAAACGTAATGTTTTTTACTTTTTGTTTTGTTTTTTTGACTTTTTATTCTTCATACCTCGTGGGGGGTGGGCGAGGGGGTAGATATTTCCCTGAGAGAAAAAATGGAAAGACCCCCAGAATTGGCACAACATGATTGGCTGGAATTGCATTTTGGCCTGAAAATGTGAATGTAACCGTTTTGCTGAATCATTTCTTACGGTTACATGGGACGTATGTCTTAAAACGCACATCACTTTTACCTTCCAACATTTTATTTGTTTATTTTAAAGCCAACAATGAGCATTTTAAATGTGGACATTCATTTTCAAAAGTCTGAGAGGCCGTTAAAATCATGATATTGCCTTGCAGGAAAGTTTGTGTCCAAGCCCCTCCCTCCCCTTCCTGTATTCCCCTTATTTCTGGTTTCTAATAGTAGCATAGGGACTTGCTTGTAAATAATTGCTTATGGCTAGAGCTTCATATTCATTTTTTTGCCGTGATGGAGAAAATCCACAGGAAGGAGAGCATTTAAAAGTTTTGTAACGTTAAAAGTGTATGTCTAGCATTTCTAGAGGTAGATCAATTGTGTTTTTTTAAACTGATATTATTATATAACTTCGTGTTTTCTTTGAACTTGCCGTTAGAATTTGGCTTACCTTAAAAGCCATATCAGTTTGTTCTCTGATGTTTGTATTTATAACTTTTACCTTTGTTCCATTTCAATAAAACTCAGTTGAGCATCATTCAATTGTCAGATACCTTCAAATTCAATGGTGTCATTCAGTATATGAGTCTACTTCTAATCCTACCTCAAATTTCACATTTGAAAAAAGATTTTGTCTGCTTTTTGCTCAAAGAATAAATCAAGAGACGATTAAATTGTCATACCTAAAGACTGGATGTCAGAGAGCACAAATGTTTGAATGACTGAATAAAAAAAGGATTATAACCCTTTATTTTCCAGGATATCCCACCCTCTTATGATGATCTGATGAAAGTTAAAAGATATACAAATGAAATTAACATAATAGTTGTACATTTGTACACCGATGCAGATTTTTCTACCTCACAATCTTTTACATTGGACTCTACATCAAGACCAGAACAACCAAGAATGTAAATGCATTCCCCTTCCCTGAAGGCACTGGATCAGTTGCAACTCACCTCCTCTCAAACACCATGAGGCCCAATTACACAGTAAAATAAAATAAACACGCAATTTATCAGAAGTAACGTCTGTGCTGCTGCTGTACGTTTTGTCTTTTGCTGCGGTAGCAATGACCCTTCAAGCCCTGCTGCTAATAGTAAATGCCTTTGGTCCCATGATATTATTATTATTAGTCTTTTATGTTTTGTCCTTTTATTCCAACTTACCCAGGTGGTGAAGCAAGAGCGGCATCGCTTGAGTGAGGAACGAACTCACCCTGAACTGTGTTCCTTACAAAAGGCCCGGGTGAGCTAGTTTAGAGTACTGTCTCTCCTCGCCTACAGCTGCGACTAAAATCAAAGGGGAGCGATTTCCAGCTGAAGTCATGCCATGCTTGTTATTGTTGCTAATAATATACTATTGTGAATGATGTAGGCCTACATTTAAATTGATTATTTTTGTGGATATCAATCCTTGCATCCTCAAACTAGGGTAATGAAGCTTCTAAATAATTGCATTGTTATTATAAATCTAGACAAGACAATTACTTTCTCCAGATTTGAAGTTGGGATGTAGCCTAGTCATCCTGATTGACCAAGGAGTGGGTGGTAGGTCACAGTAGTATTAAAGCCATTTGGCCACATTACTCCGAAGCAGATTAGACTTTTTAATGCACGGAATGAAGTGGACAAAAGCAGACAGTCAGACACTAGGCTTTTATAAAGGAGATGGGCCTAAACCTCCAAACCAAACGAACACCTGTCACTTAGGCTGCGTCTAAAATGGCACCCAATTCACTACTTTTAAACAGCCCATAGGGCCCTGGTCAAAAGCAGTGCACTACATGGGGAATAGGGTGCCATTTGGGATGCAAGCCTTAGCGACACCCCATTGTGATAATCGCTTCAGCTGTCCCCATGCCACATTCTTTTGAAAAAGGATTTATTGTCTTAATCTCAAGGCAACTTGCTCAAGGAAAGCAAGGGGGACTAGAATTCCTTTTTTTTAAATGACAAAGCATATGTTTTATTGGGCAATTATAAACTCTGACATTGACCTTCTGTATGATGGATACCTGTTACTACTGTGGTAATTGATAACTACACTGATCCCAATGCATTTGAAGATTACAATTTAGTCAACGGCTGGGCAAGCGATAGACAAGACGGTGCCTGGAAATTGGTATTTACATTTCAAATCCACAAGAGAGCAGTGTCTGTATTTGTTTCACAGGTGTGCCTTATCGCACAAGCAAATTTTATTCATGTTGCCCACAATTTAGCTTTGTATTAATGTCTAATTGAAGGTATATCAAAAGGATGCTATTTAATAAGAGTAGTTGTGTTTTATATGTTGCTTCTGTCACCAGACTGTAGGGGAGCTTCCCTCAAGCTAGCCCTCACCCTGCCCTACCTGTGGACCAGTTAGGTTCATACAAATGGAGTAGACTTATGGGTAAGGTGTCATTTGTTCTTTTTCTATTCTGTTGTGTATTATTCATCTATAACATTTGAAATCGGAGCCCTTAATTTATATTACAGTATTTTAAAGTAAATCCATTGAAGATGCTCTGAGATATGTGATGTCAATCATTCACTGATATTTGCGTAGAATATTCCAGTAGGATTCCATTGATAACCTAGCATTCCATATTTTTTTTTAGATTCCATTGAGGTGTTGCCAAACCTATGCTATGTTTCACAGGAATGTCTGATATTGGTTGATTATGGCGTTCTCTGTGGCTCTTTTACAGCCCTCCCCCTAAGGAGACCTTATTTTTTTCCCAAACTTTCAGCCTGGGCCACAGTGGGCATAGACATCTCCCCTGATGAACTCGTGGCATATTTGCGAGCCCAGGCTGATGAAAAGACTCCAAGGCTACTCTACTATGTTGAACTTCCTGTCCCCATACCTATTGTCTCTGATGCTGGTCTGTCATGGCTGCTGCTGGCTACCATGCTTACAGAAATGGAAGGTGAAAATAATATTTTTCAATATATAATCTTTATCTTTTATAAATTATATTTATTTGTATGGACACTGAGTTGCACTGATTAGTCTGTGGATTTGTTCTGGTGATTTAATGTTTTCCACATCCCTATGCAGGAGTGGTCAGAGGCAGACTCCCTGTCTAAGCAGCTACATCAAGGCCTGGACCTTAAGGATAGCCTGGCCGCACGGGTGAGGGAGGTCATCCAGCGCCTGGAGACCCTGTAGGAGGCCAAGAGAGCCGTCCGCGACAGGCACCGTCACCACCACTGTCGCTCTGGCTCCTCCACCCGACAGCCTGCTTGGACACCAGCCGGAGACCCGGCAGAGACTATGAAATATGAGGGGAACGTTGGACCATGTTTTGCATTGAAAATGTAGGCAGACATTTTTTGGGGTCAAGTAAATTGACTCTTGTTATACTTTGGGATTTCAAGACTGGTGTTGATGTATGTGAAAGGTGGGATATGACTTGACAAAAAGTGACAGTGCCCTTTTCCATTGAACATGTACACCTATATGACACTGGGGCCTGTTTGGCTCAGTTGTTAGAGCATGGCGCTTGCAACGCCAGGGTTTGATTCTCATGGGGGACCAGTACAAAAAATGGATGCACTCGCTACTGTAAGTCTTTCTGGATAAGAGCATTTGCTAAATGACTTAAATGTAAATCATTTGTCATTTTACATTTAGCAGATGCTCTTATCCAGAGCGACTTACAGGAGCAATTAGGGTTAAGTGCCTTGCTCAAGGACACATCGACAGATTTTTCACCTAGTCAGCTCGGGGATTAGAACCAGCGACCTTTCGGTTACTGGCACAATGCTCTTAACCACTAAGCTACCTGCCGCCACCCCTCTTATCCAGAGCGACTTACAATTACTGAGTGCATACATTTTTCATACTGGCCCCTGTGTCTAGCGCTTACATTTTAGAAAAGGGTTTGAGGTTGTGGAAATTTAATCTTCTCAAGTCTGAATTTACAAACTCTGGTTTCTCATGAGCATACACCTCATCATTTGACCAGAGAAGAAAAAGAGGACACTATCGGAGATGGTGTGATCCCAAGTTGGAATGGCGTTTCGGGACACATCTGTCCATGGAGCTTGAGGTGATGCCATGTTCTGGGCACTTCATGAGTGGCCCAGTGTCACCTTTGCTCTGGTTGTTGGCTTGCTTGTCATACTATTCATCAGCAAAAAAATAAAATAAAAAATCAGCCATAGAATCATCAAGAGGATTCAAAACCAGGTGACTGACCAATAGGTTTCTTAATAGATTTGTCTGGGGGTTTATAAGATATTTCTCCATACAGTACACATGAGCATAACTAGTATTTTGGAGAAAAAAATTATATAACTTGCAGCAATGATTAAGATAGTGATTTTCATTTCAACCTCTGCCGCCTCAGATGCAGTACACTGCGGACATGCAGTCGATGTTTCAACAAGGATTTAGTAGGTGATCGTGCAGCTGTTGACTGTCCTGTACAGGACTGCCCAACCTAGAGGACGTTCTCTATGGACTGGCGTGGAGGAAACTTCACGGGCTCCGAATCTGACGAGAGCTCCCTTCCCATGAACGCGCATATACTTCGATGTGTCCGATTGAAAACGGCTTTTTCTGTGCACAGGCAGTGAATGGTAAATGAGGGAAATGTGGTATATTTTTGAGCACCCAAAAATATTTTCACCCATTTCTATGTTTTAATCAACAACAACTAAAAAATAGAATAATGTTCAAAGTATTGTCAGTTTTATAGTGAAGCTTTTACATCAACTAGCCATGTTTTATGCAGTTTATTGAATGGTTTGGAAAATAATTCAAAGGGCAACATGAAACCTGACCTGTACTATTAGCGATCACAAATCTTTATGTATTATATATTTGATTGACATGTAGGGCCGGTTTCCCAGAGACAGATTAATCCTAGTCCAGAACTAAAAAGCATTCTCAATGGAGATTCTCCATTAAAATCATTTTTTTGTCGAGGACTAGGCTTAATCTGTGTCTGTGAAATCGGCCCGTAATGTTTATTGAAGGTCCCTATTTTTATGTGTGTATTTGCGCGCAAAAAAACTGCATTGAGTCATGTGATAGTGGATGTTGTGACGTCAGATGAATGAAGCCGAGATGGCGGCTGCTGGAGGAGAGCCCTCTGCCCAAAGTGGTCCGGATGATTTGTTCAATCATTTCTACACAGAGGTAGGATACGTTTAGGAAATATATGCTACTCAATGTGTTATGTAACCTAATGCTATAGATTTGACAAATTCCGATCATTAATGCTCTGGATTTGTATTTATGGGGCCTATAAGCATCTGCTGGCTAAAAAGCTCGAGAGGCTAACGTTAGCTAGCTCAGTAGCTGACACTAGTTAGCTCGTATAACATGGTGTGCATTTACTAGCTAGCAATTGCTAACACTAACAGCTGTGTTGTTGATTCGCCAGAACACTTCTCTGTGATCCTAATACGCATATAGTTTGGTAAACCACTATTTTGTTTTGTCAGTGTAGATGAATTTTGTTTCGCTTTCTTAAACAGTGGTGAAATGTTTGTACTTGGTCTGTTCTCTTTCAAGTATTCGTTTCGGTATTTCACTTATGGGATACGCCCCCAACGTATTCGTCAGAAGCCTTTATTACACTACGTGCTCTAGCTAGCAGCAGATCCGACCTGCTTGTTTACAGCTGTACTAGGGTCTTACAGGCTTCCTGTGTAGATTAAAGACACTGCAGAGCCAGCGCGAGATATGGCTTGGAAAACGTACCAGAGCAGTGTCATTGTGCAAAATGGTACACATTATCATCTGGATATGTGAGCAACATTCACATTCTGCTACCATTTCTGTCCCATCTATGTATATAATTTGATTCATATGTTTGATAAATCCAATGTATGCACCACGCAGAACGTACTGCAACACAATGCTGCAAGGCAAATGCAGCGTTCCATTGGGAATGAATGTTCTTCTGGTGTACCAAAACGCAATAACGCTGTCAGTGTTAATCTCACTCGGTGTTTTATGCTGTGTTTAGACGAGGTATTCAAAAGCTGTCATACCAGTCGGCATAGTGTCTTCCGTAGCGGCTGATGGTATTCACCGCCAGCCTCAACGGCATTTACCGTCGTGCTCTCATTGAAAACAATGACATCCGGTTTGCCGTCTAATGCGTACCATGTAAACACAGCATTAATCTACGCTGGAAGCCTGTCGGATCTGCTGGCTAGTGCTCTGGCATGAATGTAAACATGCTCAGTTCCGTCTATCCAACCTTCCCCAAGTGGACTCATGAGTCCTGACAGATAATGCCAGCTGGCTAGTGAGAGGGATCAAGATTATGTAAATGTCCACGAGTGAACTTCTGTGACCTTACCTAATATGACATGACCTTGTCCAACAGGTAAAGCAGATAGAGAAAAGAGACTCTGTGCTAACCTCGAAGCAGCAAATAGTCAGGCTGCTCAGACCTGGGTCGTCCTACTTCAATTTAAACCCCTTTGAGGTAAGTGGCTAGTTCCTGTCACATGCAGCTGTAGTTGATCTGTTATTATTGTAACAAGATTGATATGTAGAACTGCATTGAAGGGTCCTTAGTACAACACCAGCGACCTCATCAAGAAGTTCAGGCCTCTTGGCATAATGACTTAGGTGTTGTGCTGACATGCATCGTTGCAGGTTTCAACCCGTTTGAGATCATTGCTGAAGGTGCTGACATGCATCGTTGCAGGTTTCAACCCGTTTGAGATCATTGCTGAAGGTGCTCTATTGGTGTCAGAAGTTAAATGGCTTTAACGTTGTGTGACCATTGTGTCTGGGCAAGATGATAAAGTGCAAGAGTGTTTCTCAAAGGAAAAGGGGTAGTGTAACATCCTTTGTACAACACCAGCGACTGTCAAGAGGTTTGGATCGCTTGATGTAAATAGGTATTTTACTGACATCTGTGTTGCTTAGGCTATGCAGTGTCAACTTTGCTTTTAGTGAGATGCCTAATTTAAATTTCAGGTGTTACAAATCGATCCAGAGGCAACAGATGAGGAGTTGAAGAAGAGATTCCGAGCGGTAGGTATACTACATCTCTGACAGAAGGTACCGGAGTATCTGATCTTGGACCAACAGATTCCTTGATAGCTTACAGGCCATAACACTGTTGAACAGCTAACCCTAGCTGTCCACCTGCACATACCTGCTGTTCACATTCACCCTATTAAGAGACTATTTGCACTGACTCTTTACACCCATCCCATACATGCACACACACACTTCACTCACTACCATCACTGCTGCTTTTATTTATTAGTACTGATCACTTTATCTACTGTACATAACGGTCATATTGACATAGTACATGTCATAGTACATACTGTATATTCTATAGTTTATATTTCCCATCCCGAGTAGCGCAGTGGTCTAAGGCACTGCATCTCAGTGCTTGAGGCGTCACTACAGACCCCCTGGTTCTATTCCAGGCTTGTTTGGCCGGTGTAGGCCGTCATTGTAAATAAGAATTTGTTCTTAACTTGACTAAATAAAGGTAAAATTAAAAAATATATCTTAAAACTGAAAGCCTTAATGGTGAAACAGCCACGTCCGTTTGCGATAGATATTACAACAACAAAGAAGTTACTGCAAATAAAAAGCCTGACCGATATGGACGTTTTGGGTCCGATATCGATTTTAGGGAGGCAAAAGTCAGATTATCGAAATATCTGCCGATTATAGTTTTTTTGAGGTCGAATGAAAAATACCTTTTTAACACCATTGATGTGCCAAAAGATGAACAGATACTCTAAATTATGATTTCTTAACTAAATATTAAAATTAACATTATTTAACATTTTTATTTGTGGTTTACATGATGACCACCAAAAGCAACGATATCCTCTATAACTACGAATGTAAATACAAAACACTTGTTCAGTTGACCTTCTTAGGTACAACGTAAAGGTTTGTCTGTGGCAGTGGATAAGAATCCAGAAGTATATGTGCTGAAACACCACAAGCACATTTATTAACAAGAAGGGCTGAATTAATTAACCTTTGTCTCAAAGTAAATCTGAAGCTGCGCTGTTCACAACCTATGCAGTGAAATGGTGTAACTTGCAGTTTGTGGTGTCACCACTAGATGTCAGCATTTGTATTGAGTAGATTCATTACAGCGCTTTACAACAGTCAAAGGTCATGTAAAGAAACACTTTATGGCAACCTAGCAATGATGGTCGTCACTAGTTACCACAGCCACAACGTCATAAACCCCGCCTATTTCTACAATTTCTCTTCTTAAAATGTGATTTTAAATCTAACCTTGTTACCACACTGTTAACCTCATGTCTAACCTTCAAATAAGACCAAAAAAGCATGATTTCTTTACGATATAGCCAATTGTGACGTTGTGGCTATAGTAACTAGTGGAAACCCAATGAGAGCTTGTTACGACAAGCACATGCTAGCTATTTTTTAGGACAATGTTTTCTTACTGAAACCATAATGTAAATCAGGGGCGCAACTTTGGTTTTAGAAGTGGAGTGGACAACTTTTTATTTGTATTACATTTTTTATCCAGTTGGATAACCACTCCAAACTGCCTACCCGACCGCTCGGTGGCGTCCGCATGGTCCTAAAGAACACTGTTGCCTGGTTTTGTATCACATTTAAATGATAAAACTGGGGACAAAAATGCAATTTCTGAATGTGGGGGGACATGTCCCCCTCATCCCCAGTGAAAGTTGTGCCCCTGATGTAAATTACACTGTTATTCAATACAAAATGTATTAGCTATATTTCAACTGCAAATGGCATGACTGAAAACGTTCATGCAGTAAAATGGTTGCTGCGTTGGTTTTAGTCGCACACATTATAATTTAGAAAGCTAACAACAATCTTATCTCATTATGAATGAAACATTCTTAAATGGAAGAAGTTTAGAACCACCATGACTATTCCTAGAGCTTGCCGCCTGGCCAAACTGAGCAAACGGGGGAGAAGGGCCTTGGTAAGGGAAGTGACCAAGAACCCGATGGTCACTCTGACAGAGCTCCAGAGTTCCTCTGTGGAGATGGGAGAACCTTCCAGAAGGACAACCATCTCTGCAGCACTCCACCAATAAGGCCTTTATGGTAGAGTGGCCAGACGGAAGCCACTCCTCAGTAAAAGGCACGTGACAGCCCACTTGAAGTTTGCCAAAAGGCACCTAAAGGACTCTGACCATGAGAAACAAGATTCTCTGGTCTGATGAAACCAAGATTGAACTCTTTGTCCTGAATGCCAAGCATCACTTCTGGAGGAAACCTGGCACCATCCCTACGGTGAAGCATGGTGGTGGCAGCATCATGCCGTGGGGATGTCTTTCAGCGGCAGGGACTGGGAGACTAATCAGGATCGAGGGAAAGATGAACGGAGCAAAGTACAGAGAGATCCTTGATGAAAACCTGCTCCAGAGTGCCTAGGACCTCAGACTGGGGTGAAGGTTCACCTTCCAACAGGACAACGCAGGAGTGGCTTCGGGACAAGTCTCTGAAAGTCCTTGAGTGGCCCGGACTTGAACCCGATCTAACGTCTCTGGCGCCTATCACTTATTTTCTTGTGTTATTTTTATTTGTACTTATTTCACTGCACTGTTGAGAAGTAGCTTGCAAATAAGCGTTTCATTGCACTGTTTACACACCAACATATCCTGTGTATATAATGAATAAACTTTATAATTGATTCTCACACTGACAAAAGCTAACTATTTTTCTCCTTCCATTTCAGTTGTCCATCTTGGTCCATCCAGACAAGAACCAGGATGATCCAGACAGAGCACAACTAGCCTTTGAAGGTAGAAATATGAACGCAGGCACAATATGTCTACATCCGTTAGCCGAATACATTCAAAGAGTTCTTAACAACCCCAATCCCACTGTATTTCTAGCTGTGGACAAGGCATACAAAAACCTGCTGGACCCGGAACAGAAGAAGAGGGCAGTTGATGTAATCCAAGCAGGAAGGGAATATGTTGAGCATAATGTGAGTAACTGACCGCCTGTCCCTCTGTTCACACGTCTCATAGGTAGCTACCCAAATGGCTCCCTATATAGTGCACTACTTTTGACCATGACCCATAGGGTGCACTATAAAGAGAATAGGGTGCCATTTGGGACATAGATTTACTGTACAATTGTATTAATAGTATTGAAGCTACTATTACAGTTTTAAAATTCATGTTTTGTAGTAAAAGTGTCATGTGATGTGGCATCTTCCATTGCAACAGATGAAAGAGAAGAAGAAACAGCTGAAGAAGGATGGGAAGCCTCAATTCGTGGAGGAGGATGACCCAGAAATGGTATTGACAAGTGGTTAAATATAATTTGTAACAGATGTAAGTCTGTTTGTTTTAATATTGGGCTTATTGTTATTTTACTAAGGAAACCACTTCTCTTGATCTAACCCTCAGTTCAGACAGGCGGTGTACAAGCAGACTATGAAGCTGTTTGCAGAGCTTGAAATCAAGAGGAAGGAAAGGGATGCCAAGGACATGCATGAACGGTAACAGTGCCATTTCAGTCAACTGAATATTGTACATGAAGCATTTGGAGGTATATCGTTGAAATACAGAACATATCAGCACAGAACACTCAATGTTATTGCATGGAAGGTGGGTATTGTTTGTAATACTTGTCAAATATTTTGGGGAGAATTCTAGGAATACATGGCCCTCAGAATGTCTGTGGTCTTTTGGTGTCCATAAGGAGGGAATACCATTCAATGTTTCATGTTATTTTTCTCCTCAGGAAAAGGGCAAGAGAGGAAGAAATTGAGACTGCAGAGAAAGCTAAGAGAGAGAGAGAATGGCAGAAGAACTTTGAGGTATGTTGAAAAAAGGTTGTAATTACATTTGAGTGAAAATTATATTTTGAGCAGTAAACTTTGATCAACATCACCCAAAATAAGCTGGGATGAGGAGGGACGAAGTACCTAGTGTTGAATAGCTTCTGGCTCTTCAGCTGTATAACTGAGATTCAGGGATATGGCGTTACCACCAGCAGCAGGGTAAACTGCAGATACTCATAGTTGTTGTAGAAGTCGTCCCGATATTGCGGTTTACTTCATGCATCGCTGACTATACCTTACATCTTTTGCCATTTTGTCACAAGGAAACAAGGGATGGCCGAGTGGATAGTTGGAGGAGTTTCCAGGCAGGCAAAAGCAAGGCTAAAAAAGAGAAGAAACCCCGGTCGTTCCTGAAACCTCCTAAAGTCAAGATGGAGCAGAGAGAGTGATGTCTGTTGAGGTGTGATGGTTAAGGATACTACCCAAAGTGTGTACTTGCACACTCCACTTGTTTAAAAGCATAGGAGTGGTGTTTAAGTATTGGTTGGAGGGAGTTTCCACCATTGTAAAAATCCATGCGAGAAGGTTTGCAAGTGCACACTTCGGAAGAAGGGTGGAGAATCGCGACTCAACCCAACATTCTTACTTACACTTGACAGTGCATCCACCCTCCTGAGAAATGTACTTTTGTGCTCGTTTTGTAATGTACATAATTGTGATCTGCAACCTCCATGAGAGCATCACTGACTTGCCTCAATTAAAGTAGGAAAGATAACAGGATATCTTCCATTTCTGTAACCACCTTAGTTTGCCTGGACTTCTTGTGCTGTATTCTTTTTTTTTATATACCTTTAAATAAAAGCTTGTTTGTAACAAGTCTATTTTGTGGTCTTCCAAGTATTGACTCCGAAACGAGGCAGTCTAGTTGAGGGTAGAATAATGACATCCTTAGGTAATGACTGCCTGGTATGGGTTCGTCAATAGGTACTAGATACTATAACATATGAAGGAATTCTTCCCTTACTGTGAAACACAAGGAGACTGTCCAGCCGCTCTTGGAGGACAATGGAAGTAGATTTCAGAAATGCTTCTTTATTATTTCTGAAAGAGTGCCTGAATATTCTCTTCCCTTCAGTTTACTCCTCTATCCATGCACCTTGGTTGGAGAGCGAGGTAGCGACAGCATCTCATGTATCCCTTTCTTGCTTTGCCTTCATCAGAATGTCAAATCCACAGTGGGTTGGGATTCCACTACACAGAGGCAGCGTTCTATTCCCTATATAGTGCACTACTTTTGACCAGAACCATATGGCTCCTGGGCAAAACACATGACAAAATAGGGAATGGGGTGTCATTTGGGACAGAGACATAAAGTCAACTCTTATTCCCATGTTGATGCCCCTGCACTCTTTTCTTTAATACATTGAAACGAGTTGCCCCAATTGACCAATGGTTGTGACCCTCTAGCCATCATCTTTATCGTAAGCACAGTGTTCTTCCTTAGCAGTAGCATTGTGCATCCATTCTGTTTTCATATCAAATGTTTGAGTGCAACACTGCTGCAATTAATCTACAGTACCACAGAAAGTTGGGGCCTAGTCTGTCAGAGCTGTTTTTGTCAGTTGAACTCTAATCGTTACACTATATCAATAGAAATGTCCAATATATTCTTATTGGTCATCTATGAGTGATCAAGTTATAAATGTCCAAAGAGAGTCGCCAGTTTATGCTCTTGCAACATTGCCTTTAATAATCATTAATTGAAAATACATTCAATTGCATTTGGCAGAAAGACAAATTGTGACAAGGGCCCAAAATTATACAAAGTACATTTACTTAGTGCGTAAGTTGTAAATCCGTTCAATGACACATATAGGATACAACATCAGGCTATTCAAGTCAAGGGCCCTGACACGGTAGTCTAGTCTAGAGCAGAACATTAACAAGTGAGCGCACGACAAGACAGGACTGACTTACCAGCACTAAATGACAGTGTTCTCCACTGCTACAGAAAAGATCAAGCAATTGAAATGCATCTTCACATTCACTTACCCACTGGCATAATGCAGTTTCTCTGAACCCCCGCAAGGGCAGAGTTCTTTTTGGAGGGTTACTGTGAATTATCTATTAAATAAATAAAAAGTAGACGTCGATGACAGGTGCCTGGGCCCCCCTGCTTTGCAGGGGTGTCCGGTATGCCAGTGCACTTACCCCTTTCATCTTTAAACAAACTTAAAAAGGTAGACTCAGCAAAATGATGTTGCCACAAGCAGCAGATATTGAGATGAGTGGGATGCAAGATGAGCTCACACACTATCTGCGCATGCGCACATGTTCGCTTTATGCCATTAGAGCATGGTAGGTACTTGACCAAAACAGGAGTTGAGCCTCGCGCTTAGTTGTTGCGGAAATTGACCGACTATGCTGTTTACTTTCTGCATCTAGTCTACCTTTAAAACTTTGGCTTCATCATCATTTCTTATCACCACAAGTGTTGTTTTTCCCCAGAGTTCAGTGTATTCTCAATGTCTCACAAGGGTAAGTGTAGGTAACCTCGTTCCCAGTCTCAACTGTTAACACATAAATTAAAAACGTCCCCTTTTCAGGACCCTGTCTTTCAAAGATAATTTGTAAAAATCAAAATAACTTCACAGATCTTCATTATAAAGGGTTTAAACACTGTTTCCCATTCTTGTTCAATGAACCATAAACAATTAATGAACATGCACCTGTGGAACGGTCGTTAAGACACTAACAGCTTACAGACGGTAGGCAATTAAGGTCACAGTTATGAAAACTTAGGACACTAAAGAGGCCTTTCTACTGACTCTGAAAAACACCAAAAGATAGATGCCCAAGGTCCCTGCTCATATGCGTGAACGTGCCTTAGGCATGCTGCAAGGAGGCATGAGGACTGCAGATGTGGCCAATAAATTGCAATGTCCGTACTGTGACGGCGCTACAGGGAGACAGGACGGACAGCTGATCGTCCTCGCAGTGGTAGACCACGTGTAACAACACCTGCACAGCATTGGTACATCCAAACATCACACCTGCGGGACAGGTACAGGATGGCAACAACAACTGCCCGAGTTACACCAGGAACGCACAATCCCTCCATCAGTGCTCAGACTGTCCGCAATAGGCTGAGAGAGGCTGGACTGAGGGCTTGTAGGCCTGTTGTAAGGCAGGTCCTCACCAGACATCACCGGCAACAACGTCACCTATGGGCACAAACCCAGCATGACAATGCCACCAGCCATACTGCTCGTTCTGTGCGTGATTTCCTGCAAGACAGGAATGTCAGTGTTCTGCCATGGCCAGCGAAGAGCCCGGATCTCAATCCCATTGAGCACATCTGGGACCTGTTGGATCGGAGGAAATGTCTGGGAACTTGCAGGTGCCTTGGTGGAAGAGTGGGGTAACATCTCACAGCAACAACTGGCAAATCTGGTGCAGTCCATGAGGAGGAGATGCACTGCAGTACTTAATGCACAAGTGGCCACACCAGATACTGACTGTTACTTTTGATTTTTTACCCCCCTTTGTTCAAGGACACATTATTCCATTTCTGTTAGTCACATGTCTGTGGAACTTGTTCAGTTTGTCTCAGTTGTTGAATCTTGTTATGTTCATACAAATATTTACACATGTTAAGTTTGCTGAAAATAAACGCTGTTGACAGTTTCTTTTTTTGCTGAGTTTAGGTCAACAGAGAGCCTGCTGGTGGACGAGATTAAAGTGTTAGATGATATGTAGCTTCGGCCCAGGCTTTCACGAACGTGAGCGAAGCCTGGAAGCAGAGGCCAGATACAAATTGTCTTTTGTCTCACATGACCTTACACTGGTCCCCGCCTGAGGCCATAGAGCTCTGGGCGCCTCCTGTCACGATCACTGAGCCCCTGGAAGGCATCAAACAACGAATCATCCTTCGCAGCTTTCTGGTTGCTCTTGGCATTGGTCTTACTCTACATGGGGATAGAAAAAAAAGGTTAAAGTCTCTGTCTCTTGTAAGTTAAGTCTAAAATCCTGGCCAATGGTACCCATGCAAGCACTTTGTATTAACAAGAGACATGAGATCAGTTCAATTAGAATATGTCTTGTGATTCCCAAGTTTCACCTGTAAACTCCTTTAGTCCGTCAATATTAAATGGGTATATTGTCAGATCAGACGTCCACTGAACGAGTGATCTCCATCTGTTATTATGACCAGCCACACGTGACATGCACACACACATAATTACCTTAGGGAGGCAGTGCTGGCTCCTTCTGACGGACCTCTCTTCAATCTTCTTCTCTCTCAGTTTCCTACAGTAACACAATACAGAAACATTAGCTTCAGTGGCATTGTGAGTCTCCTAAAGAGATATACAGTGCATTCGGAAATTATTCAGACCCCTTGACTTTTTCCACTTTGTTACGTTACAGCCTTATTCTAAAATTGATTAAATTGTTTTTTCCCCCTCTAACTACACACAATACCCCATATTGACAAAGCAAAAACAGGTTTTAGAAATATTTGCAAATGTATTAAAAATAAATAACTTAAATATGACATTTACATAATTATTTAGAACCATTACTCAGTACTTTGTTGAAGCACCTTTGGCAGCGATTACAGCCTCGAGTTTTCTTGGGTATGACGCTACAAGCTTGGCACGCCTGTATTTGTGGAGTTTCTCACATTCTTCTCTACAGATCCTCTCAAGTGCTGTCAGGTTGGATGGGAAGGGTCGCTGCACAGCTATTTTCAGGTCTCTCCGACGTGATGCTTGGCATTCAGGCCAGAGAGTTCAATCTTGGTTTCATCAGACCAGAGAATCTTGTTTCTCATGGTCTGAAGAGTCCTTTAGGTGCCTTTTGGCAAACTCCAAGTGGTCTGTCATGTGCCTTTTACTGAGGAGTGGCTTCCGTCTGGCCACTCTACCATAAAAGGCCTGATTGGTGGAGTGCTGCAGAGATGGTTGTCCTTCTGGAAGGTTATCCCATCTCCACAGAGGAACTCTGGAGCTCTGTCAGAGTGACCATTGGGTTCTTGGTCACCTCCCTGGCCAGCTCTAGGAAGAGTCTTGGTGGTTCCAAACTTCTTCCATTTAAGAATGATTGAGGCCACTGTGTTCTTGGGGACATTCAATGCTACAGAAATGTTTTAGTATCCTTCCCCAGAACTGTGCCTCGACACAATTCTGTCTTGGAGCTCTACGGAAAATTCCTTTGACCTCATGGCTTGGTTTTTGCTCTGACATGCACTGTCAACTGTGGGACCTTAGACAGGTGTGTGCCTTTCCAAATCATGTCCAATCAATTAAATTTGTAGAAACATCTCAAGGATGATCAATGGAAACAGGATGCAACTGAGCTCAATTTTGAGTCTCATAGCAAAGGGTCTGAACACCTATGTAAGGTTTCAGTTTATTTATTTTTATACATTTGCAAAAATGTCTAAAAACCTGTTTTTGCTTTGTCATTAAGGGCTATTGTGTATAGATTGAGTTTTATATTTTTATTCAATCCATTTTAGAATAAGGCTGTAACGTAACAAAATGTGGAAAAAGTCAAGGAGTCTGAATACTTCCCGAATGCACTGTTCTTAAACATTTGATACTTATCTATATAAGCTCTACGGGCCGGTTTCCCAGACACAGATTTAGTGTAGGCCTGGACTAAAAAGCATGCTCAATGAAGAATCTCCATTGAAAGTACTTTTTAGTCCAGGATTAGGCTTAATTTCTGTCTGGGAAACTGGCCTTCAATGATTTTATATCTACTAAAAACAATGGCCAACCATATCTACCTTTCTCTTTGAATGTCAGCATGGTATGCTCTGAGCCAGGAGTCTGGTACAGCTCTCTGCAAGTTTTGGTGCAAGGGACACTCTTCCTTCTCATTACGCTCTTCCATTGAGCCCGTGCTCACGACTATGCTCTTCCATTGGGCCCCCGTGCACTTTTTGGTGCGTATTTTGTTGTCTGGTTTGGTCCCCGTTCCCGACACATAATTGCTGAACTGCTTGATGGGATCACCCAGGGACTTAAGATCCACCATAAAATCCATCTCTAGTTGTATGTGTCTGCGCTGCTTTGAGCGTAGTGTTTCAGTATCTCTCACTCAGAGCTGGAGGAACTCAACTGATGGCCTCTTTTTTTTCAAACCTGTCAACGGCAAAGATAGAATAATGATTAGGTTGGGAAGATTTTTTCTGCACAAGGCTAGTACATAAAACAAAATACATGCACCGTCTCTGATTGCAAGTTGATCTGAACAGTCATAGAAAGGGGCATTATCAATGACAAAATGGAACCAATGTCAACTACATTATTTACAATACAGCCAACCATACTGAATAACAGACATCACAACAAAAATCTATGCAAGGCTCTTTCAAGTGTTACCCACATTATTATTACCTGTAAATAGTATATTTGCAGTATCCAAGAAAGTCAGGTAATCCACATTTTTCCTCAGTGGCAAAACAGCATTGCTTGAGGTACTCCGGTTGATGGACTTGTGCGCATTTGTCCGGTAAAGTGGCTTGTCTCCTCCTCTCAGGAGGATTAGTTTAAGACATAAGCACTAATCTCATTAGAACCTACAGGGAGGCAAACAAACCAGTGTAGGAAAGAAACAAGCATCATGTCGATTTCAATGATGACATGGAATGACCCATTCCCATTCTTAGAATTTGGTTAGTTTGTAATTAACTGTCAGTGTAGGTATAGTTACAGACCTATGTGTTGCCAGGTTATATCTGTTAGTTCTGATGGATGAGTAGATCTGACCATAAATAAAGCATGAGAGAGGGGGTAGAGAGAGAGAACCCATGGTCTTGAGGAAGACAGTTAAGAGGCATGAATCACTTTTGTTTTCAATATCAGCGAGGGGATATTCTCTTTTCTTTAGAATAGCTGCCAATTGAAGTTGAGTGACTCATTGATGCAACCTGGATCCATCAGCCTTCCACTACTTTGTACTCAAATAGCACAAGAGTCACTCAGTCACCACCACCCTTCATCATGTCTATACATTTTGACTGATGGAAATAAAAACTGGTAATAAAAATTTACAAAATCCAATAAAAAAAACTTAGTTGCTGCATGGTTGCCACAGCTGATCCTCCTGTCCTTGGCCCTTCCTGTGGGTGAGCCTGCTGTGTCAGAGATCACACGTCAGACTTTAGAGGAGTGTCCATGGGTGAATCTCAATTCATTTTCCTTGCAAACCCTTTTCTACTCCTCCTCAAAACACATCGGAGGAGAAAATCCGAGGGGAGGGACCTTGGTCCTTCTCCTCTAATAGGGTTGAGAAGGTGAGAAGATAGAGCCCATGTCCTAACACTACTTATCTACAGACTATTTGGTTAGCAGTAGCAGCAGAGTTGGTGGTACAATACTACTAAATAGAGCAATAGGCCAGGGTCAGTCAAGGGTTTCCTGACAGCCTGCTATATCTTATGCCAACACTAGTTTGGCCACATACACACACACTGTAGTCATAAGGGCTACAGTCATGAGATACATTAGGGATTCAAAAGACACAGTTGAGTATTTAAGACAAAACGCCTCCCCATAACTCAACCAGAGGCCAAAGCTGAAATTAAAGGCACCACAAGCCTTGGCAAAGGAGGACATAACTTTAATTCTACAGAATCATACATAGTTTTATACATTTAAATCTCATACAAAAAAATTAATGTACAGGGAGATGAACACCAGTAACGTCTCATAATAAATACTGTAAACTGTGTGATGCGGTGTGCCTGTGGCATTGGGATGCCATACGTTACTATTATGAACCTGTGTGTGCTTCATCTCAGACCACAGGCCTGATACTATCACACATGTAAAAGGCAGTTTGCAGTTTGTGTTGTGTGGGGTCTGATTTGTGTGAGGGTCTGTCATTTCCCCAGACAAGATGAAGACCAGCTGAGAAAACATGTCCAGTCGTGAGTACTATTATTACATTAATATGGCATCATAATCCCTCTCCTCAAAAGCATTGCATAACGTAACAGAGATACAGATGATATATTATATCAATAGGAGAGGCCTATATAAGCAATAAATGTGGTGTGTCAATCACTTATTGACGAAACGTGCCATCCAATTGGCTAATATTAGTCCAGATCGATGGCTGTGGCATGGTCAAGAGTTTCCAAATAGCACGTTACTCATTACAATGCCCCTCTTCTCCAAGCCTTTCACCTCAAATGAAGCGGTCACAATATTGGATTTCATAGCAAAGCTTCTCTTGCTCTCACTAGTGTTCCACCAGACTAGGCCAGTCCTTTCCTTTACATGCGGAAGACTGGAGCTGGGTCTGGGTAGTTTAAGGTTGGGCTAAAAACTCCTCTCTTGGTCATTTGTCTTCTGTTGGAGCAGAAGCCGAGAGGACTAAGTAGAGGTCTGTCTTCTTCTGAAGTCCTTCTGGTCTTCTAGCTGCCAGCATGAGCCTCTCTCCTAACTGTGGAGATGGGTGGGGGCAGTACAGTAAGCAGGAGGAAACAGGTCCATGCTGTGATGAATGACCAAAGGATTTCAGACAGACTGGTCAGGCCCATCAAATTTGGCCGTACCGCCTTAAGTGGTCATATCGGTCTGCTCCACCTTAAATCGCTCTATCGTTAAGAGTCTGTAAAAAATTTAAAAGGATAAAAGAAGAGTGTGGAGGTCACGGGGTCACCGGCTGATGTCGCGGTTGCCCTCCCAGCTCTTCCCCCCCACCGCATCGCCTGCTGTCCCCGATTCGAAGAAAGGGTGTCTGAGGGAGTCTGCCAGGGCCAGGCGCTTAGCGGGCTCGTACTCCAGCATGCTCTCAATCAGGTCAAACAGCCGATGGTGCTCCTCGGCCTCTGACAACAGGTACCTCTGAGAGAGCATATAGAGATGTGATCAGCATAATGAAAATCAGGAAAATGTGGATACTAGATTGGGGGTTAGGGTTCATTTTAATAATGTCTAAATAGAGATTGATATCAGAAATCCCTGGTTAAGCCGACATGAGGGGGTGAATGGGAAGTAGAGGGGAAAGAAGATAAGTAGTGGGGTGATACACAAGGGAGGGAAAAGGAGCTGTTCTCTTACCCGTAAGGGTTTGCAGTTCTCCCTCACGTATCTCCCAGCTGACGAGCTCTCGTCCCAGTCCAGACGGCCACGGTAAAAATATTTCTGCTTCCTGAGTTAAGGGGAGAGAGAAATTATTGCAAAGATTGAGGAAGAGTGGCATATAGAGATAAAAACAGGCCTTATTTTAGGGCATTTTTCACCCTGCCAGCTCCTATTAGTTCTATTGAGCACCGTGGCACCAACTCGCCTTCCGAAATGTATATTCCCAGGCATTGTTCTGCATCACAATGCCTGCTTCGCTATTGCTGGCAATGAGACCTGCCCACGTTAAACTCGTAGGCTTACCTCAGGCAACTTATTATTAACCAAGTTACGGCTATTGGTGAGCAAGCTCACTGTTTGCCTGGGTACACATTGTGTTGACCCACAGTGCTAGCGATGGCTGGCACATAGCCATCAAACATTTTCTGGTCATGGTTAACCATATTTTTTTTCAGAAAAAGGTGTAAACCTAAACAAAACGTATGTCCCTTTTTCAAGATGTGGCTGATTTAAACAGCCAGAATACATTTTTAATTAAAACTAAATAGCTTATGGGTAATTTGATATGCGTCGAAATCTGTTCGTTCGTAGGCATCGAATTGAGCGAATGCTGCGCAGGTTCACTGAGTTGCAAACCAAATGGATAGGTCTAGCTCATAGTTGCTACCTCAGATTATGAGCCTAGCAAGGGTCACAAATGAGTTTTGTAGTACCCACAGAAGGCCACAGGGAGGAGCAAGCGAGCTATAAACACACTGTTTTTTGCCCTAAAAACCCTAAACCTACTATAACCTATTTTAGCCTTAACCCTAGGTATAACCTATTTTAGCCCTAACCCCTAACAATATGGATAACCTATTTTAGCCTTAACCCTAATTCTTGGGTAGGGTAGCCTAGAACATTTTTAGAAACGATTTTAATAATAATATTACGTTAGTAAATACCATTATAGTACTAAATAGCATTGATTGTTATTTTTTTAATCAAAACCTATGTAAGCATTTTGCTGTTTTTTGTTGTTGTTATTAGTTATTTTATGATAGGCAGAATACTTGATGTGGTTTGAACTGGGTGTGACATAGTAACTCCTATGTGAAAGTCCAGCAATTGACTGGGATAGGTGGGGCAGGTTTGAGACTGATCTCAGGTATTAATAAGAAACATACACTATTTCTCAGCTGCCTCACCAATGTCTTTATGTGAATTAATAACTTTTAATTGCTAAATATTTCCAATAGATGGCAGCACAAGACCACAAAGCATCAGTTATAGTCTATAGCAGCAATATGATTGACATAAAATAGCATGCAACCAAAAACTATGTCCCATGATTTTCTAAAATGGTTACTCATTACTTTACAGATATATCTCTTGTATTAGGCCTGTGTTGCTTTTGAGGGAGCAGAAAAATGTATCCAGGGAAAGAAAACGGATCTTCTGAGATTTCATTTGTGGTCTTATGCTGCCATCTATTGGAATTATTTAGCAATTGAAACAACATTTTTCGAAGCCATGTATTGATCTGACCATCAGTTTCTATACCTAAGGTCACTGAATAAAGTGTATATCCTTACTGAAGTATTATTTACTCAGAATTGCAAAATATACAATATTTGTTAGTTAATTCTATCACTTGCAACCATAAAATAGCCATTTACAGCATAACAATGAACAATGTAACCCAAAGGTTGAGTGTTCGAATCCCTGAGCAGACTAGGCAAACATTTGTCGATGTGCCCTTGAGCAAGGCACTTAACCTCATTGCTCCTGAAAATTGCTCTGGATAAGAATGTTTGCTAAATAAAATAATCTGTCTGTACATTGTAGTGGTTACATTTCTCCAGCCCCATCCTAGCTTTTTAGCCGATTGGTGTTTTAAGGGGGTGTGACTTTGGCAGATAATGTTACCCATCTTAAGAAAGTTTTTTTAAATAATTAACTAATGTATGGTGTTTTTGGTTAAAGGATATATGGACCATTGTTGTCTGGGCAGCGAGCTCGGTTGTCATCGATCACTAGACCAGAAATAGTCAGATGTTTTCATTTTTTCCCTACTTCCTCATTACGCAGACATAAGCACAGTTGACACCGTCGAGGTGCGGATGTTTACTTTCTACACACGTTTTTTTTTCCTACACAGTATGAAAAAAAAAAATGTATGCGCTCACTAACTGTAAGTCGCTCTGGATAAGAGTGTGCTAAACGACTAAAATGTAAAATGTTTTTTCCCCCCCAGTTTCGTCCTAAGAACAGATTGTAGTGGTAAAATAAAAAGGGATAATTTATTTTGAGCCATTTAGGGGAAATGTAATTCTAAGCATCACTCCAGTCAGAAGAGGCTCTGCGAAGGTTAGTTTCAATTAATTAGCTATTGCCTCACATTAGTGTTCCAGCTCAGCCAACTTCCTTTGGCCATTTTTCAGCCTTGGGTGAATTTTGACTTGTTCTATTGTCCAGCCTATTACTAACAGGCCCTTTGATGTGGCTTAAACCCACAACTTTACTTTGATGCTCTGCGTCAACAACTAGACACTAGACAAAACAACACTATGGGGGTGTGTGATGGATTACTTTTTGACCTACAACTACACAGATGCACCTGGTCGTGTGCGAGTTCTGACCTTGTCTTGCGTATCATCCTGGAGGGCACCGGCCCCAGTATTCTCTCCATCATGGCCAGATGCTCCCTGTTATCATGAGTCTGAGGGAGGGATGAACAAACAAAATAGCAAAGGTAAATCTTAATGTCATCTCTTTCATCACCATTCATCTCTTTTAGTGTATAAATGACCATAAATGTAGATAGTGGATATCAGCAACTAGACCTTTGCCAACATACAGCATTAGAGACCTCACCTATCTTGCAACAATTTTACTGATAACAGAGTAAAATGTGTCTGAAGTTGAGAGCTTTGAACAGAATGAGCAGAATAGAATGTGAGAGCTATCACCTATGGTAGCCAGGCAAAACTCAGAACACGGAGGACAACCTCAACCAAGGGTTGATCCCAATAGGATTAGCAGCTGTGTTTATCTGCTGCGGTCTCTGGCTCAGAGTGTGCGAATGTATTTGTGGGTACACATGTTGGTGTGATACTGGTCCGATTCCGGGCTGACCAATCCAAGTGACCAGGCAGCAAGCCATTCTGGGCTTCTTTCACTCCTGACAACCTGAATCGACCAGACTCCGAGAAATCTTGGAGGCAGCTGTCGCCACAGACAGCATGGGGTTGGGAAGGGAAGTGGGGTTTTACCTGAAACAAGGTGAAGCCCAGGTAGTACTCGAACAGGATGCAACCGATGCTCCACACATCACAAGGCTGGCTCCAGCCCAGCTCTACAGGACAAAACACAGAATGGGTAAACAAATATTCTGGTGGTTTCCCGGACACAGATTAAGCCTAATCCTGGACTAAAAAGTATTGTCAATTGGGATTCTCCATTTAGCTTGCTTTTCAGTATAGGACTAGGCTTAATCCGTGTCCAGGAAATGGCCCCTTATTGTTTAATGCACATCTGAATTGGTGCTGTGTAGGCTGGTGGAACCGAATAAAAAAAGTTCAATTTAAAGACCCTAGCCTCACACGCTTGCTCCAGTGCTTCGATTTACCAAAAGCAACAACCAAAGTTTCAGCAGCAGCAGCTTTCTGCCTAAACATTGGTTGTGACTTCACAACAAGCATTGTAGATCAAGAGGGTGAAGATTGAATTTCTTTAAATAGAACAAGGAGGCCAAGGGTAAGTTTACACCTTGAGCTTTGAAAGTATGTGAAAAGACAATCAACCCAGCTCAACTCTGAGCAAGCACACTCAACTATTTCTCATCTCATGCACTAAAGCCGGTCAACTGTGCTTAGTGTCTGACTGTGGATTGTTGTTCAGTGTCTGCCTGACTGGAACAGAACTGGCAGACTATGGCAGTTCAATGCCACTGCCAAGGAACACCCCCTCTGTTTTAGAATAGCCCTCCTCGCCCAATTGAAGCAACCAGACAGACTATAGCAGTGCATTGCCAATGTAGTGGTTACACCACCCTTAGTTTAGAAAAGTCCTCATCCAATTGTTCATCTAACTGGCCTGAAGGAAGATAGGGGTAACTCTGGAGTCTGAAGTGGGAGGTCACTCACCTAGTATGACTTCCGGGGCGCGGTAGTGCCTTGTGGAGACGATGGTGCTGTGGTGCTCGTGGTCAAACGTGGCGCTGCCAAAGTCCACCACCCGTACGTCTGTGCTCTTCACTGTCCGCTCGTCGCGCTTCTGTAGGGAGGAAGGTGAAAAGGACATGGTTTAGAACTTTGTTTTCTTCTTTTTTTTTTAAAGGCAGAATGCACAAACTTGATTTCAAACCTCATGAAACAAGTAAAGCTAAACTTTTAGACAAGGGGCTAGTCAGTGACACCTTGATTAGTCCATTCCTGATATCTAGTAACCTTGACATTATCTATTTTCATGCTTCTGACATTAAACCATACCTGTTTCCCATTTGTTTTGCTTTGGGACATTTAGGCCTAATCATCATTTGCACTTCAGGCAATATCTGACTGCCAAAGCATTTGCGATGACACTCAGGTTCTGTCCCAAATGGCAACCATTTCCCTATGTAGTGCACTACTTTTGAACAGGCCCTGGTTAAAAGTAGTGCACTATTAGGGAATAGGGTGCCATTTGGGATGCATCCTATGAAAGCAAAACAGGCTCTGCAGAAAGCCTATTATCCTGAGGTCTGACTCCTCGTCTCACCTTCTCTACGTTATAGGTCATAGTGAAGTCAGAATTGACAAACAGGATGTTTTCTGGCTTCAGGTCTGTGTGCGTCAACTTGGTATCATGAAGAACTGTGAGGAGAAAATCCCAGTTAAAATCCCAACAGCCATTCACATTCGATGGTGGTCCACGGTTGAACCAACGATGCCCTTATGTGGCTAAAGGCTTCTTATTGCAAACAATGGTGGCCTTACATTCCAATTCCAACCTCTCTCTAGGTGAGTAAGGAGGGGGAGGCTAAATCAACAAAAAGGAATGAATGAAGGATTGTGTGATGGTAGTGTTTGGGGTCTATGTAGGGCATTGGTTGTTGGAGTGAGACTTATGCCAGTTGGTAGGTCATGTTGAAATTGTTAAAGAGAATGTGCTCTTGATAACTCATCTGGTTAAATAAAGGCAATAAATACAAGATAGTAGCGTAATATCGGAGTGCACTTACAATTGACAGCCAGGCTTTGGAGCGAGAATTATGACTAGTTGACTGCTAGTATCTGAGTGCACTTATCTCGGGCTGTTATTGTGAAAGAAAATGTGTTCTCAATGACTTACCCGTTTAAATAAAGGCAATCATTTTTAAAAATAAACAAATCAATATATAAACTTACACTTGACAGACAGGCATAGCTGGTAGGCCATGTGTCGGACCTGGGCGATGGAATAGGGCAGGTAGTTGTTCTCCTTGAGGAAGTCGAAGGTGCTGAGGGCCAGCAGCTCAAAGGAGATGCACATGTGGCCGTGGTAGTCGAACCAGTCATACATCTGCACACACAGGCTGGGAGGAAAGATGAGGAGAGGGGTTACATATTACATGTAACTAACAAAGCAAACATAATTCAATAAAAACAAAATGATACAGGATCGTGTGTAATCAGGTTTTTTTCTGGATCAAAAAGGTGTTTAGGTGGTGGGTGTGGCAATGGGCATGGTCAGCAAGGCTGAATTTCTGAGGCCCCCCATCTCAGTGATGTAGAGAAATGCTTGCATTTTTAAGCCAACTTCATGCAATTCTACAGATTTATCCATGGAGCCGAGATACATTTGTGCAGTTTTAATGCTAATTTCCTGCAATTCTAAACAGTTTGCCATGGAGCTGAGAGAAAATTGTGCAGTTTAAAAAGCTCAAAATGTTAAACCTAATAAGCCTCTTTTGCTCAAACCTAATAAAATCAATACTGCTAAATTCATTGTTTTTGGAATTTTCAAGTCTCCCTGACTGTCTAGCTTTTATTTTAGTGATTGTTAGTTCTCAAAGATTATATTACTTCAAAATATACAGGTCCATTATTTTCTACATACTTTATATCTGATTTTAGTCATTTAATTTTACACTGAAAGTGTTTTTCCATTCAGAAAAGGAATGTAATTATTTGTTTTTAAAAAGTACACTGTTTTGACTCAGCCGACCTGAAAAAACGCTTAGGTGGCCCGCCCAAGTATTTAAATGGCAGAAAAATCCCTGGTACTGAACAATACACCGTAGTGGTCTGAGTCAGTAGTAGGCTACTCACTGTTTGTTTTCCGGGTCCTTCTCATTGATTCTCTCCAGCACATTGATCTCCAGACGAGCTGCTTCCTTGTATTTCTCCACATTTTTTATGATCTTCAGAGCAACAGCGGCCCCTCCCCTGTAAGACACATACAGTATGCATGACAAAGATATAACTAACCACACCACATATGAATATAGACACACAATACATGAGGGAATACCTTATGGTGCAAAGCTGTGATTCCCTAAAGTAGGTCCATCTACATAACCCAAGTTAGTGCCGTTGCTTGGGAACCTGGTGTCACAGGTTTGGTAGCTAAAAAAAGATGGATACCCTAAAGATAGCTTTTGAAAACAGATATTTCAGTCTCTTTAATTTGTCCAATTCTATAACCTTGTTGAGAAAATAGGGTCTCAAAGCCATGCAATTCCACATTATTTCATACAAGCAAACTGTATTGAGATGAGTAAATTATATTCCCTTGTCCTTGCATGTTGATTATGCAACATGTTATGTTCCCAAAATTAAGTATGGCTTTATCACATTAAAGTTCAAACTCGTATTGTGCTTAAGGGAGCATAGGCAGGGACATTAGCAAGGAACAAATTTGCACGGGGTATCATTGCCGCGCATGGTTTGCATTTCTACTGGCACGGAGTGACGACGCTCTTCCATAATTAAAGGGAGGGTGAGCGAGGCAGAGGCTGCGTCCCAAATGGCAACTCATTTCCTTTATAGTGCACTTCTTTTGACCAGGGCCCATAGGGAAGCACACAGAGGTCTATATTCAGCCTAAGTGCAGGCGCTAATCCACCCTCAGCAAACGGCCACGACATGATGGAATAACAGGATCAGCTGAAGGAGGAGGGCTCTAACTCTAGAACTACTGTTTGTAAATAGTAAACACCTAGTGCAGGGAGAGGGAACACTTAAGAGAAAAAAAATAGGACTCCGGAGGCTTTAAAGGGCCACCAGCTAACAGTCAGAGCAGTTGTTTTTATGTGGATACATACCGACGATGGTCAATACATTGCATCACCCTCCCAAAGGTGCCTTCCCCCAGAGTGCTGACAATCTCATCTGGAAGACAGACAGAGCGGGAAAGAGAGCGGGAAAGAAGGGAAGAGAAGAATTAGACATGTGGACCAGAGCAGGGACACCAAGGCAAAAAAAGTGACAGGCGTTTCAATGCTAGCACCCATCCCCCTTTTCAGGTTGTGGACAAATGGAATGCCTAAAGAAAATCTTTACTTTTACACGGTCCTAGATAACCTATGATAATTGGGGTCCACACACTACCAGAACAAATAATGGGAAAAATTTAGAGTGCCCCCCAGCAGCCTATAGGAAGGAAAACAAAAAAGTATATTCCTACAGATGTTGTGGTGGTGTGCCTATTTTAGAGCAAGGGCGTCAGGAGAGAGAAATGTGTTGGGTTTTACTGGTTAACCTATGTAATTGAAAAACCCACTCAAGCAAAACTTGTGAAATAAGTGTTAATGTGCACACTAAGCAAATAAATGTGGTTTCAAACTGGAAGATAACATACAAGTCATGCCAGGGATGCGAGCTGGAAAATGGTAAAACTATATGTTAAGAGGTGGGTGGGTGTTATGAGATCATGGATCATAATGTGGTTTTTAACCATATAAATCATGCTCTTAATTTACCACTAAAAATAATTTTATAAAGTGTAGCATCAAAAATGCAACACTGCAGACAACTTAAATGTTGTAGAGGCCCTATGGATGTTTACTAGGTAGGCCTCATGTTAGTTTTGAAGGAAAGGGCTAGATGAGGGGTTGGAAAACTATTCAAAACATAAACGTTCCTAATTGCTTTTCCCAATGAAAGTATTACTAAAAAATACATGTATTTAGACCTGGACTTGAGTTTAAACTAAAGCGCAAGAGAGACAATTAAGAAGTTAAAAGGATATGCTGTGTTAGGGAAAAAATCTAATATTTCTGATATAAAACCACAGTGGGATAGCCTCAACACAACGAGCAGTATTTATCTAAAACCGGTATCCTCAAAAAAATGTGTGCTATCCACCCTGCTTTTTGAGCTAGAGCCAACAGCATTCTACCATGGCATCATCATCAGGCATTCCCCTGTCAGTGAATGCTCTATGGTTTTAAATACTCATATGGAGAAGGGTTACGATAGAGTAGTGGCAGTGAGTACATCTCTCTTGCAGGACGTCCCCACTCCGACAGATCAGGTGCCCTTCCTCGTCGTCCCTCACACTCAGTGCCCGCGTCCGGCTGTCACTCCGCTGTTTTCAGCCCCCACGGCATTAGCAGGTCACGACACGACCGACAGGGGACAGGGGGTTTTCAGGGGCAGCCGTAGCCACGGCGATGGAAGGCGGCACAGGTAGAGGAGGAGGGAGGAGGAGGGTGATGTTGTAGTTGACGTAGTGGTTGTAGGTGGGTTTGGTGGTCATAGGGCGATTCGTATGACACCACGTGAGGAAATATATAACGATAGGGATATAGTGCAAGGGAACAAGTCAAAGATCACATTTTGTCCTCTGCTTCTCTCCCCCTCTACCTTTTAACCCGTGTTATTACAAATAAGGAAGCAACCTGCATATCCATTCATGAACAAAAAGCCAATTCATAAAATACCAAAAATATCTACATCAAGCTATGATATTGCCCACATAAAATGAAGCAGAGTACTTCCCAAGAAAACAAATAAAATGAGAGGATGATAAGGCAATCAAGCAGAAAATAGTTCTTCAAGATTAAAATCAGTAATACATAGATACATCCCACCCTATGGTCCCCTCTCTCATTTGTCTACTTAACGCAGAAGGAGAGAATGTGGATTATGCTTTATCCACAACGTGTGTCCAAAAACAGTCAATGTCTCACTACACAACACATTTTATGAGAAGATTGTAGAAGGTAAATCTGGAATTAACTAAGACAAAACTATTCAAATCCTGCTGACAAAAACAAAACAAAAAAGATTGTACTACTTACCAAGTCCAGGAGCTGTGGACAAGAAGGTTATAGAGAAGTAGAGACAGAAAGACATGAGGGAAAGAGAGGAGTAGAGAAAGATAGAAAGAAAGGAGCGGGAGGGTTAAAGGACAAGCTCGGGCCGGGCTGTACTCACCGAGGAGGATGGGCTATAGGACCTGGTTCTACGCCGCCTTCGTTTGTGCTTACGCCTGCTGCCCTTCCTTCGGTACGACTCCTCCCGTTCCCTCTCGCGCCCCCGCCGGTAGTCGCACATGTTCGGTGAGAAGTCACGTGCGTAGTAACCGTCGGCTGCTGCTGGTGCACCTCCATGTTCCCTTTCCCGGTTTCCGCGGTCTCGTTCGCGGCTCTGGTCCAGGCGCCGGTAGCCCTCACAATAGCGTCGGTCGTATGGCCTGCGGTCTGCCGAACGATTATCGTAGCTGCAACAGAAGCACCCAACACAACGGCTTAGAGCAGTGGTGTCTTTGACCATTTAAGGCGGCACATTGTTGAAACTCAGGTTACACGTTATTCAATGAATGCCATCAGAGCACTCTGATACTGGTACATTAACCTATTGAGAGTTTTAAAAAAAACATTTATACCAGATAAACTATCATACAGTACAAAAGCTTCCATACCAACTATTTAGTATGCAAGTACACAAATATAATACAACCATACAAACACACCTCCTGGAGCGAGCGTAGCTTCCCTCCTGTCGGTTTCCCCGTCCCCTTCTGTCTCTATCCCGGTCACTGCTAGAGGAAAAAGAGGGCGATCTGCGGTGCCTCTGCTTGCGTCCTCTGTCTCGGTCTTGATAGCTGCTCCGGCTGGCCCTTTCTGAGGACGGGTACCGTCTCGAGTGTGGCATCTGTGACAAGACATATTACTTGGTATTTCATTGCAGTTGGTGAGGGGTTTGATTGCACTCAGTAAGGAAGGGATACACAACAGCTGCATGGTGGGGGAAAGGAAGAAAACTAGTCAAAGCAAACCAGGTGAGGAACAGGTGGTGGAGGTATCAAATGTAACATTTTATTCTGTACAGGCTTCCTTTTCACTCTGTCAATTAGGTTAGTATTGTGGAGTAACTACAATGTTGTTGATCCATCATCAATTTTCTCCTATCACACCCATTAAACTCTAACTGTTTTAAAGTCACCATTGGCCTCATGGTGAAATCCCTAAGCAGTTTCCTTCCTCTCCAGAAACTGAGTTAGGAAGGACGCCTGTAGTTTTGTAGTGACTGGGTGTATTGATACACCATCCAAAGTGTAATTAATAACTTCACCATGCTCAAAAGGATATTCAATGTCTGCTTTTTTATTTTTACCCATCTACCAATAGGTGCCCTTCTTTGCGAGGCATTGGAAAATCTCCCTGGTCTTTGTCATTGAATGTGTTTCATTGCTTAACTGAGGGACCTTAGAGATAATTGTATGTGTGGGGTACAGAGATCAAATCAAATGCGGGTGTAGCGAAATGCTTGTGTTCCTATCTCCAACAGTGCAGTAGTATCTAACAATTCACACAAATCTAAAAGTAGAAGAATGGAATTAAGAAATATATAAATATTGGGTCAAGCAATGTCGGCGTGCCATTGACTAAAATACAGTACAATACAGTATATACAAATGAAATGAGTAAAACAGTATGTAAACATTATTAAAGTGACCAGTGATTCCATGTCTATGTACATAGGGCAGCAGCCTCTAAGGTGCAGGGTTGAGTAACCAGGTGGTAGCCGGCTAGTGATGGCTATTTAACAGTCTGATGGCCTTGAGATAGCAGTTTTTTTGTCTCTCGGTCCCAGCTTTGATGCACCTGTACTGACCTCGCCTTCTGGATGATAGCGGGGTGAACAGGCCGTGCCTCGGGTGGTTGATATCCTCGATGATCTCTTTGGCCTTCCTGTGACATCGGGTGCTGTAGGTGTCCTGGAGGGAAGGCAGTGTGCCCCCAGTGATGCGTTGGGCAGACCGCACCACCCTCTGGAGAGCCCTGCGGTTGCGGGCGGTTCAGTTGCTGTACCAAGCGGTGATACAGCCCGACAGGATGCTCTCAATTGTGCATCTGTAAAAGTTTGTGAGGGTCTTAGGGGCCAAGCCGAATTTCTTCAGCCTCCTGAGGTTGAAGAGGCGCTGTTGTGCCTTCTTCACCACACTGTCTGTGTGGGTGGACCATTTCAGATTGTCAGTGATGTGTACGCCGAGGAACTTGAAGCTTTTCACCTTCTCCACTGCGGTCCTGTCGATGTTGATAGGGGTGTGCTCCCTCTGCTGTCTCCTGAAGTCCATGATGTAATTTAATCACGTTAAACACCAGTGGTGGAAAAAGTACCCAATTGCCATACTTGAGTAAAAGTAATGATACCTTAATAGAAAATGACTCAAGTAAAAATGAAAGTCACCCAGTAAAATACTACTTGAGTAAAAGTCTAAAAGTATATGGTTTTAATGTACTTAAGTATCAAAAGTAAATGCAATTGATAAAATATACTTAAGTATCAAAAGTAAAAGTATACATAATTTAAAATTCCTTATATTAAGCAAACCAGATGGCACCATTTTCCTTTTTTTAACCGTTAACCAGGGGCACACTCCAACACTAAGACATAATTTACATATGAGGCATGAGTGTTTAGTGAGTCCGCCAAATCAGAGGCAGTAGGGATGACCGGGGATGTTCTCTTGATAAATTGCTTGAATTGCACCATTTTCCTGTCCTGCTAAGCATTCAAAATACTTTTGGGTGTCAGAGAAAATGTATGGAGTAAGAAGTACATTATTTTCTTTAGTAATGTAGCAAAGTAAGTGGTCAAAACTATAAATAGTTTTGTAGAGATACTTAAGTACTTTACACCACTGTTAAACACTATTTCACAGAGTGAGTCCATGCAATTTATGACACTTGTTAAGCAAGACATTTAAGCTTTTCATTTTTAATTAATTCCAAAAAATGTCTAACAAAATCATTCCACTTTCACATGATTAGGTCAATACCAGTAGGCTAGAGACAAAAAATCTAAATGTAATCAACTTTAAAGTCAGGCTGTAACAACAATGTGGAAAAAGTCAGGGGGTGTGAATACTTTCTGAAGGCGCTGTTAGGTTGGGGTGGCCTTATAATAGCTAATGTTACCTAGTTGGCTAATAAACCAACTACTGTCCCTAGTTAGTTGATGTTACCTGGCTAAATGCAAAGGTTAGCTAAGTAATGACGTGAGTTAATCACTGTGCCAGTTTAACTAAGTGTGATAGCTAAAGACATGGGATGACCAAAAATGTGTAGTTAGACAACTAGTTAGCTAAGTATCTTGACAAATGGCAATTTGTTGAGTCAGACTAGCTAGCTCACTAGCGACAGTATTCAGACAGTCGAGTTGGCTGGCTATACTAGCTAGCCGACGCCATGATATTTCGCAGAAATGCACCAGTCACACGAACTGCTTTCGTGAATAATTGCATAAAAAGCAATTTTGTTCAGATAAATATGTTTGGCTAACTATCTGACAATATGTAGCTAATAGTTATTTAGTTCGGCTGGTTAACTAGCTCCCTATTGCTAGCATTGCATTGGCTAGCTAGCTACTTTGACCGCCATTTTACATAGCGTTACCTAGCTACTCGCGTTCGTTAGCTTTGATGCTAGCTGACTATAATTGGACTCGCGTGGATCAGCTTGACATTGAAACCCGAATACAATGTCGTGCACACGTGTATTTCCATATTATTTTACCGTTTTATCAGCCAGGCCTGTGTGCTTATCCCACAGGAAATCCGTGTTTGCGCTTAAATTCTTCGTTTTCTCTTCACCATCTGTTCAGCTAGCGCTCTAGCTTCGTACGAACCATCCTGATATCGCGAGCTTACATTATGTTTCGCTATAGAGAAACATAATGTAAGCTCGCGAGATCGGGATGGTTCGAAGCTACTAGCACTGCTCCCCACACGTAAACAACACCTAATTAAAACACACTCTTCCAGCCGCAGCCAGACCACAGAGCTACTGTTCCGTCTTTGACCAGAGCCTTCTTCACAAGTGCGAGCTAGAGCCTTTACTCATGTTTAATACCTTTACAAAAGTTCTTTATAAACAATTTCAAAATGTGTGAATATAGTTTACAGAAATATTATTCTGGCAGAATACATTTGCAGAATAAATTAAGAATGCTATAAAGGACATTTCAATACTTCTGAATTAATTGATTAAAGCACAATTTAAGAATTGTAATATGAACAAAAAAAAACTCAGGCAGTGCATGATTAAAATACAAAAACGTTAAATGTTTTTATTGAAAAATGGTTAAGACTATCTATTACAGCATATTCATAAATTGACTGCAGCGGTGAAGCTGGAAGATGTAGTATGGGCTTTCATAACTTTTCCCTGCACTCTGGATCACAGCGACAATTAAGGACTCTTGATGACCTTTTCACACCAAGCTCACATTTATAATCCCACGCCAGCTCTGTACCAGCTCTGATGCGCCTGAAAAATACAGAGACAATATGATGAATATACAGAAGTGCATATTATAATGCACATGCTTTAGTCCACCTGGGCATGGGCATTTATTATAGAGCCAAAGGCATGAGCAGAACACATTAATCCTGGCTTGGACTCTCAAAATACCAACTATTAGCACAAGCAATAGATAATATCCCATAAGTCATAACAGAAGGTCACTAACTTGTTGGCAAAGAAGGCCACCCAGGGGAATCGAAGGTCATGTGTGTCCACAAAAACATTCTGCGCAAACAGGTTTGGGTGGCAGCTATGCTGTAGAGAGAAAAACAGGATAAGATATTGAGTTGGCGGATCTCTGAGAAGTATGGATATAGGCAAAATCATACAATCAGGGCATACGATCGAACACGATCCCCTCTGATTATTTCTCCTCATGACTCACATTGAGGTAGCGACCCACATTCCCCTCCATCTTTGCATCGATGACGTAGCATGACTCCTCGCCATCAAAGAAACGCCTAGTGGCATTTGAGGCCTCCTTGTCATTTCCCGCTGCTGTACCATCCTGCTGGTCAGAAGATTTGGCATCAGAGCCCGATTTCTTCGCTGGGTCTATGAGAGAAGTGTTATTTGATTAGTCTGGGAACCAAAGTCCTATAACTTATTTTTTTTAAATCCAGAAACAAAAGTGGAGAATTCATAAACACGTTTCTGTCTATATTTTTGTCTGTGCTTTACTTTCCTCTACCTTCCAACAGTATTTTGAGAGACCAACATTTATCAAACCAAATAAGAATGAATGCTCTACTAAACCTCAGTAAGCTTTTTCGTTTCCCTCCATGTTTGTTTTTCTCTCATTATACTTTTGTGTATACTGTTTCCTCTTACCCTCCTGTAGTATTTTGGCATGCCTGCGGGTGATGTAGCTCCTCTCCATAGAGGAGACTTTGTGCCTGAAGTCATCATCAGAGCCACCATCATCTTCACTGACATCGTAATCCTTGTCCTCATAATTGTCCTCATAGTCACTGGGTTCTTCTTCATCATCATACGAGTTCTTCTTTATACGTAGATGCTCTTTATCGTGGTTTCCCTCCTCTTCCTCATCATCACCTCCATCACAGTGATCATCATGTTCACTGTTGTCTTCTTCTATGGGCTCTTCTTCTGAACCTGATGGAGAACAGAGGCCGCAACATTACAGAGATGGTCAGTTCTGTTGTTTCTCCTTGCACTCCCTGCTCTCTGTCTCCCCACTGGGTATGTGCATTTACAATTCATGAATCGACATGGAAACCCAGTGTATCTTTTTCACATTAATATAAACATAATACACAGATAGGGTAGATCTGATGCTACGGCTGCAGGTGAGGCCAGGCTCTGCGTGTCTGTACCTGACTCATTGTCGGAGTAGCGGGCCTCACTCTCGTAACCCTCCTTGCTCTCAGCTCCCTCTATATGGTTCAGGTTGACCACGTACATGTTGCCCTCTGTGCTCAAACTCTTCTTGTTCATGATTATCCCTAAGGGGAGAGACGGCAAAGGAAAAATTTGTGAGCATTGTGTGCAGTATAACAGGAAGAATGACATTGCAATAGTAGAGGGAGAGAAGAAGAAAAGGGTAACATTACTAGAGGGATTGAGCACTAAAATGATATATACACTGCAGAATAAGAGTAATAGTGTATGTAATAGGGCTGTCCCCGACAAAAAAAAATTATTGGTCGACCAAGAGTAGTCTGTTCTTTGGACCAATCGATTGGTAGACATTTTTAAATGTGTATTTAATCAAATCAACTATATGCACTGAGCTTGTCTGACGCTTTTGGCAAACTGTTTGATGAAATAATTTAGACACACAAATGACTAGAGGGAGTCCGACCGCAATTGATTTGATTGTGCCGCCTGGCTCAGACTTGCTGCACTGTAAAAAATAAAATAGGAAGACAGCGAGTGTCTGTGACTAGCACCGGTTGTCACTCTCTCCTCCCTGCTGCAGCGACCACCACAGAACATCAAAGTGTTTATCGCACTGTCCGATAATTAAACATAATTACAGCCATTTCTGACTGGAAAATTATGTTACCAAAATTCCTAATTTGATTAGGAAAAACATTCCCTATTCCCTCAACCCTTGCTCTCTTTACATGACACATGTATGCATCGCATGCACATGACCAAAGACCTATTAGCACAGGACTAGTATTACTAGAATGTCTGTTATTCCAGAAGACGATTTGGACGGGATTAGTTTTTTTCCAAACTGACCCCAGTAATTCTTTCTGTTTTCACAATAAATGGACAGTTATGAAGGAAACCTGGAGGTTTTTATTCTAGGCGTGAAGATACAGTATTTCAACATGTCCAGGTGATAGGGCCACACTGATAACTCGAGCTTGGTTCCCAAGTTTCTAAACCATACCAAACCATATTTCCTTTAGTGTTGCCATAATATTTGAATTGAAGAAGTGTGATCATAATCATTAGGATAATTTAACGATCTGCAGTATGTCCTAAATGCCCCCCAGCCTTCAGATGTGAGCACTTGAGATGTGTTTTAAGGCTATGGATGAGAAAGTGAACTTATCATTTCCAAACGTTTAGGTCAGTTGTATGCTGCTGCTTTGCGATCTATTAACAGCAAGGGTTGCATTAAATAGGGTCAATATTTTTTACTGATGCATTTGGCAATATTCAATTTATATGCACAAAACATATAAACAAAAGTGTTCACTGAAAGTTGATAGGCTACATGTAGGCCATTCATATATAGCTTATGCGCAGCACTTAGTTCAACTTATCGAATCAGTTATTGTTTTTGTTTTCTAAACAGGATGCGCTCTTAGGCCTACAGCTCGATGGTGGTTATACAAGGCTGCTATACTAAGCCTACTAATGATAATGACATTTATTATTATAATAATAATAATAATATGAGTAATAATAACAACAATAAGAAGGAGATCAAGAAAAAGGAGCGTTATTATTATTATAAATATCACGGAATCAGTAGGCTATTAAACAAACACTCAAACAGGCAACAGAAGCAGGATCTGTCTTTATTTTGTAGATATATTTATGATTTATAAAGCCAGGCACATTTAACAGTTAGGTTAACAGTATAGACCTAATTAAGTTGCGGTTTCCTCTCCTCACTTTTCTTAGACAATAAGGCATGGGCTGTTTTCTCATCTCATTCTGCTGCTGCCTTGTTCTCAACACCAATATGCTGGATAACGTTGCTATTATAAAGACGCCAATTCAACAGCGCACTAATGTGTTTCAGGACCGTGGACAGCGACTGCTATCCAATGAGGGAGAAAGCGCATTTGTTATAAAATAATATTATTTTTTATTAGTATTGCACCATTGTTCTTACGTAATATAACCATATACAATTTCAGTAGCACATCTTAGACTGATGGACTGTGCCATCCCCACAGCCTCCACAATGGATCAGTCCACTCAGACAGGCCCCAATCAGACCGGTGTCTGGTACGCCATGACATATATATTTTTTTGCTACTGCTCGACTAAAGAAATCTCAGTCGACCAACAGCCTATCGACCAAACAATCGTCCAGTCGACTGAAAGGGGTCAGTCCTACTATTGATTCTAGAACTAACTAAGGTAGGGTTTCCTCTCTCCTCACTTTTCTTACACAATTAAAGGCAAGGGCTGTTTCTCGTCTCCTAACTCTGCTGCTGCCTCCGCCGCATTGTTCTCAACACCAATATGCTGGTTAAATTTGCCATTATGCACATAGCAACATGGTCTAGGAAAATACGGCAATTCAACAGCGCACTGATGCGTTTCAGAACCACGGACAGCGACCGCTATCCAGCGTGGGAGAAAGCGCATTTTTGCTACTGCTCGACTAAATAAATCTCGGTTGACCAACAGCCTATCGACCACACAATCGACCAGACGACTAAAATGGGGTCAGCCCTAGTATGTAATCAACAGAAGTCATACTTAACAGCAGATTTTCTGTCTGTGTTGGGTTAAATTAGGTTAGATTGGGTTCCTAATTCACTCACCAGTATAGGTGCAGATGAAGGTGCCCTTGGCAATGTCATCCAGGCAGCGGATTCCCCAGCTCTTCCCCACGGTCATGAAGAGCTGTAGCCGCAGCTGAAGGCCGTGCTGCACCACCCGGTTAGAGCACACCCGTGGGTCACAGCGGCACAGTGCGTTGCACTCATATATACTGCAGACAGAGGGAGGTGGTTGATATAGATATTATTATTATTATAATAATAATAACAATAATAATAATAATAATAATAATAATAATAATAATAATAATAATGGCTTTTCAGACATTGCTCTCAAAGCATGTCACAGATAACAAATGCAGAGAAAGAGCTGAGAGAAAGGAGAAAACTGAGACCAACAGTCAAATGGATACTGCGACTGATGGATAAATTGACAAGATGGAAATGAAGAGATACATTGACAGCCTCACCCTGTGGAGAGGCGTTTCTCCAGCCTCTTGTGTGTGTAGCCAGCGTTAACGTCCTCAGGGCCCGCTGGCAACAGGGCTGTGGCCTGGACGGTCAGCTGGTGACAGGAGCATGCCGACCTACATCAACACAATATACATGTCCATAAATACATATGTCAAAACAACCTCCACATACCCTATATACCCCTGAATATATTTGGATTAAGACATCACCATTGGGTGAATGGATATAGATGAGCTGTAATTTGACCTGGAATATTTGAGATGTGCCACATTAGGGAATTACACCCCTCTTCAGCTACTACCTTTACATCTTAGTACATACTTTGCATTACAGAAATCAAGGAGTATCAAAAACATGGCACCATGACACACCAGGGGTTAAAGCAACAACAAAAATCCCATGACTGAAACGTAAGTCGATCTCAAATCGATTGTCTGCGGGGCCAAGTTAACCTCCCCTTTCATATAAAAAAGTCATGACCATCATGCTCTTAGGGAAAGAGGATTATTTTGTACATGTATTAAACTGCTAGTCCAGTCCTTTCAAACATTTTACGGAAATACGTCACAGTGATGGAGAACTTTAACCCCTGGGGGACACACCTGTCCCTGCAGCCGTCGGTGCAGTCGCAGCCCATCAGAAAGTCAGAGCTAGTGTTGAGGGAGACCCCACTGGCTGCCACGCGCTGCTTGTTGTAGATCACCGAGGGTGGCCGGATGTTGTTGAGCTCGTTGATGCAGGACAGCGGCTGGTTCTCTCTGCCCAGCGTCAGGTCTGGGATGTTGATCTTGTAGGGCCGGGGCTGGTGGGTGGTGGTCACAGACACAAAGGGGTCCAGGCAGAACATGTCCAGGAAGAGAAAGTCACAGCGGGTCTGTTGAAGGTAGTCCTGCACCGCAGTCATGTTGCTCAGGCTGAGGCCACACGGAGACCGGTAGAAGATGTGGAAATACGTCTGAGAGACAGAGGGCCAGAGGAGGAGGAAGGAGGTGAGAAAACATAAAGAGAGAGCATAACCATACCAGAGTTTTGAATAACTACAAGAAGTATGAACCTTGGATGACAACAGAATGATCCATTATTTTCCATCTGTTACAATGGAAATGTGTCAATTGCTCTGCTCCCAATTCTCCAGTGTCAGGCACGTCACAGCCCCCCTGGAGCGGAGTCATCAATATAGGTAATGGCAGAGTTCTGTATCATGAAGTATAATGTTCCAAACAGTCCAATCAGCTAGGTGCTCACCTTGTTACAGACCTAGGATCAGCTTCACCTCCCCCAATCATAACCTTAACCATTAGAGGGGAAAATGCTAAACTAACCCAAGATCAGCATCTAGGGGCAACTTCACCCTACACGCACCTTGTTATTGACCCGGCGGCGGCCCTTCATGCGGCGGAACTCACAGAGCAGGGGGACGAGCAGCGGGTTGCGTCCACGGTGCTTGGCCTCCACCTTTGACCTGATGCAGTTCAGGCAGGCCGGGCAGCAACGGTGGGGGGTGAAGGTGACCGAACCTTTAGCTGTGATGACAGACGACTCCTTGTCGGTCGTACGATCCTGGCCGTAGGGCCTCCTGACGTGATCAGGGAGAAGACGACATGGGTTTGAGGGAGAAAGAACGAGGGAGGAAAGGTTGCCTTTCTGAAACAAGGATCCAAAGGTCAAATAAGGGGTACTTATATTGCCTGTGTGTAACCTGTACAAGCGTGTGGTGTGAAATGGAAATGTGATTTTTGCATATCCCACTCCCCTTAAGACCCCCTCGGAGAGTGCACAGCCAGGGATCAGCCATTATTGACGGCGACCCTGGGGCAATTAGAGTTAAGTGCCTTGCTCAAGGGCAGATCAACAGATTTTTCACCTAGTCGGCTCGGGGATTAGAACTAGCAACCTTTTGGTTACTGGCCCAACGCTCTAACCGCTAGGCTACCTGCCGCCCTAATAAAATTCAATCAAAAAATGTATGCAGGAAATACATATTCATGAAATTCGTGCAAGACGCACTTTTGAAAAGAGTACAGCAACAGTATAAACACACAGACATAAATTCTACTCACCCTAAGGGTGCTGACTGTTTACCAGCAGCTGGTTGGCCCTGGCTGACATTGTTGGAAGTGACTTGCGCTGGTATAACTGTTGACGAGGGGCTGACGTGAGGTTTGTTGGCAGCGGCCGTGCTAGTCTGGTGGATAGTAGTAGTATTCGAAACTGCTCCCCCTGGGTGATGGACAAAGAGTGTGCTCGCTAAATAAACACAGGAATGACAAAGTACTGTACACACCATGGAAGGAAACAGATGACTGACGTAGATGCTCATTCATTCAGACAAACACAAGGCTGTAGATGTGTTCATATTTATCCACAGGACACAGAGTAACAAGGAGATAGACAGACACTTACCAGTGCTGGGCCGTGTCATTGCTGGTTTATCCTTTGCCTCCTCAACACGTTTCTTCATGTTGGCCATATGCTCCAGACGCAAAGAGCCTCGGTACACCCATTCCTTATGTTCGTCATCCTGAGAACAACACACAGACACACTTTACCACACAGTGAGACATACAGGAAAAAAGGCTTGGCATTATGTGTTTCATTGAAGAATTTGACTTTAGTTAGGTAAGCATAACCAGAATACCAAGCACAATATACTGCAAGTCAATCACTATCAATTTAATTAATGTTTACAAATTAAGCAGTTGTAGCGTCTCACCTTGAAGACAACACACAACAAGCTGCAGTCGATCTGCTCTACTTCCGTCCTCCTCTGGATCCCCTCAAACTCCACGTTGATGGGCTGGCCTGGTCTGTACTGGGCCATGGGCGGGTTGGGATACACCTTGATGTAATCCTTGATGAACTCCCTGTTGGCCTCATCCTCTATGTCCTCCCACACCTCTGGCACTGAAGTCGATAGAGACAGGAGGCTTAGCTTGTGTGTGTCTGTGTTTTTCTACAAGAATCTCACCAACACCTACATTGCAGATTAAACTTGTTGCATGACAACGCCCGAGTATGAGTTTTGCTGCCCGTACAAGCCAATGAATTGCTTTTGTATATCTTGTGGCACAGGTGGATTCACCAACTACAAGGGAACAGCTGGATCTGAATAAAACATCCTACATTTGGCAGGAGGAACAAACAAGATTGAGCCAAGAAGTATTGAGTAAATGTAAGAGAGAAAAAAAGGTCTGAGACTGTTCTTACGTGGTCTGCAAACAATGTGAAGATCCGGCAAGCCAACATAGGAAGGTGTGCCGTCATCAAAAAACACCAGGAACCTGAAACACAAGGAGGAGCGCCACAGAGCTTTACTAAGACATCGATGGATCATTTCAGCATAATGTTTACATATAATATCATCCAACCACACCCACCAATCACACATACACATAATACTATCACTAACACAAAGGGCTGTTATGCTGTCTGTTCTACCTGATAATTGCACACACCTGGTGTCAAGTCTAAATCAGTCTCTGATTAGAGGGGAACAATGAAAAAATGCAGAAGAACTGGCTTCGAGGTCCAGAGTTAAGTTTGAGGGGTGTAGGCTATATTAAATTGATTTATTATATATATATTTTTTATGTAGATGTTCCAAAGGTCCGCATCAGTGGCTTGTAGGTTATGGTGTAAGCCATGATATGCTAAACGTGTTTATGTTAATTAATGGTCAATTACTGTGAGACCGGCAGTTATTTGCATGACAATCACCGGCTGACAAAATGTAATGACCGCCACAGCCCTACTCACACACACACTTTACTCTCATACCTCATGCGGTTCTTTCGGTTGGGGAGCTCAGCCAGAATGCCAGAGTAGAACCAGGACTGGTCGGCGTCTTTGAACTTGGCCACCACACGCACACCCACGTACAGCCGCTCCAGCGAAGCAGTGTGGTCAAAGGCTATGTGGTGTCCTGACAGCATGCTCCTCCCCTTCTCGCTAAAGTCCACCTTATACCTGCTTCCATTCTCTGTGGAGCATCAACGGTTGAGATATAGAGAGCATGGAGAAAACTAAGAATTCCGTAAAGGACATTTACTGATATAAAAGCAAAGATTTAGGAATACATTTTAAGTGACTGTTGAGATAAGAAAAGACAATGTCTTTATTATCCCCATGGGGACATTCTGTTTGCGGCTCTGTGCATACATTAAAACACATCAAGCATAGACAACGGACATATCTACACCATTACAAACAAATACAATGAGAATATAAATAATCAGTGGTTGTGTGTGTTCTTACCTGTTGGTTTGATTTCTGTAATCTTGCCTGGGTGCCAGGTCTTGGTCCTCCTCCTGGCCAGGACCATCATGTCAGTCTTGATCTCCTCCTCTGTGAGGCCGGGGGGTGGCTGAGTGGCAGGGTTGGGTGCATGGGTCGGAGCCTGTGACACGCTGGTCACCACAAACGGAGTGGACGTTTCTGTCAGAGAGCGAGAAGACCACCATGAGCACTAAAGATTGTCATTGAAGATATCATTGACAACAAGTTGCAAGCAATTTAGAGAAGATCAATAACACAAAACAAGGTCAGACATTTGAAATCCAACATGCAAAGCATAAGTCACCTTTTCTGGCCTCTTGTGGTTTTGATGGAGCATTGGAACCACTTTTGCTGGCCTCTTGTGGTTTGGCAGCAGATTTCTCACTCTTGCCGGGCTCTTGTGATTTTGGTGGGGAAGCTGTGCCACCTTTGCTTGAGTTCTGCTGTTTCGTCAATGCAGAGGAGTCACCTGCTCTGGGCTTTGAAGGGGCAAGAGGCGAGTCTTTCCTGTAGGACACAACTTGATGCTTGGTTCGGGCAGATTCTCTTCTCTTCCCTTCACCTTTTCTCCGCCGTCCACGTTTGCTGGACTCGGGACGTTTTGTTGAGATCTTTTTTGATTTTGACGGAGTATACTCATCACCACTGTCTTCTTGTGGACTTGGTGGTTCAGAATCTGATTGAGCAAGGGGAGTTGCTGGAGTATCACTAGAGTTTGAGGCTTCATTTGGGGCAACAGTTACAGTCACAAAAGGGTTGGTCACAGCTGGAGAGGATGGCATGCTCTCCATGTAATCTGCCATGTCATTGTACTAAGGAAGAATGAGAGAAAAGCATGTCAGGAGCATGGCTGAGACCAGACACCTAGAAGTGTGTGTGTGTGTGTTTGTGTGTGCGCACGTGCATTTGCATCCTATCTGGCTGTTCTCACATTTTCTGTGTCACTGTCTGTAGCTGGGACTCCTTCAGGAGCAGATTCGGAAGCAGCAACTGAGAAAAAGATCGAAAGGAGATTCATTAAAGAATAAAGCATAACTGATTGGGATTGAGGGTCACATCCCCTCTGTGTTCCCATTGAAACAACATTTCCCTCAATCCCTTACCACTGTCTGTGGCCATGGTGTTGTCGTTTCTGTCCGCATCCCCATCATCGATCTCGATGACGCTTTGCTGGCCCACTCCTTCATCTTCAGAGTCTGTGTCTCTGTACTCCATGCCCAGTTTGCTGTACAGATCCTTCATAACGGTCTCACACTCCACCACAGACCTGTGGAGAAACAGTCAAGGTAGAGACCCCGAAGGTAACAACCCTGTTTCGCCCCCCTGGAAGTTTCTTCCCCATGTTCTGTGCATATATTTCTTTACCTCTATGCACACATTTTTATGGTAACCCTGCCTTCACATCTCACTCAATCATGAATTATAACTCTTAAAGTTTTACTGGTGAAACGCCCACGCAGCATCTGCATACCAACTATTTGATCTCAAAACAGTTATGGGAATATGCAGTTACATCTTCTTGAGTTATGTACTGTTGTTTTGAAGTAGTTTTGTTTTGAATTATGTACAGTGAGCTAATTTTAGAGCAGATGGTTTTAACAAACTGTAGCATACCTGTGTTGTTTCAATCAAAGCACATATTTTGCCTAGCACTGTTGAGTTTTGTCCGCATGAGAGAAAAATGTGACCAATCACACAATCATCCTAAAATCTCATAAGAAATTAGGTTGTGTTTTTTGTCTTACAGTAACGTTATACTATGCTATTATAGTCGGTTCTGTTATGTAGAATCTATCATTATGTGATCTTGCAGACATTGATTTAGCTTTGTTAAACTTCATTAAACAAAGATTCGTCAGAGTAGCCTGTTCTCTGGACAGCAGAACGAGTAGAGCAGAGACTGTGCATAAAGTACAGAATCCTACACAGAAGCTTCGGATCTTTAGCTATCGGGAAGAGGCTTCCGAAGAATTCGGAACTGCAGCCTTCGGAATGTCAACAGTCAAATCAGTGCACAACAAATCCACAGCCACGAATCCAAAAGCACTGCTGCAGACCCAACAGTCTCACATGTATATGCTGCAGTGGAGGCTCCTCAGGAGGAAAGGGAGGATCATCCTACTCAGTACATTTCTGAAAAATGAAGTGAAATATTTAAAAAAAAGTTATCCTTTTTAGATAAAACTATATTAAATATATTAACGTCACCAAATACGCTACAGCTAACTAGCACTGCAGTGCATACAATGTGGTGAATAGTTGACTAAGAGAGAAAGCCAATAGTTTAACAGGTTTTAACAAATGAATTTCTTAAAAAATTAAAGAGAAGCAGCAGCGAGAGAGCTAGCTATATTTCATATTTTCTCACTTTCACTTACTAGCTAATGCAGCTAGCTAATTCAGCCTACTCAAACACCTGATTCAAACAGAGAGGAATGCTATTTATGTTGGCTAGCTGGCTATCCAATGTAAGGCTATCCAACACTGAAACGCTTCCAAGTCAAGGTAAGCTTTCGGTTGTATTCATTTATTGCCACCGGGGCCCCCAGGGTAACTGCTACACTGTACTGAGTGACTGTAGCGGGTTTACTAACGCTTTCGTTCTAGTAGCTATGTTGACTATGACATTAGCTAATATGGTGAAAACGATGTGTAGCTGTTAGCGCTTATGGTATGAAGGTTTGGCTTGGACATTTTTTTTCTGCCTGGTCACAGACAGCTGTTGTGTTGTGCACTGAAGTCCAAAAGATGAGAGGAGGAGACTGCGTAGATGCGAGAAGGAATTGTACAACGAGCTGTTGGGGGAAAATGGTTATGTTACAGTCTAATGCTATGTAAATGCTTGAGTTGAATGGTACTACGTCACTGGTAATTTTCCACAGCTGTCCAGTACCCTCTTCACACACTGCACAAAGGAGTGATCTGTTACTGGCTCCTAAAGGCCCAGCCAGGCTGAATTCTTGTTCCATCTGTTAAGACTCTAAAGACCTTATCACTCCCCTTTCTTAGACCCATAGGCTGTGAGAACTGGTTAGAACCTGTTCTTGTTTGTACAATGTTTTAAGAAAGTGGATCCAAGTACCCCTTATCTCTCATGTAAGCTTGCCTCCCCCTTGGAGGGGTAAGCAGCTCTTTGTGTAGATGAAGTATATAAATGAAAGTGTGATTCTGTATACTTTTGAGTTCCTCTCCGGTTTATCCGGAGAGTGATCTTACATTTTCTTACATTTTCCCTGCAATTGCTTGAATAAATTATTATTGGTGATAAATAGGTTCTGACCGATTACTGTAATGAGTTTTCCTCAACAGAGCAAAGTAATGATGCAGTTTGTATGTGGCTGCTTTGAAAGTGAACCGTGTGTGCGGGTGATCAGGGGTGTACTCATTAGGGGTGTGCCAATCGTCATACTCATTCAGTTTTATCACAGTTGGTACTCGTAATTGGATCTACTCGTGATCGGAAAACCCGGAAGTGCGCTTTAAATGCCGGTAAAGCCTATACCTCAAGTGCGCTATCACTCAGAGCGCATCGTTATGTTCCTTCACACACATTGTTCAAAGGTAAACAACCCTGGCAGATAAAATGCACATCAGGCTATTAACATACTTAGTCCTATTCAATTATCAATGAAATAGGCTAATACATACCCTAATGCATGGCTGTCTACTACTGCCTGTATTTATTCCAGACACAGATTTAGAGGAAGCTAGGCTAATTCGCTTGCCCCGTATATCGTTTCACTTTCGAGAGGAGGAAAACTTCTCTCCTGACACTAATGCCACAACATTTGTACTATCAAAATAAACTATCTACATTTGTAATTTTGATCTGTCGCTCTGTAAACATGCCCGGGCGAGAAGAAATAATAGCAACCATGGGCTTGGATCACAACATAAGGGTAGGTAACCATGGGCTTGGATCACAACATAAGGGTAGGTAACAACACATCTGCCACACTGATCCTCAACACGGGGGCCCCTCAGGGGTGCGTGCTCAGTCCCCTCCTGTACTCTCTGTTCACCCATGACTGCATGGCCAGGCACGACTCCAACACCATCATTAAGTTTGCCGACGACACAACAGTGGTAGGCCTGATCACCGACAACGATGAGACAGCCTATAGGGAGGAGGTCAGAGATCTGGCCGTGTGGTGCCAGGACAACAACCTCTCCCTCAACGTGACCAAGACAAAGGAGATGATTGTGGACTACAGGAAAAAAAAGAGGACTGAGCACGCCCCCATTCTCATCGACGGGGCTGTAGTGGAACAGGTTGAGAGCTTCAAGTTCCTTGGTGTCCACATCACCAACGAACTATCATGGTCCAAACACACCAAGACAGTCGTGAAGAGGGCACGACAAAGCCTATTCCCCCTCAGGAGACTAAAAAGATTTGGCATGGGTCCTCAGATCCTCAAAAAATTCTACAGCTGCACCATCGAGAGCATCCTGACTGGTTGCATCACCGCCTGGTATGGCAACTGCTTGGCCTCTGACCGCAAGGCACTACAGAGGGTAGTGCGTACGGCCCAGTACATCACTGGGGCAAAGCTCCCTGCCATCCAGGACCTCTATACCAGGCGGTGTCAGAGGAAGGCCCTCAAAATTGTCAAAGACTCCAGTCACCCTAGTCATAGACTGTTCTCTCTGCTACCGCACGGCAAGCGGTACCGGAGTGCCAAGTCTAGGTCCAAAAGACTTCTCAACAGCTTCTACCCCCAAGCCATAAGACTCCTGAACAGCTAATCATGGCTACCCGGACTATTTGCACTGCCCCCCCACCCCATCCTTTTTACGCTGCTGCTACTCTGTTAAGTATTTATGCATAGTCACTTTAACTCTACCCACATGTACATATTACCTCAACTAGCCGGTGCCCCCGCACATTGACTATGCAACGGTACCCCCCTGTATATATAGCCTCCCTACTGTCACTTTATTCTATTGTATATATAGCCTCCCTACTGTCACTTTATTTTTTACTTCTGCTCTTTTTTTCTCAACACTTTTTTGTTGTTGTTTTATTCTTACTTTTTTTGTTTAAAATAAATGCACTGTTGGTTAAGGGCTGTAAGTAAGCATTTCACTGTAATGTCTGCACCTGTTGTATTCGGCGCATGTGACCAATAAAATTTGATTTGATTTGATTTGATTTGACAGACGTTGTTAGCAATGGAATAATTATACAGAGACAAAGTAGGCCTACTAAACAATGCCAAGTAGACAGACAAAAACAACCATATCGCCTCAGCAAAGTCGATACAAAATAGGTATATTGAACAACAATGACTAGCTACGGATTCTAATTCATACATGATGTTTGGAGAAGGGGACACTTGTGCCATGAGACGATTGACTGTGAGTGACTTAAAGTGAGTGAATTATTCTGATCACTGATAATTACGACACCGTTACAATACATGTTTTGTCAGAGTACATTTACATTTTAGTCATTTAGCAGACGCTCTTATCCAGAGCGACTTACAGGAGCAAGTAGGGTTAAGTGCCTTGCTCAAGGGCACATCGACAGATTTTTCACCTAGTCGCTCGGGGATTAGAACCAGTGACCTTTCGGTTACTGGCACAACGCTCTTAACCACTAAGCTACCTGCCGCCACTTGAGTACTCTGCACACCCCTTGTTTTCATTCTGCCGATTTTCGGAACAAAACGGGGATAAACCTACCTGAATATTGTCAATAGAAACTCTTGTTTGCAACGTTTGGACTAATGATTACATCCTAGATCAGCTAGATGTAGGCAAGAGTGTGCAAGGCGGTACTGAATTTGTCAATGTCTGTCGCCTTGATTACTCCAATTTGTCTCTCTCTCTGACCTGTTATAAACTTTCATTCGTAGCTAGGTTGTGGCAACCTCATGATGGGTATAGGGAAAATTCTAGTATCATGTAGTAGCCTAAACCTATCGATGTTACATTGAGCTGGGTCAATGGAATATGAATGACAGTCATCCAATAAGCTGCAATAAAAATAAGATGCAAGCATTGCAGACCAAAAAACAACACTTACAGGCTGATCCCAGATCTGTTTGTGCTCTTGCCAACGCCACTGCTCACGGTCAAGCCAAACATTTCTATTTGGCATGAGAAAGTGACAAGAAGTCAACATGACAGCAGATCTAGGACCAGGCTAAAAACTTAGGTCAACAGGCTGAAAAACACTTACTCGCAGGCGGTGTTGAAAAGGCTGCGGGTGCAGAGGGCCTGCTTCTCCTTCCGCTGCACTAGGTTCTGCATCTGGGCCAGCTGGGTCCTCCTGAGTTTCACCAAGTTTTGATTCTCCACCTCCTCCTGTATCCAGCCCTGAAGCTCCCCCACGGTCATCTCCATTTCATCATCCCCACTCTCCATGACTTGGGAGACTGTGAAAGCTTCCTTCTAATGGGTGCTCTCAGGTTTTCAGCAGTAGGTCTGTGCTCTGGTCCTGTTGACAAAACATGACAATATCCATCCGTTTTTCTAAGAGCTCATAGCATAGCCTGCAGTTAAATGTTGTTTTCGTTATTTGTTTAGATATTTAAATTGACTGAGTAATGTAAACATTGAGCCATTTGATTGAACAACAGATCATCAATGGCATGTGCCCAACAAATCAACACATTTGGCCCGTGAAATGTTACAGTTGCTGATAAAACAAGACAAACACAACGCCTTTCATTAGTTCAAAGAGGTATCAAGCGTAAGCTTAAAAGAACATGCAGCTATAAACGAATGATTATTTTACTGTAATGGAAAAGGTCCAAACTGTCCAACGACGGCGAAGAAAGTGTATGTTATGAGGTAGCAAGCTGACGTTATCGTAGTCTGATTAAACAGGCTGTAATAAACAATTATTTGTAAACCAATTAACGTGAATTGTGTATTAAAGCCTGATTAATCAGACTAACGTTAGCGTATCTAATGCGACCGGTAGTAACGTTAGCTAGCTAGCTTAGCAAAGTTAAACTCAACTCGATATTTAGCTAACGTTAGTAGCTATTTACTATGCTAGCTAATCCAAATCAAATGTCTTACGGGTAGCTAATCCAAATGTTTTACGGGTAACTATGTAAACTTGTATAGCTAGCTACATGCTAACTATGGCTGAATACTCTTTCTTCGGTTAACCAAATTGTTTTCCAAAAACCTTTATGTTCTCACCTGAAGCTTCCCGCAAAAAAAACATTCACTGTCCACTTCCGCGAACGACGTTAACTCAGTCAGCTAGCTAAATGAACGTTAGCTTTAGCCAGTCAGCTAGCTAAATTAGCTTTAGCAACCAAGGCAAGGGGGAGGGTATATCGCCGGCTGTTCCGTTTCGCCTATTTTTTTCAACATGCTGCGGTTCTTAAACCTTTGTGTTTTTAACGCAGGCAGTGTATAGATCGTGTATAGGTAGTGTGTCCTATTTCCCATGCATATTCTCTGGTCGAAATAAAAGCACCAGACGTGCAGGCTGACTAACTATTACTAACCCCACCGCCGTGATGAATTAGAAGACGCTTGCAAACATGGCAGTGGGTGGTAACGTTACCCCCTTGTGTTCTCCTTCGATGGATAGATGTGTGCACTGCAGACAGTGTATAATACCTAGCTAGTAGCTACAGCAAAAATCTACTGTAATATATTTGGTTGAATGTATCTAGTTAATAATGTTGCCCATAATGTTTGTAAAATTATATATTGATGTCATATCCTCATTAGGCGTTCTTCTTTGCTCCACGTTGTGATGTGAGAAGTGGTCACTCCATACATGAAGGTTCCTCAAGTGTCTGGGAAGATACAAAGAGGAAGAGCGAGGCCCAACTCAACGGAAAATCTGTCTCCATCCAGCAGGTGGCGTTCTTTCGTTGTTTCGCCCACCAAGCAAGGTGTTTTTGTATCGAGGTCAATGAAAGTGTCAATTTTTTTTTTTTTTTTTTTTTAATGAATGGCTTATTTTCTACGTGGTGTTTATTTGATCGAATAGAAGTTTCATAATGCTTAATTTGTTTTAGTGTACTGATATAAGTAGGACACGTGACATCCCGGCAACTTTGAAAATAAGCTATTTATATCGGATGTGCCTTGCGATGGCTATGCATATTCATGGTATGAGGCTAGTAGCATAGCGTCCCTCACCATTGAATACAGGTGGTTGACGTCAACAACCCTCATCGAATATTCAAAAAAAGATTACAACAATGAGATGTATCCACCAATCCAAAGAAAAGATAGGCGGGAGCTAGACAGCCCGCCGTGCCCCTTTGTGGACAACGAGACATGTATCTTGTCAGTATATTCATAATCTTTGTAAAATCTCAATTGCATACTGTGGTGGAAATTGAACACCAGGGACACCTAAAGTCAATATTAAATGAATCACTCTTTATTATCAGTTAACTGGAGCGGTTACAACAAACACACATACAAAGTACAAGTCTGCCACAAGCTCTGCCAGGGCTGTCCCTTCAGTACTCTTATATACTGCTACACAAAAAAGCTACATTGGCATGGTTCATAGGGTTGGTTCCTGCAGGTGGCTTGTGGTAATGGTGGAGCGGAATTGGTGGAATAGTATCAAATACATCAAACACAGTTTTTTTTTTTTTTTGGGGGGGGGGGGGGGTAGATCAGCTTAATATTGCAGATAGATTGTAACTTCCATCAATGTAATTGTCTGCATCAAATCAAATCAAATTTTATTGGCCACATGCGCCGGATACAACAGGTGCAGACATTACAGTGAAATGCTTACTTACAGCCATTAACCAACAGTGCATTTATTTTTAATAAAAAAGTAAAATAAAACAACAACAAAAAAGTGTTGAGAAAAAAAGAGCAGAAGTAAAATAAAATAACAGTAGGGAGGCTATATATACAGGGGGGTACCGGTGCAGAGTCAATGTGCGGGGGCACCGGCTAGTTGAGGTAGTTGAAGTAATATGTACAGTGGGGAAAAAAAGTATTTAGTCAGCCACCAATTGTGCAAGTTCTCCCACTTAAAAATATGAGAGAGGCCTGTAATTTTCATCATAGGTACACATCAACTATGACAGACAAATTGAGAAAAAAAAATCCAGAAAATCACATTGTAGGATTTTTAATGAATTTATTTGCAAATTATGGTGGAAAATAAGTATTTGGTCACCTACAAACAAGCAAGATTTCTGGCTCTCACAGACCTGTAACTTCTTCTTTAAGAGGCTCCTCTGTCCTCCACTCGTTACCTGTATTAATGGCACCTGTTTGAACTTGTTATCAGTATAAAAGACACCTGTCCACAACCTCAAACAGTCACACTCCAAACTCCATTATGGCCAAGACCAAAGAGCTGTCAAAGGACACCAGAAACAAAATTGTAGACCTGCACCAGGCTGGGAAGACTGAATCTGCAATAGGTAAGCAGCTTGGTTTGAAGAAATCAACTGTGGGAGCAATTATTAGGAAATGGAAGACATACAAGACCACTGATAATCTCCCTCGATCTGGGGCTCCACGCAAGATCTCACCCGTGGGGTCAAAATGATCACAAGAACGGTGAGCAAAAATCCCAGAACCACACGGGGGGACCTAGTGAATGACCTGCAGAGAGCTGGGACCAAAGTAACAAAGCCTACCATCAGTAACACACTACGCCGCCAGGGACTCAAATCCTGCAGTGCAGACGTGTCCCCCTGCTTAAGCCAGTACATGTCCAGGCCCGTCTGAAGTTTGCTAGAGTGCATTTGGATGATCCAGAAGGGGATTGGGAGAATGTCATATGGTCAGATGAAACCAAAATATAACCTTTTGGTAAAAACTCAACTCGTCGTTTTGGAGGACAAAGAATGCTGAGTTGCATCCAAAGAACACCATACCTACTGTGAAGCATGGGGGTGGAAACATCATGCTTTGGGGCTGTTTTTCTGCAAAGGGACCAGGACGACTGATCAGTGTAAAGGAAAGAATGAATGGGGCCATGTATCGTGAGATTTTGAGTGAAAACCTCCTTCCATCAGCAAGGGCATTGAAGATGAAACGTGGCTGGGTCTTTCAGCATGACAATGATCCCAAACACACCGCCCGGGCAACGAAGGAGTGGCTTCGTAAGAAGCATTTCAAGGTCCTGGAGTGGCCTAGCCAGTCTCCAGATCTCAACCCCATAGAAAATCTTTGGAGGGAGTTGAAAGTCTGTGTTGCCCAGCGACAGCCCCAAAACATCACTGCTCTAGAGGAGATCTGCATGGAGGAATGGGCCAAAATACCAGCAACAGTGTGTGAACACCTTGTGAAGACTTACAGAAAACGTTTGACCTGTGTCATTGCCAACAAAGGGTATATAACAAAGTATTGAGAAACTTTTGTTATTGACCAAATACTTATTTTCCACCATAATTTGCAAATAAATTCATTAAAAATCCTACAATGTGATTTTCTGGATTTTTTTTCTTCTCATTTTGTCTGTCATAGTTGACGTGTACCTATGATGAAAAGTACAGGCCTCTCATCTTTTTAAGTGAGAGAACTTGCACAATTGGTGGCTGACTAAATACTTTTTTTCCCCACTGTACATGTGGGTAGAGTTAAAGTGACTATGCATAAATAATGAACAGAGTAGCAGCAGCGTAAAAAGATGGGGTGGGGGGGCAGTGCAAATAGTCCGGGTAGCCATGCTTCTTGACACACTGCTCGCTTAACCCAGAAGCCAGCCGCACCAATGTGTCGGAGGAAACACCATACAACTGGCGACGTGTCAGCATGCATGCACCCGGCACGCCACAGGAGTCGCTAGAGCACGATGGGACAAGGACATCCCGGCCGGCCAAACCATCCCTTAACCCGGACCATGCTGGGCCAATTGTGCGAACCCGGGTCCTACCAAGTGGCGTGGCGAGAAGCTGTCTCCGCACCACGTGCTCTCACCACTGGTGTCCCCCAGGGCTCAGTTCTAGGCCCTCTCCTTTTCTCCCTATACACCAAGTCACTTGGCTCTGTCATATCCTCACATGGCCTCTCCTATCATTGCTACGCTGACGTGTAGCATTAGTGATATCTGGGCACCAGTCCAATAATACCTTTATATTCTAATGTGGCTGACAGTGGCTTGAACTATACTGAACAAAATTATAAACGTAACATGTGAAGTGTTGATCTGTCACGTCTACCCCCGCTCCCCCTCTCTGGTGCTCGATGTCGCCGGTCTACTAACCACCGGTCCTGGCAACCCATCATTACGCACACCTGGCAACCTTCATTACGCACACATGCGCCTCATCATTTGGCACACCTGGACTTCATCACTTCCCTGATTACTTCCCCTTTATTTAGCCCTCTGTTGTCGTCAGTCATTAGGTGTTATTGGTTTTTCTCTCACGTTCAGTACGCTTCCCATGTTTGTTCTTTTGTATCTTGTCAGTATTAAAACTCACCTGCTTTCTGATTCCCGGTCCAATGTTTCATGAGCTGAAATAAAAGATCCCCGAAATGTTCCATACGCACAAAGCTTATTTCTCTCAAATGTTGTGCACAAATTTGTTTGCATCCCTGTTAGTGAGCATTTCTCTTTTGCCAAGATAATGCGTCCCCCTGACAGGTGTGGCATATCAAGAAGCTGATTAAACAGCATGATCATTACACAGGTGCACTTTCTGCTGGGGACAATAAAAGGCCACTCTAAAATGTGCAGTTTTGTCACACAAGTTGAGGGAGCGTGCAATTGGCATGCTGACTGCAGGAATGTCCATCAGAGCTGTTGCCAGAGAATTTTATGTTAATTTCTCGACCATAAGCTGCCGCCAAAACGTATTTTTAGAGAATTTACGTCCAACCGGCTTCACAACCGCAGACCACGTGTAACCACGCAAGCCCAGGACCTCCACATCCGGCTTCTTCACCTGCGGGATCGACTGAGACCAGCCACCCAGACAGCTGAAGAAATTGTGGGTTTGCACAACCGAAGAATTTCTGCACAAATTGTCAGAAACCGTCTTAGGAAAGCTCATCTGTGTGCTCGTTGTCAGTGGGCAAATGCTCACCTTCAATGGCCACTGGCACGCTGGAGAAGTGTGCTCTTCATGGATGAATCCCAGTTTCAAATGTACTGGGCAGAAGAAGGACCGCGGGTATGGCGTTGTGTGGGCGAGTGGTTTGCTGATGTCAACGTTGTGAACAGAGTGCCCCGTGATGGTGGGGTTATGGTATGGGCAGGCATAAGCTATGGACAACGAACACCATTGCATTATCAATGGCAATTTGAATGTACAGAGATACCGTGACAAGATCCTTAGGCCCATTGTCGTGCCATTCATCTGCTGCCATCACCTCATGTTTCAGCATGATAATGCACGGCCCCATGTCGCAAGGATCTGTACACAATTCCTGGCAGCTGAAAATGTCCCAGTTCTTCCATGGCCTGCATACTCACCAGATATGTCACCAATTGAGCATGTTTGGGATGCTCTGGATCAACCTGTACGACAGCGTGTTCCAGTTCCCGCCAATATTCCAGCAAATGGTGGTCACACCAGATACTGACTGGTTTTCTGATCCACGCCCCTAACTTATTTTTTTAAAGGTATCTGTGATGCGTATCTGTATTCCTAGTCATGTGAAATCTATAGATTAGGACCTAATTAATTTATTTCAATTGACTGATTTCCTTATATGAATTGAAATTGTTGCATGTTGCGATTATATTTTTGTTCAGTGTAGTTATGGTTCCATACAGAATCAAGCTAGCTAGTTTAAAAATAGCATGCAAAATAACTTTACCTAATAGATTTTGGTAGGTAGTATCAGACTACGTTAGCATTACAAACTCTTAATAACAATGACTTGGACAATAGCTTTCAAAAACATATTACAAAGAATAAAAAGCTTGCTACCTAGCCATAAAAGAAAGACATTTAAACTTACCCGCCATGACACAGCTATGATTCTTGGTGGACATTGCACAATTAGTCAGTGGTAAACTGGTGACACTTATTTTTCTTCGTCTGTGGATTTTTTATGGTGGTTGGCAAACAACTTTATGGTGCATTACCGCCACCAACTGGACTGGAGTGTAGACCAGAGACAAGGAAGGTCTAAATCCTACCCAATATTCTCGTCTCCTTAAGGAAACTGGTAACGCATGTCGTGATTGACAGGTGGTTGCTCCAGACAACACGGCCCATGTGAGCTGTCACCAACCGACCAGTATAGAGTATGCTGGTCTATGAAAACTTAATCTAATTGGTTAGAATAAACAGGTCCCACCTCCCAGAGCTCATGTTCTCTTTCTCTATTTTTCTTTCTCTCTTTCTCTTTCTCTGCAAATATTTTTGTCATGGTGCGAAAAGTCTGAGCGTGCGAATTTGACATGCGCAGGTGTACAGATGCAATTATTGCTTTCACATATTAACATACAAGTTTGCAAATGCGATTACAACTACACATGACTTTTTTTCATGTTCACAACTCATCAGTTACACATTTGAAAATTGTGTTTACAACTATAAATATATTCTAAATGCTCAAATCATTATGACAATGATTTACCTCCATACATCTCAGCCTAAATTGTGACAACTTCCACATGCTCTGATTTTCTAATTTTTCATAAAATAAAAAAGAGTATCAACCTCTGATACAGTAAACATTGCATGATCTGATAAGATTGTCTGGCATTAAACCCTATACAGTCAACGCATTAAACATGAATCACTCATCAGGGAATGTACAGACTAGAGAAATACATATAGTACAGGTCATGCAAAAACTTGATTTACAAAAGGATACAAATGAACAGTGCAACTCAGCTGCCATTGTGGAAATTATTCTGATTCAAGTTTTGATGGTGCAGCAGTAGTATTTGGAGAGGATTCGGGGTGGCATGCCGAATTTCAGTGGTGATCATCTTGTATTATACACTGGCCTAGCTATTTCTGCTGAATCTCCCAAATAAACCAAAGTTTGTTGCTAATTTAAATGATATAAACTCAAATCAAATCACATTTTATTTGCCACATGCGCCGAATACAACAGTGAAATGCTTATTTACAAGCCCTTAACCAACAATGCAGTTTTAAGAAAAGGGGGGGACATTGTCTGGGTAGCCATGATTAGCTGTTCAGGAGTCTTATGACTTGTGGGTAGAAGCTGTTAAGAAGCCTTTTGGACCTAGACTTGGTGCTCCGGTACCGCTTGCTGTGCGGTAGCAGAGAGAACAGTCTATGACTAGGGTGGCTGGAGTCTTTGACAATTTTTAGGGCCTTCCTCTGACACCACCTGGTATAGAGGTCCTGGATGGCAGGAAGCTTGGCCCCAGTGATGTACTAGGCCGTACGCACTACCCTCTGTAGTGCCTTGCGGTCGGAGGCCGAACAGTTGCCATACCAGGCGGTGATGCAACCAATCAGGATGCTCTCGATGGTGCAGCTGTAGAACGTTTTGAGGATCTGAGGACCCATGCCAAGTCTTTTCAGTCTCCTGAGGGGGAATAGGCTTTGTCGTGCCCTCTTCACGACTGTCTTGGTATGTTTGGACCATGATAGTTTGTTGGTGATGTAGACACCAAGGAACTTGAAGCTCTCAACCTGTTCCACTACAGCCCCGTCGATGAGAATGGGGGCGTGCTCAGTCCTCTTTATTTCCCCTGTAGTCCACAATCATCTCCTTTGTCTTGATCACGTTGAAGAAGAGGTTGTTATTCTGGCACCACACGGCCAGGTCTCTGACCTCCTCTCTATAGGCTGTCTAATCGTTGTCGGTGATCAGGCCTACCACTGTTGTGTCGTCTGCAAACTTAATGATGGTGTTGGAGTCTTGCCTGGCCATGCAGTCATGGGTGAACAGGGCATACAGGAGGGGACTGAACACGCACCCCTGAGGGGCTCCCGTGTTGAGGATCAGCGCGGCAGATGTGTTGTTACCTACCCTTACCACCTGGGGGTGGCCCGTCAGGAAGTCCAGGATCCAGTTGCAGAGGGAGGTGTTTAGTCCCAGGGTCCTTAGCTTAGTGATGAGCTTTGAGGGCAATGTGGTGTTGAACGCTGAGCTGTAGTCAATGAATAGCATTTTCACGTAGGTGTTCCTCTTGTCCAGGTGGGAAAGGGCAGTGTGGCGTGCAATAGAGATTGCATCATCTGTGGATCTGTTGGGTCGGTATGCAAATTGGAGTGGGTCTAGGGTTTATGGGATAATGGTGTTGATGTGAGCCATGACCAGCCTTTCAAAGCACTTCATGGCCACATCCCTCATTTAGCCTATCTTTTCACACAGCTAAGGGATTCATGCTGTATATCTCCAGCATGGTGAGTGGCAGAATGTCAACTCTCTCCAGCACATGATTTGTGAGGGCCTCTCTTTTGTGGGGGCCTCTCTTCTTAATTGGTGATCTGTTCCTCTTGATAGGTGGAGATTGAGATGGCGCCATAAGGGTCCACCACTGTCTGAGCGCAGCGCACCACCGTCAGCAGCAGGAAGAAGCAGAGGAGGACGAGAAAGAAGAGAGCAAAGCCCAGGTCCACATCCACCTCCAGCTTGGACAGAGGGGGAGCTGGCTGGTGCTGGTCCATGTGACTGAACAAGGTAAGGGTCAGTAGTAGGTTGAGAGATGCTTGTGTTACAGGTCCCAGGTGTGGGATTCCTTAGGCAGATAATAGTTGTCCTGGATGGTCCTCTGTAGCTCAGCTGGTAGAGCACGGCGCTTGTAACGCCAAGGTAGTGGGTTCGATCCCCGGGACCACCCATACACAAAAAAATAATAATTTATGCACGCATGACTGTAAGTCGCTTTGGATAAAAGCGTCTGCTAAATGGCATATTATTTATTATATGAACAGGATAAATTAAGAAAACTGAGAGTTAGCTGCTTTTCCTATGGCTTGTCTTCCAATGTATATTCACTGTATGTTGAGATCAGTTGCCAGGTAAGTTGTCGTCTTCTCAGGTAGGTAATATCTTGTCATGAAATTGCAATGTAAATCATATTATATCTCATTAGAGATCCAAGGTAAGTCTTGTAAGGTAAGTCACTTGCAGCATAAGTGAACACCACATTGGCCCCCAGCCCAGCGAGTGTCCTCCTATGGGAGAGGAAACATCATTATCAGTCTAACCTTAATCAAACACACTCACTGGCTCTGAGGTGTACGTGTACCCTTGTTAATGTATTGCTCACAAAGAAGACATACACTCATACAAACATGTTGCTCTGACGGAGAAGAAATAGACCAAAAAAAAGAAAGAGAGCTAATACAGTACTTTGTACATATTTAGGAGCACCCTTTGATATTCTCAATATTCCGATAATACTTAAATGTGTTTCTCTTTTCAATATTTTGTACACACGTGTATATAAAAGTATTGTTTATTTTAAGCATCTTAAACATAACACAATTTTTACAGTTAATATGAAATTGCAACAAGAGATATAGTTCATATCGATTAATACATTTCGTTTGTGTTTACACAAAACAGTCAAAGTACTTAGCAGTAGTCCTATAATAAAAATTTACACATATGAAAAGCTCCAACTGTGGCAAAATAGCATTTGAATGGACTCAACTAAACAACTAAGATACACACATTTCTATTTTGATGGTTATACAAGTAATGACAAACAGTAATGACAATCTCCCTCTTAAACGCAAAGAGCATAACTCCGAATGAATCTGATAACATAAAACATAGATTAAAACTCACCGTCCCTGCTTATGTCTTTCATATGTATGAAGAAATGGCACAGGTCTATCTGTCTCCCTGTTGTTTCACAGAACCTTTCCGAACCCCTTTTAACATGAACCCACCTGTCAAAGCTCTCAGGGATCTCTCAATTTCAGCTCCCCTCTTATTGCTTTTTCTTACATAACACAATCCTTCTATTACAGATCTCTTCATCCTCCCACCCTGTCACAATCAGAGGAAAAATGTGCACCCCACAAAATACTCTACACATACACAGGCAGACACACATACACTCTCGGGAACACACACATCCATGGGCACATGCGACCTCCCCCTGGCGCTAAAGCCTTTATAAATAGTTTAACAGGAGTTGAATAATGTTCCCTGGAGTTCACATGTGAATCAATTACCCCTGTCCTTTGTTTCCCTGTCAGGAAGACCTTAAGAGAGAGTATGGTATCTGGTTTCATTGACATATGGATAAGAAGAAATATCAAAACAATATTCTTCAATAGTCCAACCACTATCTTTTGGCTAGATCTGCAGCCACTCAAATGCTGACAAGCTTTTCAAACTATACCATTGTTAAGCAGGCCTAGCCTAAGGATCCAAAACGTATTGCCCCCCATGGCATTTGCAACGCCAGGGTTGTGGGTTCGTTTCCCACAGGGGACCAGTATGAAAAAAAAAAAAATGTATGCACTCACTAACTGTAAGTCGCTCTGGATAAGAGCGTCTGCTAAATGACTCTCTAGCATTTATGTGCACATTTAAATTTAAACCAGACTACTGGAGCCACCACCAACAGAGAAACATTACTCTTATCTTCAAAGGAGAAGTAACATTTGGTTATGCAAACAAACCCTTAATAACATGGCCAAAGGCATTCATTCGTTCTAATTAAAATGTCTGAAATAGCCCAAGTACAAATCAAGTAAGTAGAAAAGGGGCAGCAATGTTAGTGAGTAAGTGACCTCGTTCCCAGGCTCAATTGCTACCGCATGTAGGTTCGACAGAAAAAGAGAGCCGACTGGAGGATGAGATTAGTGAAAAATATAATTTGATCCGCGAAGCTGTATGGAGGATGACTAAGAGAAGATGGGGAAGCCGGATGCAGCAGTGATCACTGCTTCTTTTACGTCCAACAGAGACTCTGGGATAATCTCAATTGCATACTCCTGGTGTCCTCTCTCCTTGCATCCATCTCAAAACCCATTGTAAGAGAAAGCCAGAGGTCCCTCCCCTCTGACCTTCTCCAATGGGTTTTGAGAAGGATGCAAGGAGAGAGGCCGCGAGGAGTATGCAATTGAGATTATCCCCTTGAGACGGCAACTCAGTCAAATTAACTTTACCCCCATCTGATATGACTGTAGCTAGCCCGCATTAGGACAATGGAAGGTTAGTGACACAATATAATTAGCATGAGGAATTAGGAATGGAAAGCAGACGGGACCATTCAGTCATTTTACGGAATTTCCATGGTTTGTACTTTGAACCAGACAACACACAAAACGTATTCAGAAATAAATAATCACAGAAGACAACCATTTCATCCACAATAACCTTTATCATATCTTTGCAATATGACAAAATAAAAACACTAGTAGGGGAAAAGCGTTTTTGAGGGAAGGGGGGAGGGTCATAGGGATTGGTCTTTGCGTTGAGACATGAAGAAGTGAAGGGGAACAAATAACATGTTACAGCACTGCAGGGAGATCAAGTGCATCCCAAATGGCACACCATTTCCTATATAGTGTACCACCTGTGACCAATTAGTCCATATTGGAGAATAAAGAAAGAGAAAGATGCTAGACAGGAAATGAAAAAGACTGAAAAAGAGACATTGTGAGATTCTTTTTTACACATAACAGATAAGGCACTTGCAAAACTGAAATAAAACATACTTTGGTGTCCCATTTTATTAAAAAACCTAATGAATTGAACCAAACGCTTTACAAAATGAAATAAATAAGAAATGAAAACTGTAGTGTAATTGTAAGCCCCAATCATAATCCAACTCACTCAAATAGACATACAGTATGGCCTGGATGTTCATTTTGCTTTATGTTGTATTGGGTCTATGCTGACCCATAACTGAAACCCATAAAGTGCATTTTTGGACGAATGGGCAGAAAAATACAGATTTTAATGAATATATTCTCCTCCAGTCTGGTTGAATTAAGTGTTGGACTGGTTTGGGTAGGTTGGACCATTTCTCTGAAATGTGTCTGGATCAGTGACTGGACTTTTTAAATAAAGAAATAAAACAAAATCAAATCTGATAACTAAAAAGTTATTTTCAAAACATGAACAAACATTTAAAAAGTATTATTTCAAGCTGTGTGCTTTCTGCTCCCCAAGAGCCATTTCATTTGGAGACCGGCATAAACTAAGACAAATATCCACACAATGCAAACCAAACTTGCCAGCTTTTAAACCGTTAAAACAACTTAATTATTAACCGCCATATTTTTTTCAACAACATTTTACCAAAGAACATTAACAACACTGGCACAGTCCAGGTTGAATAAGAATGCCATGACAACAATAGTAGTGCCTGCTCTACTACAATCCAATAACAAAATGGTAGGTGCAAAAAACAAAGACTCATTTTCCATTATCGCTACTGTATGCTTTAGTGGTCTGACATGGTGATTTGAACACTTACACTGACCTGTACCATGTTGTGGTCATTAAGAGCACCTCATCTCTCTTGGCAGTTTTAAGTGTTAGCACATGGCATGTCATTTACCTCAGTGTGTCATTATCTGGGACGGGTGTCAGTGTACTGAGAAGGCAGCATTTGAACAGTCAAGTTTAAGTCTAGCAATACTCAGAGCGTTAACCAAGCATGCAGGAAGGGAATGCCCCTGTGAACAACAATTAGTTATATCGCTTTCCATAACTCAGGATGGGAAGCTGCGAGTACAGCTAGGCACCATAGTGCAGGGTTTCCCAAACTCGGTCCTGGGGCCCCCTCTGGGTACACGTTTTGGTTTTTGCCCTAGCACTACACAGCTGATTCAAATAACCAACACAGGACCCAGGACCCAATTTGGGAAATCCTGCCTTAGTGAATTATTTGCAATGTAAGGACTCAGAGAACAGTAAGAAATAGAGGGGGATGGATAGAAATAATAGGGAATAACAGTTTGTTGCTAAGGCACTGGACAGCTCATAGACCATGCACACAGTTTGTTTCCATTGCAGTCTTTCCTGAACTCCCCCCTCCTTCAACTAGTGTGATCTACAGAGCAGTGAAACCCATCTGGGCCTCGTAAGGAGTGTAATCTTTAGCATTATTTGTGTATATATCATTCAGCGGTGTGTGTGTGTGTGTGTGTGTGTGTGGCTTTTCCACCTTCCATTCTGCCCTACTTTGGCCTCATGGCCTAGGCCGCGTGAGAGTTGCTCTTCCCCTTTCCAGACACATCCTCCTTGGTGTCTCTGTAACAAATCACTCCATTTTGCTGTGGCGGTGGTTGTTGTTATGCACTGTGTGGCCATTGCCATTCTGCACAAATCCATTTTTCATTTTCTCATGGTCTTCGTCCTCCTCGTCTGACTCAGTCTCTTCCCTGTCGCTCCTCTCATCCTCAACGATATCCTGATGGGAGAGAGAGTACATTTACATTTAGGTCATTTAGCAGACGCTCTTATCTACAGCGACTTACAATTAGTGCATTTAAGTTAAGGCACTTAAGTTTCTGGACCCCCCTTCCTAGCGGCTGGAGGTCCCGGGGCTTCTGCACATGTGCAGGACTCTCTACTTTGTGCATATTCTCTGATCTACTCGTAGAGAACCTCCCTTCACATTTCTCACTGTCAATAGTGAATGATAATTCTTCAAATTTTACAGGTGAAATGTCCATGCAGCATCTGCATACCAACCATTTGATCTCAAATCAGTTTCATGGGGTTATGTATTTAGATCCTCAGTTAAAAGGCTACATCGAAACTGTAGCCTATAACTCAACCACAACATTTGTACAAGCTACATTTGTCATTTTATTTTCCAATGACCTGTCGCTTGGTAAACATGGCTGGGTGAGAATAAATAATACTAGCAAGTAGGGCCGACCACTACATTGCTTCACAATGTATTTCTTTGTAGGCTATAGCCTTGAAATAATATAGCCGAAATAATTCATTTCCGTTCCTTCTTAGGCTCCCTGTCTGGCTCCTGACCTATTTAGTGTTTATATGCTGTTTAATATAACATGTAGCCTATTTGAAATTATGTTAGCTTCTTACATTCACCTTTTCATGTTTATTCAAATACTTTTCATTCAAATCCATATGGTTTTGGTTTCAATACTTCAAAACCAAATGGTAGGTCCAGGTAGTCACAAAAATAGATCGGTGTTGGTTAAATTGTGATTTTAACGAATGGAGCGAATTTGGAGCGGCAGTGCGGGTTGTGAGCGCAGAGCGGAGCGGTTGGAAAGGAGCTTGCACACCGCTCCATGAGCAGGATTTCCAACCTCTCAACTCAGCTCACATGCTCTAGTGGGAGGAGGAGCATCGGTAACCGTTTTTTTTGCTTCTGGTTAGGCTATATTGATCTCTGGCTCCCTCTTTAGTAATTTGTGTGTCTTCATTTTTAAATCGCATTGCTTAAAACATCAGACAAGCTCAGTACCCTACATATAGTTGATTTTATTCAAACATAGGGTGTGTCTAGATAAGTAAGAATACATGTTTTAAAATTTCGACCAATCGATTGGTTGAAAGAACCGACGACTCTCGGTCGACCAAGATTTTGTTGTTGTTGTCGTGGCCAGCCCTACCAGCAAGCGACAGACATATCAGCAATGGAATAATTATACAGACAGACAAAGTAGCCCTTCTAAACAATGCCAAGTAGACAGACAAAAACAACCATATGGCCTCAGCAAAGTCTAAAGGAAATAACTAAATTGAACAACAAGAAGACTGTCCCTCCTTTTTGGTCAGTGTCAGCAGAGGAAAGGGAGAGCGGCCCTCTGAGTTTGTTGCCGTCTCCCTCTGCTGAGACTGACCATCAGAGGCAGACACCATCAACCCAGTAAAATAAAAAAGCTAATTATTTACATTTATGCTCACTCAGCTGTGCCTCACAAGTAACACAACAACTGATCTATTACCGGTGTGATCATATAGCCTACCTCAAATGTTGAAATATATAAAACAAAAATTGTCTGAGAGAACAACAATGCATTGTCAGGGCAATTCAAGCAAAGCCAACATGTGGTGATAATGTATTGGGCCTAAAGCCTACTAAACAAACCCCATTACTACAGTAATGTTTTTAATAGGTTAATGTTGCATAGGCTTAACATAACTTTTTTTAATCATGTTAAAAAACATCTGAGCGGTAGAGGTCGGCTTGCCTTTTGACTCAGTGATCTCGACTCCAAAAAAGGTTGGTGACCACTGTCTTAGACTTTATCCACCAACCAACGGCATTTCTTAAAAAATAGGTCAACCCTGGCCACCAGAGGGATATTTTAAACCTACAAATTCAAGGTTTACATTTATGCCGTTGTGTGCCAATATTGCATTGACTAGGCTACTAGTACTAACCAGGGGTGAGAGTAAGGTGGTACGGCGTCCCGGCAAAATAAATAGTGGGGGGTACGCCATACTGGTAAAACATGAGCCTATAATGAAAACAAAATGTCAAGAAAACTGTAGGCTACTACACCATTATTTATCATTACCGTATGTCAGAGGCATGAAAAATGAGCGAATGGACTTGAAAACAGGTGGTATAGTCTACGCTCCAAAATGCGATGTGGTTCGAAGAGAAGACCGACATTTTGCCAAGGCAGATGAGTGGCCCAGACACGTGCGGACAGCAGTGGATGCATAAATTCTGGCCTAATGACAATTGCCAAATGTCATTACACTTTTTGGTGTTTGTGTAACCGATGCCTCTTTCCATTCACAACTGTTTGGAGGCTGGAAATATGTTGCGTGTGGATGAACGTGCGCTGGTAGCCTAGTAAAGGAGCCCTTTTGAAGTGATTGACAAATCAGATGAAAATATCATGACTTTATGCCGCAAAAGGTAACACATTTTTTTTAAAGTTACAGTGCCTTCAAAAATTATTAATATCCCTTGACTTATTCCAGATTTTGTTGTTACAGCCTGAATTAAAAATTGAATAAGTAGATTGTTTTTCTCACCCATCTACACATAATACCCCATAATGACAAAGTGAAAACATGTTTTTAGAAATATTTGCTAATTTATTGAAAATGAAATACCGAAATCTCATTTACATAAGTATTCACACCCCTGAGTTAATACATGTTAGAATCACCTTTGGCAGTGATTACAGCTGCAAGTCTTTCTGGGTAAGTCTCTAAGAGCTTTGCCCACAATATTTGCACATTATTTTTTTTTTAAATTATTCAAGCTCTGTCAAATAGGTTGATGATAATTGCTATACAAATAAAAAGCATGAGCTGGCGCACACCTAGAGAACATCACTTTGTGTAGAGGTGCTGACTAACGGAGAATAAACTGTAAGCTATAACAACAAATAAAGAGTTAATGTATAAACTCCCAGTTATTTATTGGGTAAAAAACCACCAACATTTCGGCATCACTGTGCCTTCTTCAGGGTCAGGATCATTGCCAGACAGCCCTTTTCAAGTCTTGCCATAGATTTCCAAGCTGATTTAAGTCAAAACTGTAACTATGCCACCAATTTGTCACCTAGTGTCGGTTGGAAAGCAGACTAAACTAGGTTTTCCTTTAGGATTTCGCTTGTGCTTAGCTCAATTCCGTTTCTTTTTATCCTAAAGAACTCCCTAGTCCTTGCCGAAGACAAGCATACCCATAGCATGGTGCAGCCACCACCATTCTTGAAAATATAAAGAGAGGTACTCAGTGATGTGTTGTGTTGGATTTGCCCCAAACATAACGCTTTGTATTCAGGACAAAGTTGATTTCTTTGCCACATTTTTTTGCAGTTTTACTTTAGTGCCTTAATGCAAACAGGATGCACGTTTTGGAATATTTGTATTCTGTACAGGCTTCAGTGTTTTCACTCTGTCATTTAGGTTAGTATTGTGGAGTAACTACAACAGGGATGGGAAACTAGCTGCCCTTTTGTAGGCCCACGGACCAATTAAAAATATATAAAATGTTTTTAACTGTTGAGTTAGAATAATAAAATACACAAGGTGCAATTTCGAAATTTGGTTGTGCATCAGCAATCACTCAATTAGCCCATGTCAGCATATATTTTTTTTAGATTGGTAGATTAATCTAGCATCCAGCTATCTAAACTTGTAGTAAGGTCAAATTACTGATCATCAGTTATCATATTAAAAACTGCAAACATTTGCCTCTACCCTATTGCAAAATGTGTAGAATAGCAGGAAATCAGCTGTAAAACTGCTAATTTTTCTCTGCCCCATGGCAAAATTTGTAGAATTGCATCAAACTTGCTTTAAAACTGCAACATTTTCTCTACGCCCCATGGCAAAATGTGCATCATTGCAGGAAATTAACTGATTTATTTCATCTTCGCTGTCACGAGGGGGGCCGCTAAAATGTTTTGCTTGCAAGGTGGTGGTGGGCCACTGCGGCCCCTCATCATTTACATTTTAATCATTTTAGCCGACGCTCTTATCCAGAGCGACTTACAGTTAGTGAGTGCATACATCTTTCATACTGGCCCCCCGTGGGAATCGAACCCACAACCCTGGCGTTGCAAACGCCATGCTCTCCCAACTGAGCTACACGGGGCCGAGTTCCGTTTTCTTTGTGGAACCCACCCCCATCAAAGTTGCCCATCCCTGAACTACAATGTTGTTTATCCATCCTCAGTTGTTTTCTCCTATCACAGCCATAAAACTGTTTTAAAGTCACCATTGGCCTCATGGTGAAATCCCTGAGCAGCTTCTTTCCTCTCCGGGAACTGAGATAGGAAGGACGCCTGTATCTTTGTAGTGATTTTTATTTTTTTACCCATCTACCAATAGGTGCCCTTCCTTGCAAGGCATTGGAAACCCTCCCTGGTCTTTGTGGTTGAATCTGTGTTTGAAAGTCACAGCTCAACTGAGGGTCCTTACAGATAATTGTATGTGTGGGGTACAGAGATGAGGTAGTTATTCAAAAATTATGTTAAACACTATTATTGCACACAGAGTGAGACCATCCAACTTGTGACTTGTTAAGCACATTTTTTACTCCTGAACTTATTTAGGCTTGCCATAACAAAAGGGTTGAATACTTATTGACTCAAGACATTTCAGCTTTTAATTTTGAATGAATTTGTAAAAATGTCAAAAAATATAATTCGACTTAGACATTATGGGGTATTGTGTGTAGGTCAGTGACAAAAAATTCTGCATTTTATCAATTTTAAATTCAGGCTGTAACACAACAAAATGTGGAAAAAGTCAAGGGGTGTGAATACTTTCTGAAGGCACTGCATATAAATGTACCTATTGATTCTTGAAGAATATAACTTATAAATGCCTCATGAGCTTAGTTAAACTGTCGTACCACATCAGAACCCAAAATACAAGCTTATTTTACAACAATGTTTATAAGCAATGTAAACAAACAGTAATAAACATGGTTAAAACTATCATTTTTATATAATGGATAATCAGTCCTTGCATCCATAGCCCAGTCTATGAATTTGAGAGTGGTTACTTTTCTCCAGGCCCATCCCTCAACTTTTTACCAAAACAGAGGCGGGGTGTCCGATTTGTTATTGCTTCAATGAAGGACTCTAGCTTTAAGTTAGCTAGGTCAGACAACTACATATCAAAATAATTGTATGTAAACGTTGAGTTTGAGTGGTGATGTCGAACAGTAGGTTTACATGTACAGTTGGGTGATTGAAAGTAGAGCAGTAAGGCTCAGAACAGTTTGACATAGGGGCAGTTTCCCCAGACACAGATTAAGCCTCACCCTGGACTAAAAAGCACTTTCAATGGAAATTCTCTGAGTTTTCTTTTTAGTCCTTAGGGGTATACTACGATTGAAGCTAGATCTACTCAGGGTTTTCTAAAAGCTTAATATTCCAGAGCCCTACGTGGTTTGAGCACCTTTTTCCCCACTCCTATCAATAAAATAATTGTATTAAGTCGTACACAAGTTTTACTATGCGTGAATTTCAAATGCATTCTGTCATTACTAAATGTGTAATGTGATAGGTATTTAACATTTACTATTTCTGAACACAAAAATACATTTGACTAATAAAATATTTAATCAGTCGTCTTGAAGGTGATGATGATGCAATCTTTACTAGAGGGAATATGATTTTATTGGTCCTCAACTCGCAGCTCAGACAATTAATTCAGAATAAATGGAGTTAGCCCTGAGTTAACCTGCCCAGGAGCAGGTTAGTTCTGAAGGATTCATTGCCAAAGAAATGTACCTGGCTAAAAGGTGAGTCACGTTTGTGGTACCGGTTATCCCGAGTTGAACTCAGAGATACCTTACTAACTCCTCAAACCACATATAGGGCTCTGGACTAGGCTCAATCTGTGTCCAGGAAACCTCCCTATAGTGATAAGGTTTGGGAATACGTACATTTCCGGGTAGGAACTTGATGGCCATGCGCAGGATGAGGCCAGCCCAGAAGATGTGCAGACACTGCAGCACAAACAACAGCCCGTTGAAGAAGTAGAACCCAAAGAAAGGGGGATAGAGGGTCAATGGGTACACCCACGTAGTATGTATGATCCTGGGGGAAGAAACAGACAGATCTAGTCAATACAGATCTGCATTAGCAGTCAAAAGCATTTTGACAACAACCTAAGTAAATCACTAGAATGCATTGCATCCTGTATCACTGAAAAATGACAGAAAATAATACTTTACACTTAGTTATCGGTTCTTTAGACATATGGAGGCAGTTTCCCAGACGCAGATTAAACCTAGTCCTGGACTAAAAAGCAAGCTCAATGGAAAAGCTCAGTTGAAAACGCTTCTTAGTCCAGGATTAGGCTTAATATGTGTCCACCTCTAGGATGCAGATGAGTGTCATCCAAGATCTGAGCATCTTACCAGAAGGGGAGTATGACGAGGCGGGTAAGGATGAACACAGCTGCAAACAGGATGAAGATGTAGTTGCAGGTCTTTCTCCATCCTGCATAGTTGAACATCTTTGCTGACTAAAAAGAAGCAACAGAAGAAGAAGAATAAAAGAAAAGAAATAACGATTCGGTTGCCGTTTCCTATAATATTCTCCTCTAGATGGCAGGCTTAACAGTATGACCAGTTCTGTGAGAGTAGAAATTCTGTAAGCACCATTTATTATTATAATGATAATACAATTACTGTCCATATAGAAATAACACTCACTCTTCTATACTTATCATGGAATGGATATAGTTTCTTTAGGTTTGTAATGGTGAAATAGCCAGATGCCTTTTTGCATGACATTGTATTGCATTGTTGGAGTAATACGATTGGGTATGGGGTGGGGGGCTGTACCTCCAGTAGATAGTCTGAGGCATCGTGCACCAGCATGATCAAAGTCCCGGCACGGATGTAGTTGACCAACCACGAGAAACTGATCAGCAGAATAGTGGCCACATGGTGAACAATCTGCTCCTTAAAATCCTGGAAGAGAGAGAGGGGGAGTGTCAGTTATGCAAATGTTATGTTTACTTTGTGCACTGCACATCAGCTTCAGTCATAACAGAGGGAGGTGGTAGTTGTTCACTTTAAAATCTTGTTGAAACTAGTTATAGTTCTGATGGATATGGCACCATGGTCATGACATTCCTCACTCGCAACTTGATTATCAAGTTTATTTTGGATGCGTTGTTCTGAACTACAGTTATTTTAATGAGAGCTTTAACACTGCTGAATATTTATTTGCAGGACAAGAATTGTCTTGACTGAATTGCTTCGCCTTGCTTTTCTGGTTGGCTGGATGCAAGTTTCACCAGCCAATTATTTCAGATCTACAGGAGTGCAAGTTTCACCATGACACAGACCGTGGCGATAGTTCGCACATGAGAATTATTACATGGCAAATTAGTACATACTTGCATTCTATCCATGCTGGCTACCTGACACATGAAACAGATGGGAAGTCATACAGGCTGTCGCCAATTTATTAATGTGCCTAAATGGATAATGGAAACACTGAGTGCATGTATCCATGTGCACTTTCCAATTACAACTGAACTAAAAACCCTAGCCATGAGCTTGAGGCGAGCAAAAATGCCCAATTCGGAATTCCACTGCAATTAGAGCTAATGTAACAACAAAAAAGTTATCCCAAACAAGTCTCTAAAACCATTGTTTTGGATCAGCCCTATTAATTCATTGTGTCTGTCAAATCAACCGACAAACAGGACTGGATTTCAGTCAAGTCTGCTGACTGTTTTGAAGAGTTGCCACCTTTCATTTGGACTCGCCGGCTGGAAAATAAATACGGCTGGAGAACATGGTCAATCAGTCTCCACTGCCATACCTTTCCACAGTGCGCCAGTCACACATTAACCCACAGATGCCCTAGACACATCAACACCCCTCCCTGCCTGAGACATACACACAACAAGGAAGAGGGGAAATTACTTACAACCGAAACTACTATATTTTTTGTGGTGAACTGAAGGTCATATAACTTAGTTGTGATACCCAAACTGACATCTGCAGAGATGTGGTTAGCTATGTCTCTTCTCTCTCCCTCTGCCCTCTTGACAACAGTCTCTCCTGTTGCCATTGTAATGGTACTGTATGTAAATTGTAAAGGTTTCTGAATTAGGCTCCACTTACTTTGCGCTTGATATCTGTTGCCACACTGAAGAGCAGTGATATGTAGAATCCCAGCTCAATCATGTAGTACCAGTACTGAGAAGGCAGCAGTGGCTATAAGAGGGAAGACCAAACATTGAATATAAAAAAATATGGTATTTAGCACACACTTCTATCCAAAGTGACTTAAAGTAGTACATGCCTACATTTTCGTAACATTTAGAAAAGGTGTCTAGAAATGCCAAGCTGGTATCTTCTATCAGGCAGCTCATTCAATTTGATAAACAAGCACGTACTGGAAACCTTTGAAAACTCCTTTGCTTGTGACCAACTAAACATTTAAAACCAATTTAAGATTTAGAGACCAACAGTCTTATAGAAAATATGATGAAAAAAGGTGACACAGAATGGACATACCAGTGTGGGGAAGCCATTCCACATCTCCTCCATGTCATAGAACCATGGTTTCTGGGAAGAGATTCACATATTAGTGAGGATTTCGGTCTCAAACACAACAAACACAAAATGGCACACTCAAATGTATAAAACATTACAGAGGCAAAGCATTGCTAGAGAAAATATATGCCAACAGTAAATGGTGGTACTCACATCAATTAGGGCACCCAGGCCAGCAATGAAAGCAAGAAGGTAAAAGGTAAATCTCCAACTGTAAGAGAACACACAGCAACCTCAGAAACCCCATATGAACAGAACACAATTTCACACAGCTTACAACAATGTCATATGTACACACAGATAGACAATGCAAACTACGGCTCCTTCAAGACAAAGTAAAACATAAGCTACAACTACCTGTAAACTATACAAGAGAGCTTGTATTTTGATCAGGTGAATAAGACTCGCGTCAAATCACGGTAAAGACAATAACAGGCACTTTTACAGAAGGCACATGACACCTAACATGTTACACAATAGAAATACGCCCACGTCGGAAATAAATAAGGGTTGTTTAATTCATTAAATGTTGGCAAGTGCAAGTTCCATTCAACCATTTTCATCTGCTCCGCTACTATTCATTTCAGTTAGCGGTACTATACTTTCTTTGCTAAAACAATTGATTTCAACCATATTCAATACAGAAATGACTGTAGCCTCCAACTGTATAACCACAGATAGAAACATAAGGCTTGTGGGTTTGCACTTTGCTGCTGAGGGTACCTGGCTTCCCGGAACTTCTTGATCTGGCTCGGCCGTTCCTGGTTCCTCCGCCGCCGGAACCACCTCTGGACCTGCCGCACCGAGCAGGCCGACTGTTTAGTTAACTCCTCCACTGAACTCTGACAGAGTGAAACGAGGGTTAAAGAGCAACAGACTTAAATTAAAGGGATAATCTACCCCCCAAAATAAATAATAATATGAAACTCCTGTCAATTTGGTGAAGGCCTATGTTTAATCAGTGTACCAACTCAGTGGCCTTGTGATTAGAGTGTCCGCCCTGAGATTGGAAGGTTGGGAGTCCAGACTGTAAATTGGGGGTAAGGCCCTGAGCTAGACTAGCGTCCTGTTCAGGGGGTGTACTTGTACATCAAGATAGGCTCCTGCTCCTATGAGCCATTCCGGATCGCACAATGATTAAACCTCTTTGTGGCCCTTCTGTGAAATCAGGAAATCGTGTATGAATGTGTCATAGCTACATGGTTCTCGTCACAGGAGATGGGGGATAACACAACATCACATTTCATAACGCTTTTAAAATAATTACCTTCACCCCAGATCGCCAAATTAGCCAATAGATGGTTTACTTGTCTAGAACATATCCATCCGTTTATATCGTCATGACGAAGTACAGTATATATTTCGCTTAGATGTGCTCAATCTAAACAGTTTACCAAATTATTCAACTCAGGGTGTGTTCGTAAATTCACTCTGGAGTGCCTGAGTGCGCTCAGAGTGCGCTTTGGCCATTCGTAAATTCAGAGGGTTGTCAGATTGTCCAGTAGGGTTGATCCGAGCGATCTGACCTCACAACGGCAGTCAAGCACCTAAGCTAACTGGCTAAAGTTGGCTAGCTAGCTAGCTACTTCCAGACACGAATGAGAGAACAACTCCCTCTGACCATTTTACTCACCTTAGCAGAGCTGGTTAGGTTGTTTACATGTCATCTAGAGCATTGGTGACTAACTGTGCTGCAGGCAATCATTTAATTACGTTTTTTTTGCCAACGTTGACTGACACCGGTCATATTCAATGGGTGTTACGCATTCGTAAATTCCTCAGTTATTCTGCTCTCTGGCACACTCAGACGATAGTGCTCTGAAACCGGAGTTGATAGCTAGAGTGAATTTACGAATGCACCCTCAGTTTCTCCTTCAAGTACCATCTTTCAATGCACCGTGTGTGTCTCTGGGAAACATGGGAAGGATGAACTGCAAGTTAGACTCCTAAATTGATAGTGCCGTTTTTTTCAAGCGATTTTACAGCTAGCTAGTTACTTCACATGCTAATATTGACTTTGGTATTTTTGTGTGTAGTGTAGCTACGTTTGCTAACTAAACTCAGCAAAAAAAGAAACGTCTGTCTTTCAAAGATAATTTGTAAAAATCAAAATAACTTCACAGATCTTCTTTGTAAAGGGTTTAAACACGGTTTCCCATGCTTGTTCAATGAACCATAAACAATTAATGAACATGCACCTGTGGAACGGTCGTTAAGACACTAACAGCTTACAGATGGTAGGCAATTAAGGTCACCGTTATGAAAACTTAGGACACTAAAGAGGCCTTTCTACTGACTCTGAAAAACACCAAAAGAAAGATGCCCAGGGTCCCTGCTCATCTGCGTGAACGTGCCTTAGGCATGCTGCAAGGAGGCATGAGGACTGCAGGTGTGGCCAGGGCAATAAATTGCAATGTCTGTACTGTGAGACGCCTAAGACAGCACTACAGGGAGACAGGACGGACAGCTGATCGTCCTCGCAGTGGCAGACCACGTGTAACAACACCTGCACAGGATTGGTACATCCGATCACCACACCTGCGGGACAGGTACAAGATGGAAACAACAACTGCCCAAGTTACACCAGGAACGCACAATCCCTCCATCAGTGCTCAGACTGTCCGCAATAGGCTGAGAGAGGCTGGACTGAGGGCTTGTAGGCATGTTGTAAGGCAGGTCCTCACCAGACATCACTGGTAACAACGTCGCCTATGGGCAGAAACCCACCGTTGCTGGACCAGACAGGACTGGCAAAAAGTGCTCTTCACTGACGAGTCACGGTTTTGTCTCACCTGGGGTGATTGTTGGATTCGCGTTTATCGTCGAGGAATGAGCGTTAAACCGAGGCCTGTACTCTAGAGCGGGATCGATTTGGAGGTGGAGGGTCCGTCATGGTCTGGGGCGGTGTGTCACAGCATCATCGGACTGAGCTTGTTGTCATTGCAGGCAATCTCAACGCTGTGCGTTACAGGGAAGACATCCTCCTCCCTCATGTGGTACCCTTCCTGCAGGCTCATCCTGACATGACCCTCCAGCATGACATTGCCACCAGCCATACTGCTCGTTCTGTGCGTGATTTCCTGCAAGACAGGAATGTCAGTGTTCTGCCATGGCCAGCGAAGAGCCCGGATCTCAACCCCATTGAGCATGTCTGGGACCTGTTGGATCGGAGGGTTAGGGCTAGGGCCATTCCCCCCAGAAATGTCCAGGAACTTGCAGGTGCCTTGGTGGAAGAGTGGGGTAACATCTCACAGCAAGAACTGGCAAATCTGGTGCAGTCCATGAGGAGGAGATGCACTGCAGTACTTAATGCAGCTGGTGGCCACACCAGATACTGACTGTTACTTTTGATTTTGATCCCCCCTTTGTTCAGGGACACATTATTCAATTTATGTTAGTCATGTCTGTGGAACTTGTTCAGTTTATGTCTCAGTTGTTGAATCTTGTTATGTTCATACAAATATTTACAAATGTTAAGTTTGCTGAAAATAAACGCAGTTGACAGTAAGAGGACGTTTCTTTTTTTGCTGAGTTTAGCTAGCCAACCAGCCCAGAGAGAACATTGCATTGTGGGGTTTGTAGTCGACTTGAACTGCAACAGATTTCCAATGATTTTCACATGTTGCTACCAACCTTGTTATAACAACAAAATGAAACATTTGTTCACAAAAAACATTGTTGTTTTCACATATTAGTGTTATTTAACACTGTTGTCTCCCGAGTGGCGCAGTGGTCTAAGGCACTGCATCGCAGTGCTAGCTGTGCCACTAGAGATCCTGGTTCGAATCCAGGCTCTGTCGTAGCCGGCCGCGACCGGGAGACCCATGGGGCGGCGCACAATTGGCCCAGCGTCGTTAGGGTAGGGGAGGGAATGGCCGGCAGGGGATGTAGCTCAGTTGGTAGAGCATGGCGTTTGCAACGCCAGGGTTGTGGGTTCGATTCCCACGGGGGGTATAAAAAAATAAAATATAAAAAAATAAAATAATGTATGCACTCACTAATTGTAAGTCGCTCTGGATAAGAGCGTCTGCTAAATGAAGTAAATGTAAATGTTAATCATAGGAATTAGTGGTTTGGGGTGGATTATCCCTTCAACATCTTATGTGCTAATGTCTCCTTCATTATATTGTTTTACTGTAAAGTGTGTTGCGATTTTAAATGCACTTTAAATAATGGTTGATTTAATGTAGGAATCGTGCCTGGATTTGACTAAGGAGTTGTGTGGCATTTGTGTGAACTATTGAACTGAGTGGTCACTTGGATTTGGTCAGTGGAACTGTATGGTAGTTTCCTACATGTAGGATTAGGAAGGTGTTGGCATTACAGTTATGCTGTGCAATTACCTGTGAGGGGAACTTTGATGCATTGCAGAAAAAGGATTCCAGTGTGATGTTGGGAGCAGCTCTGACACGCGGTTTCTCCCTCACTCCAAGTAAAGAGGCAAGTTGAACGGCTACGGTCCTGGATAGTCAAAGGAAGCAAAGGAGGAGAGGAAAGTGTTGTAGGGACTGTAAATCAGTTCTGGTTGTTGCAGTGAACACATAAGTCAACATAGCTAGATGAACAGGCAAACAATATTTGAGCAATACGGGTCAAAAACAACAGCAAAAATAATGGAACATAGCGAGGCCATTGCAATGTGAGGAGGGGGAGGTATTGGTTTTGTCCTAAATGACACCCTATTCCCTTTATAGTGCACTACTTCTGACCAGGGCCCAAAGGATTATTGGTATTGGGCCTTGAGTACTGACCTCTCAAATATCTGTCGGATAATCAGGAAGCATACTGCGATGGGGAAGATGACCCAGAGATCCCTTCCTTTAGCGAAGACTTGGCCATCCCGGTCCTTGAGGTCGGCCCAACCCAGGCCCGCTGGGAACCACAGCCGGTCCTGCCAGACCCAGTCACTGAGCTCCCTGAGCAAGGTCAACATTCTGCGAAAGAAAGAAAGAAAGAAAGAAAGAAAGAAAGAAAGAAAGAAAGAAAGAAAGAAAGAAAGAAAGAAAGAAAGAAAGAAAGAAAGAAAGAAAGAAAGAAAGAAAGAAAGAAAGAAAGAAAGAAAGAAAGAAAGAAAGAAAGAAAGAAAGAAAGAAAGAAAGAAAGAAAGAAAGAAAGAAAGAAAGAAAGAAAGAAAGAAAGAAAGAAAGAAAGAAAGAAAGAAAGAAAGAAAGAAAGAAAGAAAGAAAGAAAGAAAGAAAGAAAGAAAGAAAGAAAGAAAGAAAGAAAGAAAGAAAGAAAGAAAGAAAGACATTTAGACAAAGGGACAAGGCTTTTTTGGTGTCAGGTACAGTCTGACGTCAAGACATTCTTTGGTAGATCACATACCAAAATTACGTCCAAAACGATTAAAGTAAAGGAATGCTGCCTCAAATATTTGTACGGAATGTATTGTTGTGTTAGTGAATTTAAATTGTGGGGATTAAATATCATTAGACAATAGGTAAAAGAGGATTACTATTTGCAGCCATAATTTTTCTGTGATTATTTGTGATGTGATTATTATGTCATGTTGATCTTGGTGTGCTGGTGCATCCATCCATATTTGCATAGTCACTCAGCCATGAAAACAGGAGTGAGCTGGTGACACTTAATACATTGACGACCTTATATGACCCATCAACATTTCCAACAATGTGTTGGCCTGGTGTATAATAATTTATAACACAAAGAAGAATCTACAGATGCTTCAAACACCTACTGCAGGACTTCCTGACATTTCCCAGATGAATCCATTAGCTATCTGAATACAAGCTTTGACAGTGCAGAGCAGCTGTTGTGGCATAGATGCAGCCATTGATACTAGTAGAGTGGGAAAGATACTGTGTAGGTTTAATTACAATACAGGCAATGGGCTTTGCTGTGAACGGCTCTCAGAGCCACTATGACATCACTGCTACAGTCATTACTGGCAGGTTTGCTAGATTTGTTAGAAATGGCATGTAAACAAGAGGGCCTGATTCTCACTTTACTGAGGCACCTTTGTGTCTGAAGTCTGTTTGAGGGCAAGAGGCCAGCATGACAACACTACCTGCTTGGTTATTTTAAAACACACACTGACTGTGACACTGATAGTTGTGCACAGCCAGATCATCAAATTAATGCACAGGGAGAGAAGATCTGTGCCCAACATCACACATTTTACACAATCCTAGGCACAGGAGATGCCTTGTTTTTTGGGGGGTTGGGATTATTTTCACTTACGATGACAGTTCTTGGTACAAAAGGGTTTAAGAGTTTTCACACAGGGAAGCCTCAGTGCCAGCTACACTAGAGAGATGTTCCAAACAAAACAGTCACTGTGTGACACCCAGCACCCCTCTCCTGTCTGTTGATTGATTGTTTAACAGGGATTGCATGCATGGACTTTGAACACTCCTATGCTTACTGTGAATTAATAGGGGTGGCGCTCTGGGGCCCTTTTTGTTTGCACAGGAGGAAGGACCATTCTTGCAGTTTCCAGAGAAAGCTGGCTTAAAAAAAAAAAAAAAATTGTAAAGCAGTGGAGTGTGTATGTGAAACATACTGACAATAGTACACCACTGACTTAATTAATTGATGGAGTAGTTACAGTCAGTATAGCACGCATATGCATGGTGTTTGTCACATCAGTTGCTTCAAACAGCAGATCCTGGAATCTCCTTTACCCTCCAGGTGACTTATTGACTTACTTACAATGTCAAAGGACATGGAGGGAAACCTCACAAATAACACCGTAAATGAAACATTGTAGTCAGATGGTCAAATGAGACGAACGATAGGCTACTTTGTATTCAATCATCAGCCCAAAGAGTAGAAACAATATTGTGAGCATTCCAATAGTGTGCTTCTTGTGGCCTGTGATTTAATGCAGGGAAACTGAAATCCGTTTTACCTCATTTTTACCAGCATGTCACCTGTGTAACTACAGTTGTGGTCAAAAGTTTTGAGAATGACACAAATACTAATTTTCACAAAGTCTGCTGTTTCAGTTTTGATGATGGCAATTTGCATATACTCCAGAATGTCATGAAGAGTGATCAGATGAATTGCAAAGTCCCTCTTTGCCATGAAAATGAACTTAATCCCCCAAAAATATTTCCACTGCATTTCAGCCCTGCCACAAAAGGACCTGCTGCCATCATGTCAGTGATTATCTCGTTAACACAGGTGAGAGTGTTGACGAGGGCAAGGCTGGAGATCACTCTGTCATGATGATTGAGTTAGAATAACAGACTGGAAGCTTTAAAAGGAGTGTGGTGCTTTAAATCATTGTTCTTCCTCTATTAACCATGGTTACCTGCAAGGAAACACGTGCCGTCATCATTGCTTTGCACAAAAAGGGCTTCACAGGCAAGGATATTGCTGCTAGTAAGATTGCACCTAAATCAACCATTTATTGGATCATCAAGAACTTCAAGGAGAGAGGTTCAATTGTGGTGAAGAAGGCGTCAGGGCGCCCAAGAAAGTCCAGCAAGCGCCAGGACCGTCTCTTAAAATTGATTCAGCTGCGGGATCGGGGCACCACCAGTGTAGAGCTTGCTCAGGAATGTCAGCAGGCAGGTGTGAGTGCATCTGCACGCACAGTGAGGCAAATACTTTTGGAGGATGGCCTGGTGTCAAGAAGGGCAGCAAAGAAGCCACTTCTCTCCAGGAAAAAAAATAAGGGAAAGACTGATATTCTGCAAAAGGTACAGGGATTGGCCTGCTGAGGACTGGGGTAAAGTCATTTTCTCTGATGAATCCCCTTTCCGATTGTTTGGGGCATCCGGAAAAGACCTTGTCCGGAGAAGACAAGGTGAGCGCTACCATCAGTCCTGTGTCATGCCAACAGTAAAGCATCCGGAGACCATTCATGTGTGGGGTTGCTTCTCAGCCAAGGGAGTGGGCTCACTCACAATTTTGCCTAAGAACACAGCCATGAATAAAGAATGGTACCAACACATCCTCTGAGAGCAACTTCTCCCAACCAACCAAGAACAGTTTGGTGACGACCAATGCCTTTTCCAGCATGATGGAGCACCTTGCCATAAGGCAAAAGTGATAACTAAGTGGCTCGGGGAACAAAACATTGACATTTCGGGTCCATGGCCAGGAAACTCCCCAGACCTTAATCCCATTGAGAACTTGTGGTCGATCCTCAAGAGGCAGGTGGACAAACAAAAACCCACAAATTCTGACAAACTCCAAGCATTGATTATGCAAGAATGGGCTGCCATCAGTCAGGATGTGGCCCAGAAGTTAATTGACAGCATGCGCAACGCTCTTACCCCCGTGCTCAGTCCCCTCCTGTACTCCCCGTTCACCCACGACTGCGTGGCCACGCACGACTCCAACACCATCATTAAACTTGCTGACAACACGATGGTGGTAGGCCTGATCACCGACGACGATGAGACAGCCTATAGGGAGGAGGTCAGAGACCTGGCAGTGTGGTGCCAGGACAACAACCTTTCCCTCAACGTCAGCAAGACAAAGGAGCTGATCATGCACTACAGGAAACCGAGGACCGACCACGCCCCCTCCACAGGGCTATAGTGGAGTGGGTCGACAGCTTCAAGTTCCTCATTGTCCACATCACTAAGGAATTAACATGGTCCACACATACCAACACAGTGGTGAAGGCACAACAATGCCTCTTCCCCCTCAGGAGGCTGAAAAGATTTTGCATGGGCCGTCAGATCCTCAAAAGGTTATACAACTGCACCATTGAGAGCATCTTGACTGGCTACATCACCGCTTGGTATGGGAATTGCTTGGCATTCGACCGCAAGGCACTACAGAGGGTAGTGCGTACAGCCCAGTACATCACTGGGGCCGAGCTCCCTGCCATCCAGGACCTCTATACCAGGCGGTGTCTGAGGAAGGTCCTAAAAACATTCAAAGACTCCAGCCACCCAAGTCATAGACTGTTCGCTCTACTACTGCACGGCAAGCGGTACCGATGCACCAAGTCTGGAATCAACAGGACCCTGAACAGCTTCTATCCCCAAGCCATAAGACCGCTAAATAGTTAACCAAATAGCTACCCGGACTACTTTTTTCTTTGCCCGTAACTTTGCACCTTTTGATGTAAATGTTTGAGGACATGGTTTTGTTCTTTCTGGATTCCATTAGAATGACAAATCGCAGCGAAAGGGAGAGGTCAACAACTCTTACAATTCCAACTACTGAATCCTGCAAGATACTGTTCTTACATTTACGTCATTTAGCAGACGCTCTTATCCAGAGCGACTTACAAATAGGTGTATTCACCTTATGGCCAGTGGGATCACCACTTTACAATGTTTTTGTTTTGTTTTGGGGTTTGGGTTTGGGTTGGGGTAAGGGGGGGTAGAAGGATTACTTTATCCTATCCCAGGTATTCCTTAAAGAGGTGGGGTTTCAAATGTCTCCGGAAGGTGGTGAGTGACTCATTATACAACTACCTTTTTTGCCAAAGCAGAGATGCTGAAAACATGTTTTATATCGGTACGTAAAGGCCCAATGCACTACTTGGTGAATATTTTTTTCAATTATTATAATTTTTTTAATTCTGATTTTTCAAAGGCTGCTGCAGCACCCTCAGCACCCCTACTTCCCGCGGCTATTGTCCTAGCTAGCTACCTACCTACTGGTGTTGCCCCTGCCTCTAACGTTACCGAAGTACTAACTAGCTAGCTAGCACACAGTGTCCTTCGCGCCCACCTGACGAGCACCTGCCCTCGCTGTAACGTTAACAAAACGTGGGAAAGCAGTGTTCGGCAAGCGGGGGCGAAGGTCACTGTCTACCGGTGTCCTAACTAACTAACTACTGGTGTCGCCCGCTGCCTCCCGCCAGCTACTGTAACGGAGTCCTAGCTTAAAAATGGACCAATAGAATTGGACCAATAGAGGGGTTCCTGCAAATGCAGCAACGCCCCGAATTGCGGGCCGCAATCACACCCTTCTGAACATTTCCGGTAACTTTCTTTAGGGTGTGGAACTTTTTACGTTTCATCATCTGTAGGTTATAGCTCGTTACAGGCTATTTTCTCCACAACCAAATTAAACGAAGGACGTCCAAAGCATTCGTTTTCACGATTTTCTTCTTTCCAAACTGTGTTATTGTGCGATAGTTCATGGTTGCATTTCAAACCATGACCTTCATTTATCGCCGTGTTCCTAAACAAACATCACCACGAGATCAGCCCACACGTAGCCTATTCAGACAAACTCGAGTTAACATGAGTTTCTGTCGTATTCCTGAATAGTTTGTTAAAACATTAAAGTATGTTTATCTCTTTGTTTGTGTGGTAGGGGGTGACAAGTTTGCGGAAAAGCCATTATAGGCGCGCGCATCGCAGGTGACTAACTATCCAAGGGAGAGTGAATGTTAAAATACTAGCAAGACGAGGTGAGTAGGCCTACGTAGCCTGTTTTCAAATGGCAATTGCAAGAACTCAAACAAAACCGATAACACATCTATTTCCATATAATGGTGGGATCTTACCTCCGTTTGATCTTTCAAGCAGGTAGGCCTATTCGCCGCAGTGTGAAAAGGCGGAAACTCTTACCGCCCCTGGAATATTTCGGTATGTCCCCTGTAGAATAAGCAATTGAACTCTATACCGGCGACGCCATCAGAGATAATCCAAATTAATTATGAAAATGGGTTGGAGTCTGCTTTGAAGATTATTATCCGGCCTCTCGATCATCGCCAATTTTCTGCATTTTCAAGGAAAATGTAATGATCCCCCTTGGCTTGTAGCACTTTCTCCCTTCTGAAATACTTATACTTTTTGTTGGGATGAGGGCCCGGAAATAAACAGTTATTTTACTTGCTCGGAGCAATATGACAGATGTTTGCTGGGAATTGGCGTCGGTTAGCCTGGTTTCTCAGTTGGACAAACGGAATGGGAGTAGAAGATGGTAGAGTAGGAGCACTGAGGTAAGGGCAGGAGTCGGGACAATGGGAGTGGCGGGGATCAGGCTATTTAAAGTGACGTTTTACGGCATGCGAAAAGGCTTGGACGTGTTGAGACGCAACTGCCAAACCCTAGCGCAGTCGACAGATTAACCATTATATTGACCAGATACTCCAGTGGCGGCTTTAACAATGAAAGTACATTTCTTCAAAAATGGGAGGAGGAAAATTCAGGTGGTACCATTCTAGCCAATGAGAGGGCAGATACGCGTGTGAACAACAGGCACACCGGTTTCCACTAGTTACCACAGCCACAAAGTAAAAATTGGCTATATAGTAAAAAATCATTAAAACAAACATTTGCTTTTTGGTCTTAATTTAAGTTTAGGAATAAGGTTAGCAGTGTCATTAAGGTTAGGTTTAAAATCACATTTTAAGAAGATAAATTGTAGAAATAAGCGGGGTTTATGACTAGGTAACTAGTGACTACCAGGTACAACAACATTATAAAGTGCTTTTTTCTCAAAGTTACTAGGATGTCACGTGTGTCCTACTTATATCCGTACACTCGTAACAACCTAATGATTACGAAACGTCTATTCGATCAAATAAGCCATTACATTTTTTTGTTAACCAAATTCGACAGTCATTGACCGCCATACAAGCGAGAGGTTTTACTCCGTCCAAAATCTTTCAACGAAAGATAAGCCTACGAAGTGAGGCATTTTTGTATGGAAGTCAATGTGTCGAATTTGGTCAACAAAAAATTATATCTATCCATCTCTCTCTATACCCCGTTGTTCACACGCGTATCTGCCCTCTCATTGGCTAGAATGGTCCCACCTGATCTCGCCCCCTTCTGCCTGCGTATTTTCATTGTCAGAGTCGTCAATCGACTATCTTGCATAAAGGGAAATCGTTGGCTACATGCACTGAACTGTGTAAATGTTGTCTGAAGATCTGCTGAGAATCTGTGGGGCTGACCTGTAATAAATGACTATGAAACAAATTGTTGGTGTTAGAGCTAGAATGAATCACATTTTTAAACAAAATCATGAAATCAATTGTAGCCTATTATCTAGGCTGCAATTAACATGACAACTCACACTAAATTATTCCACTGCTCTGTCTTTTGCTACATACTTCAGTCAGACTACCATAATTGAAGTGGTTTGTAGTGAGGAGGGGCGTTGTACCAAACAAAGTAATCAGTGATTGGATCATCTCTAACCAATCAGAGTATCAAAGTCATTGACACATTTTCAAACGCTGCTTTACCCACGTGTTCTGGCTGTGGCCCAACCCATTGGTTTCTGGACCAATCAGACGGCCCCGAATGTGTTCTCATTCCATGAAGGGGTCGGGAGGTACTCAGATCTAGACTCATTGCTGAAAAGAAACTAACGGTGTGGTGTAGAGTTTGGCCAGAGCAAGGATTCTGGGTAGCCAGGCAAGGCTGCAATATGAGTGAAAAAGCAGGGCCTATAGCTCTACTTAGATTCCTGTAGGCCTACCCTGTACAGCAGGGTTCTTCAATTCCGGTCCTGGAGGGCCGAAACACCTCTGTTTTTCATCCTCTCCTTCTAATCAGGGGCTAATTCAGACCTGGGACACCAGGTGAGTGCAATTAACTACCAGGTAGAAATAAAAAACAGAAGTGTTTCGGCCCTCCAGGACCGGAATTGAAGAACCCTGCTGTACAGGGTTTTAGCTTAGGATGGGTTATGGATAGGGGACAATTTTTCACCTTTACTTGGTGATACTTCCTTATTTCTCGATTTGTAAGGCACCGGTGTCTTATAAACGCATGTTTCCAGTTGCAGGAGGAACTCCGATAACGAGGAAATATAAAGAAAGATACTAAATCCACTTTTTGTGGGCCTCCCGAGTGGCGCAGTGGTCTAAGGCACTGCATCGCAGTGCTTGAGGCGTCACTACAGAACCAGGTTCGATCCCAGGCTGTGTCACAGCCGGCCGTGACCGGGAGAGGCGCACACTTGGGCCAGCGTCATCCGGGTTAGGGGAGGGTTTGGCCTGCCGGGATTTCCTTGTTCCATTGCACTCTAGCGACTCCTTGAGGCGGGCCGGGCGCCTGCAAGTAAAAAATTATAAACACAAATCCACTTTTTGTACCGAGTGAGAAATGCCTCCTGCATGTGTATAGGTCTTTGTTTGTGTTGTTTAGGTTGTGCTGTGTGACATGTTGTTATCTTCTCCTACACGTAGCCACGTCGCTTAGAAATGACTAGTTCCAGCAAAAATTGATTTAATATTTTTCAGAATATTCTCTGGTTTTTGGAGTTCCTCCTGGAACTAGAAACAAACGTTTATAAGACACGGATTCCTTGCAAATCAAGAATTAAGAAAGTATTGCCAGGTAAAGGTTGGTTAAAAATAAGTTTGCCATGCTATCAATGGACCGTTGGCTCGACCTCCAGTACAAACTAGTTTAACTATGCTGCTGGAGGTTTGATATAGATACGCTAGGTCTAGACCAGGGTTCTCCAACCCTGTTCCTGGAGAGCTACCGTCCTTTAGGTTTTCACTCCAACCCTAATCAAGCACACCTGATTCTAATAATTAGCTGGTTGATAAGCTGAATCAGGTTAGTTACAACTGGGGTTGGAGCAAAAACCTACAGGAGGGTAGCTCTCCAGGAACAGGGTTGCGAGAGCCCTGGTCTAGGCCAATGGGAATCTCAGTGTTTAAATTGTGTCTTGCTATATTGCAATGGGGTCTTTCCACCTCAAAAAGCACAAGAAAGAGGATTGACACCCACCATCTCAGATGATTCTGAAATTGTTTCTGTTGTTAGGAACAGATAAGATTAGCATTCCTGCAACAATTTTGTTGAAGTATAATTTGATCTCTAAGAAATTAAGCTAATTGATTGCACCCAAATTGGCCACTTTAATTTATAGGATTCATGTGGGATTGGCGTGGGGGGTCCGTGGGTGGCGTTTTACAATTTCTTTGGATTCCTAATTTCTTACTCATTGTTAGAAAAAAGTCTGGTCCAAATTGAATTTTAGGTACTGTATTTATTTAATATTATCTGAATCCTGTAAATTAAAATGGCCAATTTGGGTGCAATCAATTAGCTGAATTTTTTAGATCAAATTATATTTCAACAAAACAATGTTGCAGGAATGCTAATCTTATCTGTTTCTAACTACAGAAACGGTTTCAGAACAATCTGAGACGGTGGGTGTCATGGCTTGCTGAAATGACATGGAATGACCCAATGGTAAAGTAGACTACATGTGAATGAATAACCCTTTCAGCAGTAGCCTGGGTGTTACCCTTTGCAGCATATTTCCCCACATATTTCTCTGCACGTCACAGTTCTATTGCAATGACTAGAATGCTCTACTTCTTGGGACCTGTAGAGCAGAAAACTCCAGGTGATCTCAGACAAAATACTGTACTCCACCCAATGACAGCATATCTATTCAGATACTGTTCAGTTTTCAGTTGTTTTTTTTTTTGCCTGTGGATCCATATAAATTGGATATGCTTTCAAATGACAAACAGGCATCATCCAAGAAAATATTTTACAGCAAATATTTAACATTTACTAACATGTAGTTTGATATACCCATTTCAGACAGAAGATGTGGTATATTACCTGTAAAAAAATATAAGGCAATGTTTACATGACCCCCTTTCAAATAAGCCCTTATTTACCACCTTCTTGCAGGTATAACCCTTTTATACATATCAGTGCGTAACTGGCAAAGAGGGAGGGGTGGGGGGAGTTGTTAAACCATGGGAGCAGTTTGCATTTCAAATTAGGGAGGTGTTAAACAATGGAAGTCTTAATGAATTTACGTGCAAAAAAAGCTGAGAACCATTCACACAGACCCAATACCTGTATTTTGTTTGCAGGGTCTGTAAAAATGCAGGAATCATGACTAGGTCTTTATGTGGTTTTTCATTTGCCGTGTTTTTTAAATATATTTTTTAGCCCTTTCCGATATACTTTTTTAAAGAGCAGGCATGGTAAATTAGTGGGATTTTTGTCTGTGTATGAAAGGGGTACTAGAGTAAAGTGAAAGCTAGAAAACCCATATTTCAAGGTATACAGTTACAGACAAATATTGGCACCCTTGCACTTTTCTTAAATAATTCCCTATTTCTTCTAAAATAAGTTGAAATTGAAAATACAACTTTGGGTCACCACACCTTATTGGATTTTCAACATTGCAAAACCTATTTTATTTTTGTACATTTAAGTTTACAATTTTGAATTGAGAAATTAAAGGCAAATGGCATGGACAAAATTATTGGCACCCCGAAGCTAGTACTTGGTTTCACACCCTTAACCATGACAACTGCAGACATATGCTTATTGTAGCCATCAATGAACTGGCTGCACCTTTCTACTGACAATTTGGCCTACTTTTCAGCAGCAAACTCATCTAATTCTTCAATATTTGAGGGGTGCCCTCCACCAACTGCTGTTTTCAGATCTCACCATAGGTTTTGGATGTGATTCAGATCTGTAATCTTAGCTGGCCACTCCAAAACAGTCCAGTATCTCTTCTTAACCGTTCCTGGGTGCTTTTTGATGGGTTGGGGGTCGTTGTCCTGCTGGAAGACCCACAACCTTCAATGGAGACCCAGTTTTTAGACTCTGGGTTGAACATTGGACTACAAAACACCTGATAAACTGCTGATTTCATGATGCTTTGTGCACGTTCAAGGCCCCCAGTACCAGAGGCAGCAAAACAACCTCCCACATCTTTGATTGTAGGTAGGGTGCATTTGTTGGCAGTTACTGTATCTTGGCCAAAAGCTGTGCAACCAAGTACTAGTTCCAGGGTACCAATAGTTTTGTCATGCCATTTTTGTTTATTTTCCAAATTAAAATTGTACACTTAAGTTTACAAAAATAAATGTGGTTCTGCAATGTTTAAATCTAACAAGGTGTGGAAAGCAAAAGTTTCTATCAATTTCTTATTTAAGAAAAGTGCAAGGGTGCCTATATATTTGGCCGCAACTGCATTTAAAAAACCCACAGCTCTCTGTTGCACACCAATGCATATGCACACATCATTTTCGAAATTGTACTTTATTTTTCTTAAAGACATATATTTAAAAA